TATCCCCACTGATTTCCTTAAAATTCTGGGATGAGAGTCCACATCACAATTGACTCTAAACTGTCATTTCCCTTTCATCACTCACCTCAGCAACGGACCTCTCTCCACTGTCCCTGTGTTCTGCCTCTGACTCACTCTCAAGCGCCTAGATGTCAAGAGAGGTGGTGAAGTGATCACTATTTATTGAGCAGTAGGCCTATACTCTTTCACATTGAATCATAACAAGTCATACTGAATGTAAATACAACTGACTCTAAAGTAAGTCCCAGTCTGTGACATTGGACATTTTGAAGACTCAAAGTCCCAGTAGGTAGAATATTAGCTAGTCTATGTAATGTGCACAGAAAATAAATAGTTAACTGAATACTGGGATGGAAATTGCCTATAAGCACTCAGTAAAACATGAACACACACAAAAAGCTTCTGAATGATAAGAAGTATAATTAAAACATAATGCACATTATCATTTTGAGAGAGAGTACCTAAGTTAAAGAACTCAGAAAATAATCTCTTATCGAACTGAGGCTCCAGTAAAACACACTGACTGCGTCTCTACATGACATGTAGAGAGATCGGGTTATTCATGTTCCCTGTTTACATGATAAATACTAGTAACCTGGCATTTCGATGCCTTTTCTCATCTAAACTATTCAGTATTTGTATCTCTCTATCATGACATAAAGACGAAACTCCTCTCCAGAAGTGAGACGCTGCCGCCGCCATCACTGTTAAGTTAACTGATTAACTGCTACCAGTTGAAGACTTACTTTCCTCTTCTTTGAAAATGTTTTTCTCATGTCCATGTTGTCTGGGGGAGAAAACATATAAAACCAAGAGATCGTCAGCTTTGATTTTCGCTGTATTAACAATGTCCTGAACACTTGGTGTGTGTGCCTTACCTCCGCTATCGACATCGCTTCATACAACAGATCTGAGCTGTCAACAACACTCCTTGAACATGCGCGCGCTATGTGAGAATCTGCCTTGGTACAAAGTAGCAGTGAAAACATGGTACGGAGTTTCATTGATTTGGGCATTCTCTCAATAAGCAAGTGGAATGGATTTGATAGTGAAGCACTGACACAGCGCTCTACAAAGTGCAGCGAGTGGATAGACCGATTCACGGACTTTCCACATGGTAAAAGTGGGGGGGTCTAAACTAATCATTTGAAAAAGTGGGGGGGACTTGTCCCACCCTCATATAATGGCTGCGACGCCCATGCAATGACTTATCTTATATCCCGAAAGAACTGCACTGTATGTTCATTAGAAATCTCCAACTTATGTTAATAAACTCCTGGGACAATAACTTGAAACTTCAGTGCCCACGAGTAGGAATGACTTAGCATTAGTTATTTTGCCGCGAGGTATATAAAGTGATAATGATTTCTTCCATATAGCTGAGCCATTGAGTCATGAGTCACAGAACATTTTTCAAAATGTGTTCACTGCTGAAGCATTAACATATCTCATCACTGCCCCTCATACTTCAATGCAGTTCAGAATCTGGATACTGATCATAATGCTACTGTACTTAGATGTATTGCTAATGTAGACACATCTTGTTCTGCTCCGCTTGTTTTTATTGATTTCGAAACCTTTTTCTTTCAAGCCTGTTGAAAACCATATAGCTTTGACCTTTAATGTCCTCATACTTTTCAGCCTCTAGCTAGGAGTTATGTACTTGGATGTACATATTTTGACTTGTTTAGTGCCACAGGGAGTAAAGCTTCTGCAAGTTGATGAAACATACTATACATTTGTCCATTTCAATGAGGTCCAACCCCTCTGGCAGTACAGGCAGGTTCAAACAAAACCACGCTTCTATCTGACCTGATCTGACATTTGCTGTGCATATTATTAGTGAGGTGTTGTGCCACATCACGCTGTTTTATTTTAGCCGTGCTCACCTGTCTGTTCTGCTAACTGTCAGTCATGTTTTTTATCAGCAAATATTAGGAAAATATTCTGGTCAAAGCAAAGGCGCCTGTTATGTTTCCAAAGTGTGATTTCTTAAGGCAGGCGTATTTGGAAGGATGTCTAAATGTCACCTATTTCTCAGTACTTTTAAATCATATCCCAAGGCAGGACAGAACAAGACAAAACACAGCGCAACACACAGCACCCTTCATCCACACTCAATGTAAACTGACAGTGTGCCATTGCTCCATAAACTGTATTTATGCTAAACAAAAAAGTACATACAGTGGTCTTTGGCCTGTTTTCATCCAAGTAAATATGTGTAATACTACAGAGGTCATTATTATACATAAAAATCTGATTATCTGCATACTGTTAATCTGAATACACCTGAAAGTGTTGTTTGAATTCAGCTCTTAAGATATGCATTTAAAATTCCAGATGTGCATGTGAACATATTTTTCAAAGCCTTCGATTGTAATTATGGCAACAATTCCATAATAATAATAATAATTCCTTACATTTATTATAGCGCTTTTCCAGATGCTCAAAGCGCTTTACAAATACACATTACACATATTTTTTATACATGCAATGGTCACTGGTCATAATGATACAATCAGTCATTATTTATTTCGAGCCCTTCAACTATAAAGTGAGAGATACGATGATGCTTCACTTTTAAGCTATACTGGACTGCACTAACTTCCACTTTTTCCTTCAGAGTGGTGCCATGCTGCCGGGAGGCTGTGGATGATAAATTATGTCGTCAGACTTCTACTCCAGAGATGAGCTGGTGGAGAGGGGGTTCATCCCCCTGGACATCGACAACGTCCAGATTCTGCTGCAGGGTCAGTGTCTCTCCACTTCTAATCAAAATGACATTATAGTGATTTTATGTAATTAGGTGGATTTAATGTACTTACTACTAAGATTGTACTTGCGTGCTCACGTAGTACAGTACTAACGTTTTGTCTCAGTTTTATGATATAACAGCAGCTGTGGGGCTTTTATAGATTGGTGATTTACTTCAACAAGCATTCATTGTTTCTGTTCTCTGCAAGAGAAGTCTGAGATCATGCAACTGTAAAAAGAAAAGCCATGTGTCTTGATTTCATTGTTTTATCTTGGTAACTGTGGCAACATAATCACTTTTTAGCCTCAGTTATGCGTCTCTCTCCCGGGGGAGCAGTTTGATGATCAGTCTCAGTCTGCTGATGGCTTTGTTCTGTTTCACTTTTGTCACTTTTTTTGAGGTCATGCTTTGTTTAATCTGCTGAAACTGAACCCCTGCCCCTAGAGACACATGAGTCATTTCCCCAAGCAAAGAGCAGGAAGAAAGAGGAGGTACTAATCACTTTCACTCATTAAGTCACTGTCTCACAGGGCAGTTTTGAATATTTGAAGCAGGGCTGTGATGCTTGAGTGGGGGTCTTCATTTTATTCTCACTGTCTGTACAACATACTGTATGTTTTTTAATGGTGTGTGTGTCTGTACGTTTTGACCTCTGGTTTTATGAAGCTATTTATTTATATCAATCATTTTTTCACTTGAACGAGAGTTTGGATTAATAAGTTATATGGTAAATATTTAAAAACTCAACACCCAAAGAAACAGACCCCTCGAGATCTATGGCCTTTCTCCAGTCCTTTACACGAGTTGCTGATTGGCTGTTTGTCTCGGTCTTGGCCATTTTGTGTCCCATTTAAAGAACCAGGCCTTTGTATGAATACCAGACTTTTTCAGCGCACACCCAGAACAGACTGTTAGTGTACCGTTAGGAGACTTAACATGACAACAAATATTTGCAGGAAGATTCTGATTGATCTCCTGTGTCAGTACCTTTGGTTTCGTGGTCGGTTGAGTGGTGGATTATTGAGTCTCGGTTAAATGTTAAAGTTGTCCTCTAGTGACCGTGGCAAGGTCACAGTTAAACTCTGAGTGTGGGCAGGTATCTGTCTCGTAACCTGACACTGTTTCATCTTTTCTTTGAACTTGTCTTAGTTGCACCAGGAATAGATGGCAGCACAGGTTCTGACATGGACATCTCCTTCTATCTTCTCTCAACCTTTCTGTATTTCACTTCTTTGTATTGTGTCTTGTCACCATCCACCTCTCCCCTTATCCCCTCTTGATATAACTACTCTCTGCCCGCATGTCCCACGTTTTCTTGACGTCTATCCTCCTAACTGCCTTTATCTTTTCGATATTCACTTATTTCAGGTTTTAACACATGACTCCCCACATTTCCTCTTCACATTAAGAACACATGTTTTATTTTTATTTTTATTAAAGCCTTATAAAGCGGTTTTTCCAGTTAAAACTTTTCCAGCTGGTAAAACTTAAGAATGAATGCTCTAAGCTCCTCATGACAAGCAAGCTTATTTAAAAACGACAAAGAAAGTCCTGTTTTTGTTGGAGTATATTTGAAATGCTAATAATGGGGAAATTACAGTAAAGAAAAGCTGATACTGTGTTTGATTGTTTGGTGGATTAAAGTGTCTGCGTCATCAGATTTAGCAGGGATTCTTCCTTGTACTGGGTAACTGAAATCTAGCTGTTTTATTTGACGTTTTTTAAATTAAGAACTGTGTCAAATTAGATAGAAAGATGTTTTGTTAGCTTAAGTAGTGGCAATTGTTGTGATATCTCAGGGAGACTTTGTGACTCCACTTCAATAATAATAAGTAAAGGTCAACATCCATGATAAACACACTAAAAATGACTTGTCTTATACCTATAATTCTTGCTGATTTGATTTACTATTTAGATATATAGTGATTTTAACTAACACTAATGTACAAGGGTTGGATAAGGTACGTTTTCACAGCATATGACATTTAAATTTGACCCACATTTTCCAGTCAATGTAGCATCAATTACCCAGAAAGCTGCAGATCTAGCTTGATGCAGGTCATGTTTCAGCAGGCCTGACTCCTCTGTGCATCAGATTTAAAAGAGGAGGAGCCCAGCTGATCCCTCCTGCTTACCTGCAGGCTGGAAATGTAGACTGTTAGCTGTTAGACAGGATTTACTCTCAAACTTATTTGATATATTTCTTTACATCACCTGAAGTCATGGATCTGCAGCCTTTAGACTCGGTGTGGTAAACCATGTGTTGATTAGACAAAGCAGTTTGCTTTAGATTCACATGCAACACAGTTTGCTGACTGAAACTCTCCCTGCTGCATCAGCAAGAGTGATCCCATCATGGGTGAGTTGTTTATACTTGTCTCTATGCGTCTGACTTATTGGTACCGAACAAAACTAACTGTGCAGATCTTTAAAAATACTACAATGCACACTATTATATCACCTTGTGAGAATGTTTACCCCCCAGGTGGTGCATTATAACAGTAGAGATATACAGCTATATAAGTATTTGATTCTAAGATATATATCTAGAACTAAAGGATTTCAGATCATCATAAGCTGAAAATAAGTTCTGCTCTGAACCATGATGTGTCAATTTAATGTATCAGTATTTTTTTTATCAGCAAATCAATCAGAAGTCAAATACAGACTTCTTTTTCCTTTTGAAATAAAGTTTGTTCTTAGGGCCAGGGCAGGTTTGTACCTGATAAGAATAACATATGTGTCCTACCAATGCATGTATTCACTTCTTAAGCCACCAATATCAGTGTAGGGACTTCACAGGTATGTCGATTTGTGGGAATATTTTAAAACACAAGCCAGTGTGTCATATGTCAAATTCAGTGGAACAAAAAGCTAGAGCTTGGCTCCTGTCCAGAGTCTTTACTTTTGATCAGCTTTGTGTGAAAAGATCATTTAAGAAAGCATCGCCTTGATGTGATGTGACATTAAGAGCTGTGATGTGACATTAAGGAAAGTTCATGTTTGTTCATGCCTGCTTTACAGGGACTCTGGTTTTGCATTAAAGTGGGGAAAATTAAGAACATCCACCATTCAGAAACTTCTAGTACTAAAACAGCTTAATCTGCCTCTTCACCAGAAACATTGTTGGGTCCTGTTTTGGACTCATCTAGAAGGCTACTGAGAAAGTGCAGACCTCCGCCAATTCATCAAAAGTGAAACATTATTTGCATATTCTTCACCCAATAGGTGGATGCGTTCAAAAATCTAATAGGTTCTTCCTTGGACCATGCTTCACACTTCCACAAAGTTACATGAAAATCATTGTTTCAACAAAACTGCCACAGTTAACTGAACAGCCTGACACTATTCTAGCTAAAAAGCATGTCCTCTCTTGACTACCAACAAAACATATGATTAGCGAACATGCTATTCGTTTCTGTTGACTGCTACACAGAAACAAACGATGAGATGGCCAAGTTATCATCTTAACCGGCTCAGTTGCCCCGATAGTGTCTCGGACCAGAAAGCGCTATAGAGCTCTTAACCTGAAGGCATTAGCCCACCACACTGTAAGGAGGGGGGGGGTTAAGTAATACAGATAATACTGGTCTAAGGCCAATTTCGGGCCCATGCTAAGGTCTCTGATGCTGATGCTACATTGTCAAAAAACAAATGCTTGGAGAAATCTGCCGAAGTAGAGCTACTGTAGGTAACGTTAACTGTTAGCACAGTCCTGCTTGATTCTGCTACCTCTTTAATTGATATTATTTGCGTTTTCTATTAACATTTGGTATAAAACTAGCGATTTCTTTCATGAGCTTATACTGTACAGCTCCATATATTGTACTACTCTGGAACTGACTTAAAGGGCACTCCGGTTACAGTGACCAAATGGGTTTGTTTTTAAAATACATCTTCTTGGCAAACTCTCAAGTGTGTCACAACTCTCCAGTTTCTTCATCATCTTTACTTGCCACTGTGGCCAGACTGGAACTCTTGAAAATGTTTAGGTTCCTCATCTTTTTGGTGGGTTTGGAGATCAGTGAAAATCAACACCTTCCCCTTCTCCCTCAGTTTTGTCCGATGATACTGTAGCAGATTAATTACGATAAGATGTCTTGGGGGCTCCCTATGTTTAAGATTAGACTGCAAGTGAACCGAAGCCAGAGGGTGCCTGCTGTTAAAGATATTAAATCAGAGAATAGTCTGTAAACTGCCTGTTGATGCATCTCATAGGACCAGACAGCCTGAGAGAGAGCCGGAGCGCAGCACGGATATGATAGGACTACTAACTTTTAACAAACTGAGAAAGTAATCGATCAAAATTCGACTGGAACTCAATATTGCTATATGATTGCTATATTGCTAAATATCAGTATTCAAGATGAGGGACGATGGGGCAATTTAGAAAAAGATAGGTGGTAGCAAGAGTCGGAAGACTCAGAAGACATTGGTACCGATTGAAAATATGTGAACGACTTCCCAACGTATGGAACAGCTTGATTAAAGAAACTACATTGGCTTATTGTATTTGGAGTCAAAGAAGAATTGCGTTGAAGGATAGATCCTCTTGTTGGAAATACTGTATGTTGTAATCAATCAGAGATTCTTGAGAAGCTCCATTTTTTTAAATTTGTTATTATAAATTCATTATTTGAGGAAAATGGAAAATGAGGACTGGATTATATGTGAGACCCTTCATACTGTCAGTGACCTGGATGACTTCATTGAGCTTTACAATGGTGAGTGGTAGAGCATTTACTTACCAAATCTGTTGTTATTGAAACTGTTTTGTATTTTATCTGAATGCTAAAGCATTTATGTAGCTTGTACTGTAGAAAGGTGTTTTATGGATATACTTTATATTACAGTTTCCCTTAGGAGTAATCAATAAATTCAATCTAAAATAAAAAATAATTGAACCTCGACATCCCTGAGCTGAATGCTTTTTGTCAGAAACGCCCCTTTTAAATGTATACAAATACACAAATGCACAGATCTAAAGTGGCCAATCCTGTACACCAAAATATCTACATGTGTGTCAAATACATGTACACAATATCTTGTTGCATACAATTTCAAATGTATTCTAAGGGTTTTAAAAATGTATTGTAGATCTATAAATGTATGTCAGAAAAGTATTGCAAGCTGTAGAGAAAAAAAGATTATTAAAAAGTGGGATGCTTGGTTATTTGATTTATCTGATGGTTACGTGCAGCTCTGCCTGTGCTGAATTATTTTCTGTGGCTTTCATTATTGCACAGAGGCTTTCTGCTTGTTCAGGCAACACTGATCAAATACCTGTTTGTGATTATCCTACCCAAAGGTTCCCCAAACTGATTGGCTACACCTTTGGGTGTTAGCTGCAGTAATAACCTGCCTTTAAAAGGCAAGGTTGTTATATTTGTAAGCACCCGACTAATTTCACAATAGCTCTACAAAACTCCTTGACTGCTGTGAGGACTGCACAAACTTTGTTATATCACTGAACACATGTACTATTATACTACTTGCTTTCAACCCTTAAGAACACAAACATTGAGTGTGCTTTGATTTGTGCCGCTATTGGTATTTTATAATCGCGAAGGATCAGTTTAGCTTTAGTCTCTGTTTGTCTCCAGAGTTTTACCACCACATGTACCTGGAAATGCACATGGAGTTTGTAGAACAGTGAAATGTGTGTGCAATGTCTAAAGCTCGTTCTTTGTTTTAAATCAGAATGAAGTATGTTCTGGTTAAAGTTGACGGTGTCTCATCAATTACATGAGAATTTAGAAAGTTTGTCATTATACTCCAAAATAACAGATATGACTTTGTTGATCTCTTGCCCCTTTGGCAGAAGTTGTTTAAATATAAGCAAATACAATGTTAAGGTAAATGGATAGTTGGAGCTTTTGGTGTGGGGTAGTAAGAGCTACTACTCCATACTCAGTGTATTACCTAGAGTAAATGACGGTCAGCACACCAGCTTGGATAAGTACCTCATATAACCTGATCTCAAAACATCCGAACCACCCCTTTAAGGTTAATGACACATTTTTGTCATTCTTAAAAAGAAACCAACAGTGAAATGCAAATCCTCTGCTGTTGAGTTCTGGTGTTTTTTTTGTTTTTTTCTGTACATTTTCTTGGGGATAATTGTGTCCAGTTTGTCCATTGACCCTGCTTGTTAATGCTCTCCAGTGAGGTGTTTAGTACAGCAAAAACACTGTTGCTTATAATAAATAATCACAAAAAAGGACTACTCACTCAAGATAATTAGGAATGCATTGCATATTGACTTTAATACCCGAACTACTTGAGTGATTTAGTGTTTGGATGTGAAACTATATATTTAAAATTGACATTGTGTGCTTATTTTTCTTCCGCAGTGGAACAAGAACAGATTCAGAAGAAGACCTTCACTAACTGGGTCAACGCTCAGCTGGCAAAGGTGAGCTAAGTCCTTCAAATCTGTCCTGTCTGAAGCCGGTATGTTAATGGCGTAGGATGCAATGTAATCATTCTTGATGGGAAATCAGGTCATAAAGATATTATAATGATAGGACAATCACATTTTATAGATAAAACAATATTAACATCCTCTAAGACAGGAAACTGTAGCTCCTCCTACAAAAAATTGATAATTATAATTTATGGGATAACCCAAAAATATATTGGTTCAGTTTATTTACCACACCCAGTGTGTGAAAAAGTGCACGTCCGATCGTCCGGGACGTGCTATTTACAATATCGGACAAGTACATCTTTCCATTGACGTGTCCGACGGGCAAGTGACGTTTTTCGCCCATATTTATTGACAAATTATTGATAAATTCAGTTTACAGAACTCATTCGCAAATTGTCTGTGTCCGCCATTGTTTTTGCGACCGCTTAATGTTTCCTTCTTTGTCATGTATGATTAGGGATGGGGTACCGAGCCCTGGTATTAAACGGGCCCCGCGGCGTAATTATTAAATACAGTGGTACCACTAAGCTCCGACGTTATCGGTGTTTTTATCGGTACTGGAGACATTTAAAACATATATGTCATATGTATTATTGCTGCATAAACATTATATTGCAGTTTTAGTGTCGCCAACTCCGTTTCTGATATGCAATAAGACTACAAAATGCGTCTATGATGCATTTTCGATCTTTCCAATCCAGACGAGAGATCTCTCTCCCTCGTCTGTGTGTGAGGGGGCTGGGCAGTTTACACATGCTGCCACACACACACACACACACACACACACACACACACACACACACACACACACACACACACACACACACACACACACACACACACACACACACACACACACACACACACACACACACACACACACACACCCACACACACACACACCCACACACACACACACACACACATACACATACACACACACACACACACCACACACACACACACACACACACACACACACACACACACACACACACACACACACACACGGCAGAGAGAACTAAGCGCTCCAAGGTGTGGTTAAACTTTACCCGTCTCGATGTGGACAATGCTTGTTGCCAAAAGTGCAATAAGAGTTTAGCAATAAGAGTTTAGCATGTAACCCTAACACGAGCACTTTGTCTAAACAACAACACATTATGTCCCGTAATGTTCCACCACAACCTCAATCTTCCTCCAGAAGAATTGTTAGGCCTTTTGCAGCATACCTGTCTGCCCCACCTGTGTTGCTCTGTACCACTGTATTTTTGCAGTAAATACTTGTATATTATTTGTTTTTTACAGTTCTGTAAGTTCACATTATTTACAATTTGTCTAGTTAATTTACCTTTTTTTTTTCTCTCAAAAGAACCGATAAGAGTACCGTTAAAGGACCGGATCGATAAGCGGTATTGATAAAAGTAGTAGTACCGTTAAAACGATAAAACGATGTGTGATGCAGTCAAATCTTACCGCTCACTTACGCGGTGTCGTAAAACCGTGGGAAAATGTAAAATACAATGACGAAGAAGAAGATTCCAGTGGCCCCAAGAGGAAGATTCTTATATAGCATGTTTCTTGCCAAATATGAACAAATAAACAATACAATTTTACCTTAGTTACAGTAACCCAGATTATTGTATGCTTTATGTTGATATTTAATAATATTTAAGATAGGTGCAGCATGCGCAAAGTATACTGAAACATTTATTCGGACAAGTAAATTGCCAAACTCACTTGTCCATGGTCATGTACTCTCTAAAAACCTTTTCTTACACTGACACCATAACTACATGATAACTAAATCTCTACAAAATGTCTACATTTTATATCCTCAATTAACATATTAGGAAAATAACCACACAGCACCACACATTTTATATTGGCTAACTTCTTAAATCAAATGTGTCAGTGGGCAATATTAAATGCTTTGAAAAGCCTCAAAGAGCAAAGGAAATGAAAACAAATTCATACACCTCTTAATGCAACATGTGCAAAAATAAAATAACACATCCACATCCTACTTTTTATAACAGTTGGAGGGTTTCCCAGTCTGCAGCTCTTTTACAGGACATCTTAAATGGCTTGGATTTGAAAATGTAAGGCAAAACAGTCCCCCCCCCCCCCAATCTACCTCCTGACATGATTCAGCAGCAGCTCTCTCTCTGACTTGTGTTGGACGTCAGCTGTGAGTGTGTTGGTGGAGGACGGTGGGGTGGAGGTGGGGAGCCGTGTTCATAAATATAGCATTGAGGAGCAAGGTTCAAGGCAGACAGACAGACAGCAACAGACGCCGCCACACACACCCCTTCCTTTCACCACCGGCCACACCCCCACATCCCCCCAATCCTCCCGCCGGACATCCACCCTGCTCTGGGCTCGCGTTGGGCACACTGGGGACTTTGCCAAAAAATGGAGGGTTGAGATAACAGTAAATCCTTTGGTGGTTGATCACATAAGAGCTCACGTTGTTACATAACCTTGTGTCCCATGTTACTTTGGAAAAACTTAAGTTGCTGACATTCGGCAGTGTTTGTAAGCAAATTATTTTGTGGTGTAGGAAACATAATAATACATTCTTCTGGAGAATGGTTTATATTTAAACTTAAGATTTTCCAAGTAGTTTCAAAGTAAAATAAATATATACAAAAATATAGTAGTCCTCAGCCAGCTGTCCTGTTCAGAAACAGGGCAGTGTTTTTATTGTGATGTTTTAGTCACCTATTATTATAAAGGGTGTGCATGCATTACTTTATATCATTCATATTTTTTGATTTGTTGCCTGTTTTATGCAAACTACTGTACAAAGCATCATTATCTGGAGAAAATGTCCCATTTACAGACCTTCTCAGAAACAGTTTGTTTTGAACTAGTCCTCCTCATGCTTAAGAGTTTTAACTGAATTTAATTGGAAGGAGCAAGTCATCCTTTAGCTCAGGCCTCATGGACATGGAAAGTTGCATGACTAAAAGATTTCTATCTCAACAGATTTTTGGAAAGATAAATTGTGTCGCAGAAAAGCTTCTTGCTCGTCTTTGACTTTTTTATGAAAGGGTTTTTGGAAAAAACTAGAGACAAAAGAAACCAATAGTCCAAGCAAAGATATCTGTTCTCTTAGGGGCAAACAAACTCCATTAATTACACATCACTTCCAACCGCTATCTGCCCCATCTCAAGGTCCCATTTAATGAAGATGTTACAGCGCAAACAAGCCAATACAGTTGATCAGCTGAGTGCAATTACCCATGAGGCAGAGTATGAATGTCGCCTCTGTGCCAAGAGCACAGTAAACAAAACAAAGTCAGAATGAAAAAGTATTTCAGACGGTAAGCTACAGGTCCTGATTGACAAGGTGCAGAAGCATTCCTCAAAACTTCAGGCAAAGAAGTTAAACATGACAGAGAGAAACCATATTTAGGATTTCATATGCCATGATAGAGAGTTTTTGGTAACTGAAGTATTTTAAAAGGGGTCTGTAGCAGAGAATTTGATCTGAACACACTCATTTCACTGAATCTGTGTGTTGCTATTAGTGATGATCTTTGTGAATTTACTGTTTTTCCAATAAGGCTCATTTGTTTGGGCAGATTTTGCTCCATTCATATCATCTTATTTAAATATTTGAATCGAACACGAGCACCACAACGCTTTTTGATTAGGAGTTGAGGTGCATTTCACCTGTAGTGGCACTAATACTAACTAGGGCTGTACCCGAATATCCGAATATTCGGTCGTTGGCCTACTATTCGGTTTTCAATTTCCTTATTCGGATATTCGCTTTTTTTCTTTTTGAATTCATTGAAATCTCCAATATCAACGTAAGAGCTTGTGCCTCTTCGGGGGGTGCTAACACTTAACCATACACTTTATCCTTTACTTTCTCCGTCTTTATATGTAGATATTACTTTTCTCTGTTAATCTCCGCTCCTTTTTTTCCGTCACGTTGTTTCCATAGCAACAACCACTTCCTGTCAACAGCGCTAACTCTCCTTCAAAATAAAAGCATGTCCATACAAAATAGGAAGCCAAGCCAAATTACACTTAAGACATATATACAACTGCAACGAAAGTAACAAACACAATACGATATCCTTTTCAATTTCAAAGAACACAAAATGGGTTGTATACATTAACAAATAACTATAAAACAACAATACTGTAGGATAACAAAATGAATGCCTTGAATAAACCGAAATACACGCGTTGAAGCCCCCCCCCGCGCGCCAAATATTCGCTGCTGATTACTATCGAATATCCCGAGCCCGAAAAATGGTATTCGGGACAGCCCAAATACTAACACAGTTTGTTTGTTTTTTGTGCAGGTTTAGCATCCCTTTTGTACATTTTCTCCAAAGTAAAACATATAATATGAATACAATTAAAATGTGTGTGATTTGTGTTTGGTGACAGCGGGTGCCACCATGCATGATCGTGGATCTGTTCAACGATTTCCGAGATGGCTCCAAGCTGTTGGACCTGCTGGAGGTGATGAGCAGTCAGCGCATGGTGAGTAACTCTCTGTTCAACACTCAACATGTTTTCAGCATCGTCGGACAGTTTGAACGAACCCACTGACTGGCTGACTCTGGTTGTGTTTGCAGACTCGGGAGAGAGGCCGGGGAATGTTTCAGCACAGGAGCAACATCGAGAAGGCCCTTTTATTTCTGAAGATGAAATCGGTAAATGACACACTAAGTCTGTTAGCCAAATGCAATCATCAACCATATAGGGATGTTTCGACTGTTGTTGTTAACAAAACCAGAAGGATGATGCGTTTTGGAAACACATTTTCCCATAAAAATCATACTAGTTATACAGTTACGGGTCTAAATGTGGCTTGCATTGTTTGTAAGGAATAATGAGAATACTACATTTCTACAATTATTTCTTTCCTTTGTATGTATCAATTGACCCTTTTGTGGAATTTTGCAAAACATTTCTGTTTTGTTGCCAGATTAAACTAGTCAACATAAACATTCCTGACATCATTGATGGTAAACCGTCCATTATCCTGGGCCTCATATGGACGATCATTCTCCAGTATCATGTAAGTGACATTTTGTATCTTTTTTGTTGTTGTCTTAATATTTCTTTGAGTTTTTCCCTTTGTTTAGTTTTTTCCCACTCACAATAATAAAACCTTATGTAAGCCTGCATGAATATGTAACAGTTATTCTCCTATTGTCTGTGTTCTATACTAAATATATTTTGGATATCATTATTAGATTTGTGCAGATTTCTTAGTTTTACAAAATGTTTCTACTTTTGATCAACATGCTCCAATTAAGCACGTTAATTTAAACTTAACACCTGAAGCACGGCATATGTGTAAGCCATAGGATTTTTGTGTATTTTTCATGATTTTAAGTTTCCTTTGTTTCTGAAAAGATAATGATTTCCCTTCTTTTTTTTCTTGATTTTGAACGTATTTCTTACTGTTTCACACCTTTTTTAAATGTCTACAAATGTCCCATGCATAAAATAATGAACAGAAACTGTGTGTTGGTGCTTCTCTCAGATCGAGGAGTTGGCCAGCAGCCTCTCGTTCAATTCCCGTCAGTCGTCCATGGAGTCCCTGGTCAGTCTTGACTCGCGCTCCACGCTGTCGAGCCGCTCGACCAGCAGCAGTCCGGTTCCTCCCAGAGGCTCGCCACTGCACCGGCGCTTCAGGGTCTCTGCCAAGAAGGCCCTCCTGCTCTGGGTCCGGGAACAGTGCCACAAGTACGCACCCAGTCAACTGAATGCTATAAAGGAACACATATGCCCTTATATGTGCTGTGTAGGGTTTATTTAAGGCAGGGGTGGGGAACTCCGGCCCCCGGGCCGTATTCTTTCACACACACATACGGGTATTGGGCCGAGGGCGACACCGTACTTCCGGTATCTGCCATTTTACGCGAGGTGCAAGCAGGCCAAGGGTTTAGCCGTACACCTTCTAGGTGTTGCTAAGCTTCCTGTACTGAATATCATAGTTTATTGCCTTAATCAATATCTAGTCAACTCTAAAATACCACATATATGCAATGGCATGATAATATTATTGTGACAAGTGGGGTATTCACCTGGTGTTTCCAGAAATTAGACGTAGATGCAGCCAAAATCGACGAAGGCCACTGTCGTTTTTCCATACATCTGCAGGCAGTCTGTAAGGACAATCCGACAACCCACACAGCTCTAGTTTACGCTGGTAACGACCTAGAGCACACCCCTCAAGTCCAGAGATGTAATCCGAAGACATGCAGCGATTTCTTAGGTCGTTAATTCAGAAAAAAAAACTAGTGCGCTCTGCCTGGCTACGTTAGCTAGCTGTTTATATTTGCACCTCCAGGAAAATGGCGTATTTATATATGGCGCGCGTTGCATTGTGGGTAGCTCGTGACGTCACTGTGTGTGAAAGAATACGGCCCGCGAGACAATTTGATACGGTCCTTGAGGTAACGGTAACACACGCAAAAAAGAAGGAAAAATAAATAAATCTAGACCGCAAAAGAATTAAACAAGCGAGGGCCTGTTTTTCCTGGACAAGGTCAGGGTCCTTGAACACAACACGAGCCTATCGTGTCATCACATGGTATATGTCTTGTCCGACAGGGGTTTAGAGCTGACGGAGAGCATCAGAACGCCGCTCCGGGACTTCACAAATTGCAGTACCCATAAGGAGCCGTACAGATGCTGCAGTTTCTGCGTGGCTGTGTTTTAGTTGAAAGCCCAGTGGCGATCTGTTCATCTGTCATACTGATCATACAGTCAATAACTTTGTTGTTATTAGCATCTGGTTAGCTAGCTATGCTAACGAATATAAGAAGCTTTTTCTACAACCAGTGAGGTAAAGGCACATCTTCATATGATCCTTATAGTTGCTTTATAGTATAACAAATAAGAGAATAAAGTAAACAGGTATAAAATACTATATAACAGTAAAAAAAGGTTGTTATTAATAAACAAGAATACAGTTTGAAAGGGGAGTGATTTGTAAAATATCCAAAAAGAAAATGTGCTTACAGTTCTGTTTCATATGGGTGTTGAAAGATGTATCCATAGATCTCCTAATGTTGCTCTCAAAGTGCACCAGATTGAAGCTTTTAACTTCAATATTTAAAAACAAATCTTCCCGGGGGAGCATGCCCCCGGACCCCCCTAGAGGGGGTTAGGTCCCCCCCCCACACTTAAATCATGTTCACATGGATAGGAAACTAATTTGCACACATCTTGTGTCCATATTTATTACATTACATTGCATTTAGCTGACGCTTTTATCCAAAGCGACTTACAATAAGTACATTCGACCAGGAAGACACAACCTTGAAGAAAACAGAATCATATAAGTATATCAGGTTTCATAGAGCCAAACATTTCAAGTGCTACTCAACTGGCTTTAGGTAATCCAGTCCTTTATTAGTATAAAAGTGCTTCGTTAATCGTTCTAACGCTCGAAGTGGAGTCGAAAGAGATGAGTTTTTCAGTTTGCGCCGGAAGATGTGCAAGCTATCTGCCGTCCTGATGTCAATGGGGAGCTCATTCCACCATCTTGGAGCCAGGACAGCAAACCCACGTGTTTTCGCCGATGGGAACTTGGGTCCCCCTCGCAGCGAGGGCGCAACGAGTCGTTTGGCTGATGCAGAGCGTAGTGCACGCGCTGGGGTGTACGGTTTAACCATGTCCTGGATGTAGGAAGGGCCAGATCCATTCGCAGCACGGTAAGCAAGTACCAGTGTCTTGAAGTGGATTCTAGCAGTTACCGGAAGCCAGTGAAGGGAGCGGAGGAGCGGAGTGGTGTGGGAGAATTTAGGAAGGTTGAAAACCAGACGAGCCGCTGCATTCTGGATGAGCTGCAGAGGTCGGATGGCACATGCAGGTAGACCAGCCAGGAGGGAGTTGCAGTAGTCTAGGCGTGAGATGACGAGAGCCTGGACCAGAACCTGAGTCGCTTTCTGAGTCAGCTGGGGACGTATCTTCCTGATGTTGTAAAGCGTGTATCTGCAGCAACGGGTTGTAGCAGCGATGTTTGCAGTGAAGGACAGGTTGTTATCTAGGGTCACACCCAGATTCCTTGCAGTCTGAGTCGGGGAAACAACTGAGGTGCCGATGTTGATTGTCAGGTCAAGAGTTGGACAATCTTTTCCCGGGAGGAAGAGCAGCTCAGTCTTGTCAAGGTTGAGCTTGAGGTGGTGAGCAGACATCCACTGAGAGATGTCAGCTAGACAAGCAGAGATGCGTGCGACGACCTGGGTCTCTGAGCGGGGAAAGGACAGAATTAATTGGGTGTCGTCAGCGTAGCAGTGGTAAGAAAAACCATGCGGGCTAATGACTGATCCGAGCGAGTTTGTGTACAAGGAGAAGAGGAGGGGACCAAGAACAGAGCCCTGAGGGACCCCCGTAGTTAATTGACAAGGGTCGGACTTAGACCCTCTCCAAGTCACCCTGTAGGTACGGTCTTTCAGGTATGAGGTGAGGAGGGAAAGTGCAGAGCCTGAAACTCCAAGTTTTTGGAGAGTGCGAAGGAGGATCTGATGATTCACCGTGTCGAATGCAGCAGACAGGTCCAACAGGATGATGACAGAGGAGAGGGATGCAGTTTTGGCAGTGTGCAGTTCCTCCGTGACAGCAATGAGAGCAGTTTCTGTGGAGTGACCTGCCCTTGAAACCAGACTGGTGCGGATCCAGAAGGTTGTTCTGATTGAGATAACAGGAGAGTTGTTTAAAGACAGCGCGTTCAAGTGATTTAGACAGGAACGGGAGGAGAGAGACAGGCCTGTAGTTTATAACATCAGACGGGTTGAGAGTGGGTTTCTTTAGGAGAGGGTTTACTCTTGCCTCCTTGAGACTGTTTGGAAAGTGACCAGAAGTTAGAGAAGTGTTGATGAAATGGGGGGAGAAACGGTAGAATATCAGGAGCGATAGTCTGAAGGAGGTTTGAATGGATAGGGTCCAGAGGACAGGTGGTAGGGCGGGCAGAGGTAATGAGGGTAAGAACCTCACTTGGAGAGAGAGGGGAAAAGGAGGTTAGTGTGTTGGTGGAAGGAAGGTCTGGTGACCCAGCGGTGAGTAAAGGTGAGTCAGAAAAAGAAGAGCGAATATCATTAACCTTTTTTCAAAGTGGGTAACAAAGTCGCTTGACAGAAGTGAGGAGGGGGGAGGAGCTTTTGGAGGGTCCAAGAGGGTGGAGAAGATGGAAAATAGTTTTTTAGGATTGGAATAGGAAGATTGGATCTTATCTTGAAAGAAAGTGCTTTTTGCCTGAGAGATCGAAGCAGAGAAAGAGGAGAGGAGAGCTTGATAGGTTAGGAGGTCGTCACGGTGTTTGGATTTCCACCATTTCCGCTCTGCTGCCCTAAGGACGGTTCTATTAGCACGCAGTGCATCATTTAGCCAGGGAGCCGGAGGGGACTGACGAGCCTGCCGAGATGTCAGAGGACAGAGCGAGTCCAGAGTGGATGAGAGAGTAGAGAGGAGAGTTTCTGCAGCAGAGTTTGGAGGCAGTAGTTGGAACGAATCAGAGGAAGGGAGGGCTGAGAGCACCGACGAGGCAAAGGTAGAGGGAGAGAGGGAGCGAAGGTTACGGCGGACAAGTGTAGGATGGGAAGAGATTAGTTTGTTATGTTTGGAAAGGGATAGAGAGAATGAAATGAAGAAGTGATCGGATGTGTGGAGCGGGTTTACAGAGAGGTTAGAAGTAGCGCAGTTCCTTGAGAATATGAGATCAAGGACATTGCCAGCTTTATGAGTCGGTGGGGACGGAGAGAGTGAGAAAGCAAAGGCGGTTAACAGAGATGTTAGTTCGTCTATCTTCCCCATCTGGAGGTTGAAGTCTCCGAGAAGTACAGCGGGAGGGCCAGTTTCAGGGATGTGTGAGAGGAGATGATCTAATTCCTCCAAGAAGTCCCCCAAGGCGCCTGGTGGACGGTAGAGAACAACAATGGTTAACTGTATAGGATGGGTTACTGTGACGGCATGGAACTCAAAGGTGGAAGGAGTGAAGTTAGGTAGCTTGAAGAGGGAAGAGCTCCATTTGGGAGAGAGCAGGAGACCAGTGCCACCATATCTTTCTGTTTTGGTGGTCATGCCACACCGTGCACATGCATGCATGCGCGAGTCATGGTGAGATATCTGGATTTAGAGGTTGCGTTTTCTTTGCACAGCATGAAAGAAAGACAAAATGAATGGGCTGTGATTTTAGTATTTTTAAGCAGAGGTCAATAATTTGTACGGCCCTCGGAGGATGTTGAAAACATTGAAATGGCCCTTGAGAGGAAAAAGGTTCCCCACCCCTGATTTAAGGTAACATTGATATTAATCGACTTCATACAGCCTTGAAAACCCTCTAATTAACTGTAGGGGCTGATGGATCATCACACGTCATGACCATCAAACTTTTGAAACTGCCAGCTCTGGGATAAAGACCAAAACCTAATCAGGGCTTTCTTATCTCGGCTTGAAGCGTTCATATACTGCCTGCCAAAATCTCCTACATTGGCTTTAACAGTGTTTATGTTACATATTACGTTCCAGCATTTGTTAATAGATGTATGAGATATTATAAAATCGCTGTGCTGACTTAATGCCATTTCTAAATGTTTTATTTTTAAAAAATCTATAAAATTGTTTTGAAAATGGCTTTCGGGCGTTGCATTCATATCTTTTATCCTAGTATTTAGATTTGAGCTTGTCTGTACTTGATCTTAAAAGGCCTATCTATGGACGTCTTAAGAGAAATGTCAGACATTTTTTGTTTCTTTACATCCTTTTTCCACGTCTGTTCTAAATAATTTTCTCTCTTTTGTTTTTCAATAAAAGTGTTTTACCTGTAAAACAGCTAGAAAAAAAGTTTGATAAGCTAAAAAAAGGTTTTCCAGCATTATTTAAAAAAGTATTTGTTGTGGTAATGCTCTTTGTGGCCACCAGAGGCTGAAATACTTGGACCACGAGTTAGTAGAAAAAAGGCTTGCTTCTGTACCATTTGTAAATATGTCGAGAAGCAACAGACCCTCTGACAGACAACCTTTTTCCCTCAGAGCTGGCTGTTCAATAAATGTGAAAGACTTCAAAGCCAGCTGGAGGAGTGGGGTGGTGTTCTTGGCGATCCAGTACGCTCTGCGGCCTGACCTGGTGGATCTGTCCAAAGCCAGAACCAGGAGCAACAAGCAGAACCTGGAGGAGGCCTTCCGCATCGCAGAGAAAGAGCTGAAGATCCCCCGACTGCTGGACCCTGACGGTGGGTCATTCAGCTCTACTGCACTCAGGGAACATCATGGGAATATGTTAAGATATTATAAGCACTAAAGTCTCTCGACTCCATCAGACAATAGTTCCTGTATGGTCATTGTACAAGACTTATTTTTGTAGTACTAGAAGACGAATACTACTGCCAATAATGATAGATGACGCATTTTGGATTTAGCCTAATTGTTATTTAGTTTGGACACAAATGGAAATGGTTATACAGTAAAACAAATAATTATAATTTGACATAAAAAATAAATCTTATATTTACCTGCTTACATGACCTTAAAGGGGACCTATCATGCAAAATCCACTTTTTCATGTCTTTTATACACAAACATGTGTCCCCTCTGTGTAAAGAGCTTCTGAAAGTTTCAGGAAAAAAGATTCTCTCTCTTTTTGTCCTGATCCATTTATATAAAACCTGTCTGAAAATGAGCTGATCAGATTTTGGCCACTTTATGATGTCATAATTTTTTTTTGGCTTGTGTAACCATTAGCCAATCACCAACCAAGGTTGTCAACCACTTATCACCTGAATCTCCCCCTAGAGCACCTTTGTGTTCTTTCTAACCAAACATCTCTCAGAGGGGCTCCTTATTTTCATCTAAAGTAACAGACAGAGAATCAGCACTTTGGAAACAGGGCTGAAACAGAGGGGATTATGGGTAATGCTGCAATGATCTGTTTGGTGTTTGGAGCCAAACACTTCAGAGACATGTTTTGTATATATCTGAGAACTATAATATATTGATGAAAACCAGTATAATAGGGGACCTTTAAGTAAATATGATGTATGCGCGTGGAGGCTGAAGTTTTGCAAAAACTTCGATGATTTATTAGCTCATACTGTCACTGGTATTTCTTCTGGCTTGTAATGCTTCCTGAGATACATTTATATTTACAGCATATGTGCACTTGAACAAACTTGGCACCTATGTGAGCTTTATTTTATTATTATTGATAATAAAACTCTCATAATCCATTCCCAACTTTTTCAATTGCAGTACATTTCAAGAGGCTTTCTTTCAATACTTTCTTTGCAGTTTGTCATGTGAATGCTAATGCAGGAATATTAGTTTCATAACACGATAACCATAACTTGCTTTGTGATTTACTGAACACGCACAGTCACTTAACCTCTGTACTGTGCTTTATTCACTAATTTCAAACACATCTCTGTTCCAGTCTTTTGTTCATGCAGCTCATCCTCCACGCCTTTTAGTCTTCTCCAAAATGATTCATCGGCTTTGTCGCTTGCCATTCCTGTGTTGCAGTAATTCATGTGTTGCCACGTGAATCTTTGTGAATGTGTGTGTACTGTAGATGAGTTTTGTGACAGAGCCATGCCCAGCTAGCCTGAGGGCAAGTGGGATGTCGATCTGACAGCCTGCTGACTCACCTCCTGTTTGTTTCCTTGTGTCTTCTATAAAACCCTCCTCCCTTATTTTCACTCTGTCTGTTAGTTTGTTAGCAGACTTTGATCAGCCTGATGTTTTATAGACAGAAGCTGCACCTCAATTCTTCAGATTCCAGTATTAAACTTCACCTGCCTCAGGAGCTAACGAGCTAATGTGCTAGTGTAAGCTTTTTGAAAGTAGAGTGAGTTTGATCATGGAGGATTGTGATTTGGATGCAGATGTGGACGTTCGAGACCCTGATGAGAAGTCCATCATGACCTACGTGGCTCAGTTCCTGCAGTACTCCAAAGACCTGCCAGCGGCAGAGGAAGAAATGCAGGTGTGTAACACTAAATTATTTTCTAGACAAATATCATAGTGCATTATTTAACACTGCGGGAAGTTTTAAAATCAGAATAGCTTCTATTTTGACATCCAGCTCAGGTAGAGTTACAGTAAAGGCACTGCTGGCCAATGTCAACAATTAAGGCAGCTAAGCTCTAATACACTCCTGATCTGTAAGCATTGATTTGGTGATATGCATATCAGTAAAGGTTAAAACATCAAGATTATAATCATGTCAAATCTAGCTTTAAATCTTTTTAGATAATAGTCAGCATTATTTAGTCTACACTATATCAATGTGAAGCATGTCGAAACTACACATTGAGATGTAGTCACTGATGTAATGTGTGTACATACTTTAATGTATCAACTCGTTGTTGCCATTGTTTAACCTACACATATCATTTCACGTGCAAATGACCAATTGATAACTTAAAGGGTTTAAGTACATTCGTTTTTATGTTTGCAAGAGTCAGATAATGTTGTGCTGTTGACAAAATCAAAGTACGAGTATAAAGCTGGATAAATGCAGCTTGTTTAGCAGGAGTCCTTTGAATTCTGGACTGGTTCTAAAGATATAAACACGACGTAGTGTTTTTTTCAGTACAACAATAATAGTATTGTCTTCATAGCACCACACACCCCCTTCTGCACAGCTTCGGTCAACTCTAGTGCTGTAAACAGTCTCGTAAACACAGGAGTCTGCTTTGAACTGGTTGTCACCTTGAGTGCCCTTTTTCTGCCATTTAGTGTCTAATACACGTAGATAAATGTGTAAGAAATGAAGGATGTGTTTTTGAAAGTTGCAAAGAAATCAATCACAGTTTGCGGAGTACATTTTACTAAACGGTATCGCATTTGTAAAGTCTTATTTTAACTGTAATAAGTTAAGTACTGATGAACATGTCTGATGTTAATACGATTGGTTTCTTTTTTTTTTTTTTACTGTCTATACAACTTGCTATTATCTTCCTACAATCTTTTCTTTGGGGGGGATGTCTTTATTTTCTTGGCATACTTTTCTTACTGTTTCTTCCTCTCTCTTCTATTCCTTTTTCCTTCTAGACGCAATACCTAAATCTTCCTAAAAGTCCTTCTCCTGTCAACCTGCCTGTTCACTACACTCCTGCTATTTCTGCTTCACCTCTGCGACAGGTACAACTGAAAGTAAAACCATGGACTAAATCACAATGAATATCTGCATAATCCTCACAAAGGAAATCATATTGGGTATTCGGGATGTGATTTGCTGTTACCTTTTTGGGGTTTCAGATGATACATTTTCTGTAATTAGCAGTACATTTAGAGTCAATAAAGGGATAATGAAATGTGGATAAACAGAGAAAATAATACCACCAGACATGGATACTAACTGCTGCAGCCATTTAAATTAAAAAGTGAGTCACTAAGAGCGTATATTATCTGTGAATCATACCAGGTTTAAAACAGGACAGATCATGCAGAATCAAACTTGTTAGCCCTGTTTTCTGGGAAATTCAAAGCCGCAGCGAGGGTGTGTTTCTCTGCCTCCCATGAGGTGAAGAAAGCACTCGCAGGCTGCAGCTATTCCTTCCTTCGACTGAGATATGCTGCTGTCGCCTGCTGCAGAACTCATGACCGATCAGTCAGAGAGGACATGCCACCTGTCGGCTCCTATTACTGACAAGATATCAGCATGTTTTCATGTAGCTGCTCTAGATATTTTAGATTTTAAGTCTACTTCGTATGTTGGTACTTTAGCCCCAAGAGGTGTTTATTTGGCATTTTGAGAATCAATCAATCAATGTTTATTTATATAGCCCAATATCACAAATGTTACATTTGTCTCAGTGGACTTCACAGTGTGTACAGAATATCAGTATGACAATACGACACCCTCTGTCCTTAGACCCTCACATCGTACAAGGAAAAACTTCCAGAGAAAACCCACAGTTTAAAGGGAACATGGGAGAAACCTCAGGGAGAGCAACAGAGGAGGGATCCCTCTCCCAGGACGGACAGATGTGCAATAGATGCTGTGTGTAAATCGAAGAGATAATACATTTTACAGCATATGTAGACCAAATGTTTGGAAATGCATGTGTCTATAATAAGAAGATTAATCCACGAGGATGTCAACAATCCTGTGGGAGCCCTCAGGGAAGTAGTATGATGAGAGGCAGGACCACAGTGATAGGTTCAGCCACGACTCGAAGTCCAGGACTCAGATCCAGAACTCAGGATAGAGAATCCAGGACACACGACCGCAGCAACAGGATCAGCCTCGACTCAGGATCCTGGCGTAGATATAGACACAAAAAATAAATGTTGGTGAAGCTGGGTTAATCGGAACATGAGAGTACACAGGTACAGACAGACAGAAGGAAGAAGTAAGGTGTCCCCCGACAGTCCAAGCCTATAGCAGCAAAACTAACGTGTATACGTACATGCACTCCCTTAGGATAGGTTGAAGGAAAGGGGTAGCAAGTAAGAAGTAAGGAACAGAGGTGGAGAGGCACAACGTGTCTACGTACATGCACTCCCTTAGGATAGGTTGAGAAGAAATAAGGAACAGAGGTGGAGAGGCACAACGTGTCTATGTACATGCACTCCCTTAGGATAGGTTGAGGGAAAGGGGTAGCAAGTAAGAAGTAAGGAACAGAGGTGGAGAGGCACAACATGTCTATGTACATGCACTCCCTTAGGATAGGTTGAGGGAAAAGGGTAGCAAGTAAGTGTAGAGAATAATCCTGGGCTGATTGTGCAAGATGCATTGTGGTTAATTAAAGTCTGGGAAACAGTCTGAAAAAGAACACCTGAGAAACACATCTCAACATGCATCTAAAAGTGTCTATTGCCCTGTATATAATGCACAAAACTGAAAAAAACAAACATTATGCCACATTCTTACTTTTCCTTATACAATATATACATGCCATAGACATTGCCTTACAACATATCTAACAACATGGCAAGGCAAGGCAAGGCAAGTTTATTTATATAGCACTTTTCAACACAAGGCAATTCAAAGTGCTTTACAAAAAATGAAAGACATTAAGAAAAAGGCATTTAAAATCAGTCATTAAAAAGAAAAGCTAATAAAATAAACATTAAAAGAAAAAATACATGGATAAAAGTTTCAGTGCAGTCTAAGATATGAATAGTTCAATTAAACATTAAAAGAAAAAGTACATGGATAAAAGTTACAGTGCAGTCTAAGATATGAATAGTTCAATTAAACATTAAAAGAAAAAGTACATGGATAAAAGTTACAGTGCAGTCTAAGATATGAATAGTTCAATTAAAAGCAGTGACAAAAAGAAAAGTCTTCAGCCTGGATTTAAAAGTAGTCAGAGTTGCAGCGGACCTGCAGGTTTCTGGGAGTTTGTTCCAGATATTTGGAGCATAATAACTGAACGCTGCTTTACCATGTTTAGTTCTGACTCTGGGGACAGAAAGCTGACCAGTCCCTGAAGACCTGAGAGATCTGGATGGTTCATAATTTAGCAGGAGGTCGGAAATGTATCCTGGGCCTAAACCATTCAGTGCTTTATAAACCAGCAGCAGTATTTTGAAATCTATTCTTTGACACACAGGAAGCCAGTGTAAAGACTTCAGAACAGGAGTGATGTGATCCACTTTCTTAGTGTTAGTGAGGACTCGAGCAGCGGCGTTCTGAATCAGCTGCAGCTTCCTCATAGATTTTTTAGTGAGACCCGTGAAGACACCATTGCAGTAGTCGAGTCTACTGAAGATAAAGGCATGGACAAGTTTTTCCAAATCCTGCTGTGACATTAGTCTTTTAATCCTAGATATATTCTTTAGGTGATAGTAGGCTGATTTAGTAACTGTTTTAATGTGACTGTTGAAACTCAGGTCAGAGTCCATGACTACACCTAGATTTCTGGCTTTATCTGTTGTTTTGAACATTGCACACTGAAGCTCAGTGCTAACTTTTATACGTTCTGACTTGGCTCCAAAAACCATTACCTCAGTTTTATCTTTGTTTAATTGGAGAAAGTTCTGACACATCCAGTCATTGATTTGTTCAATGCACTTACTCAGTGTTTGAATTGGAGCATAGTCTCCTGGTGAAATTGTTACGTAAATTTGTGTGTCATCTGCATAGCTATGGTAACTTATTTTGTTGTTTTTCATTATCTGAGCCAGTGGTAGCATGTAGATGTTAAATAGAAGAGGCCCCAAGATGGAGCCTTGAGGAACCCCACATGTCATATTTGTCAACTCAGATGTGTATTTACCTATAGAAACAAAGTTGTTTCTGTCCTTAAAGTAGGATTCAAACCAATTCAGAACTGTTTCCGAAAGTCCCACCCAGTTTTCCAGTCGGTCGAGTAATATGCTGTGGTCAACAGTGTCAAACGCAGCACTGAGATCTAATAATACTAACACTGAAGTTCTGCCACTGTCTGTGTTTAAGTGGATGTCATTAAAGACCTTTACAAGAGCAGTCTCAGTGCTGTGGTTTGGACGAAAGCCTGACTGGAACACATCAAAACAGTTATTTAAATGCAAGAAATTACTCAACTGTTGAAAAACAACTTTTTCAATGATTTTACCTAGAAATGGGAGGTTTGATATGGGCCTGTAATTGTTCATTACTGAAGCATCTAGATTATTTTTTTTTAAGTGCGGTTTAATGACTGCAGTTTTCAGGGCCTGTGGAAAAATACCTGAGTGAAGAGATTTGTTTACTATATGAAGTAGATCTGAGGCCATGCAAGGCAAAACATCTTTAAAAAATCCTGTTGGAATAATATCAAGGCAGCAGGAGGAGGATTTCAGAAGTTGAATAATGTCCTCTAGGTTTTTATCATTAATCTGATGGAATTGTGTCATGGTGTTTGAATTGATGTTAAGTGGACACAGAGACAACACATTTGCTGTTCCTGATGCAGAGGCACTGACTGCTTGTCTGATTTTCTGAATTTTGTCAGTGAAAAAGGAGGCAAAGTCATTGCACGCCCTGGTGGATAGAAATTCAGAGGCTACTGACACTGGGGGGGTTAGTTAGTCTGTCGACGGTAGCAAACAAGGCACGTGCGTTGTTTTTGTTTTTGGTAATGATGTCAGAGAAGAACGATTGTCGTGCGTTTTTCAATTCCAAATTATAAAGGCCAAGTCTCTCTTTATAGATTTCAAAGTGAACCTGGAGATTTGTTTTTCGCCACCTGCGTTCAGCTTTTCGACATTCTCTTTTTTCTGCTCTCCACGGTCATGGCCTTTCTCCATGGAGATATTTTCTTGCCAGACACTTCCTTTACCTTAGTTGGAGCAATGACATCTATAACATTTTTTATTTTTGAATTCAAATGATCTACTAGCTCATTTACTGAGATGTTAGCAGGGGCAAGTGTGGAAGAGAAATTCTGAGTAAACATTTCCCTAGTATTTTCAGTTAAATATCGCTTTGTGGTTACCTCTTTTTGAACATTTTTGTGAACAAAAATAGAGCTCTCAAAGAAAACACAGGAATGGTCAGAGAGTGCAACATCAGTCATCACAACCTTAGAGATATTCAGACCCTTTGAGATAATTAAGTCCAGAGTGTGCCCCTTATTGTGCGTGGGCTCCGTCACATGCTGAGTCAGTCCATAGCTATCAAGAACACAAAACAGTTATTTTGCCCCTCTGTCCTGGGGGTTGTCAACATGGATGTTAAAATCACCAACAATGACTAGACGGTCAAAGTCAATACACACTATAGACAGCAGTTCAGTAAAGTCATCAAAAAAGCTTGCACAGTATTTGGGTGGTCTATAGATATTTAGGAACAGAGCTCGAGAGGAGCATTTCAGCTGAAGGGCCACATATTCAAAAGAAGCAAAGTTCCCATACGATGTCTTCCTGCATTGAAGGGAATCATTGAACAGAATAGCAACTCCACCCCCTTTCTTATGCATTCTTTCCTGACTCATAAAACTGAAGTTGGGAGGGGTTGATTCGATAAGAACAGCTGCACTGTTATTTTGTTCAATCCAAGTTTCTGTTAAAAACATAAAATCGAGATTGTGCTCAAACATAAGCATTTGCAGCCCAATATGAAGTGGCTGTTGTAGTTAATGTGTTTCCTTGTTGTAATGAGGGAAAAAACAACAACCTTGTTTCCACATCAAACTTTTGTACGGGCTTGGTATTCTGCTGTGTGCAGGCTTGCTTGCAGCACAACACATTTTGGCACACAAGCCGCCATTATGTTTGACTGCTGTTGGTGCCTTGTGGGAACGCTTTTTGCTTAAATCATTTTTTTTATTGCATAATGAATGAAAACCTGTTCACAAAATACTACTGCAATTCACTAGACATAATCTTTCTCCTCACACTATTTAGTCTTTTAACCTTTGGTTTTTCTCTCAAATGTTCTTGTAAAGCGTCTTTAAATACTGGGATATAAATATCATGAATTATTATTATTATCATTACCTTATCCTGTTTCTATTGGTTACAGTTCCTAACACTGATAAGAGATTTAAATAAACAAACAAAGCTGCAGTTATTTCATCACCATTTGAGTGTAGAGCTATGTTTGGGCATACAGTTGCAATGCATTTCTTCTTGGCTGCCATAGATTATAAAACAAGGCTAATTCTTGGGTATTTCATTTCATTCATTTTACCTGCTGGGACAATGTTTAGCTATCGTGTTCCTTCTGTGCTTGGAACTCAATGTGCAGATAAAAGAAAAAGCTATACATATCTAAAGCTAAATAAATCTCACTGATCATGACTTACATTTGGTTGTGAAAAATAGGATTGTGTTTTGCCAAATTTGTTCATCAGTCTTCATTCAATGACAGTTTTTTTGTCCATGTTTCCAGGCAACGACTGATCAAAAGATACAGGAAGTGACATGCTGGTTGGTGCAGGCCTACGATGAGCTGCTGGAGGGATGGGACTCCACCGAGGGAGAGAGCTACTCAGAAAGATACCATGTACGTCTCCAACAAATGTCTATTCAAATCTAAAACACAGAAACTAAGTATTGTTTTTTATCACTGCAAAATTGACGTATCACCTAGCTATATTCATATTTAATTTTTTACAAAACAAAATTATGCAGTGAGTCTTTTTTTCACACCAGGGCTCATTCAAACGCTAATATTTTCCAAAATGTCATAAATGCCTCAGCTGTTAAGATCAAGTCTGGAAATGTGATTGTATTTGAATGAAATGTTCTTGTTGTCTAAGTTGACCATAAAAGAGTATAACTAACGGTTCCTGTCCATTCCTCAGGTCTTTCAAACCTTTCTGGTGTCCTTCAATGAGCAGCGGCGTCCCATCATGCCGTTGTTGACAGCCATGAGACGAACCCCGAAACTGAGCGATGAGCAGCGGGCTCTCAGAGAGGCGTGGGACTCCCTCACTGAAAAGGTCAGACACACTCAAATCTCCTATTTTTATAAATATATATATATGCACTTTAACAGTCTAATGTTTATAGAAATTAACATAAAATGTCAATCTTAACCAGCAACATGGCATAATCTCTATTGTAGCATGTGCTGTATGATCGCATCTATACAGATGAGTAATTATGTAGATCTTTTTCTACATGATTTCTCATTTAGCTGCGTGAATACAAAGTGGAGTTGGACATGAGTGTCCCGGCCCCCCTGGACACGGTGGCTCGCTGGATGCTGAAAACAGAGAAGGCTCTGAACGAGGATGAGGGCAACCCGCAGGATCACGGCCGAGCTGCGGACGAAGCCAAGGAGAAACAGGAGATCCTCAAAGTGAATATTTGCTGCATCTATGCCTAAACAAAACCACTTTACGGAGTGACATTTTTAAAACAATAACATTTGCCTAGTGAACCTCAGGTTCCTCATGCAGGGCTTTCCATATTTAAGTTATAAATAATATCGGCATGATGTCCTTTATTTCTTAATTGGGAGAATACAAAAATGCATACAAACTGTAACATTAGTTTGCTCCTGGAATAGTTATTTTTGGGATACATTTGATAAGCCTTTTCTCCGTTCTGGGGTTTTAAGAGTAGCAATGGTGATTTTGTATAATAATTAAATATGAATCTGCTCTTTGCTCAATGTCTCTGTAGGTCTGTCTTGAGGAGATGCCGCAACAAGTGAAGACCTTCCAGTCCTTCCATAACCTGGATGAGTATGCAAACATGATGGTTCCTAGTGACAAGATGGATGAACTAAAGAGGAGGTGAGGGCACTTTCCCATGATTTCATGTATGTTTGTATAAGTGTGAAATCGTGTATACAGTAAGGACAGTGCTTGAATTGATTATCTACCTTAAGCTAAATGACCTAGTAGTAAATCTAATGCCACGATCTGGATACAATCAACGGCATTGTTTAAGCGTGAATGTGAAAGTGAATGTACAACACAAGCTATCCTTCTGTTGTATGCTTCTAAGAGTCATACAAATTTGATTATATAAATGATTACTTAATTTGGTTCTTCAGGGTTTGTTTCTCATTTTGCTGACTTTCACAACCATACTTGTGTCACTTCTCCCAGGTTCACCAGTGTGAGAGTGACTGCTAAATACCACGGAATCAAGCTGGAGTACCGAGAGCACCGCCACACCGTGTTGGATCTGCTAGGGCAGATCAGGACAAAGCTGCGGGTTTGGAAGAGACCTTACATCTCCCCAGAGGCTGTCAGGGTGTTGCTGCAAGAATGGCATGTAAGTAGATTTATTATCTGATAATAGTTTTATTTATCGGGAGTGGTAAGTACGAGGGCGCTATACACATTATAATCTTTTTCAGATAATATCCTTATGATAAGATTTTTGATACAGGTAGATTGTTAGGGGTCTCTGCCTGGCACCTCCCAAAACAAGTTGGCTCTCAGTCAATTGTTCCTCCTGACTGTGTGGGTGTCAAGCTGGCCTACTGAATAACAACAACTGCGTAATACTCCTCTCATTTTGTGGTTAATTATTATAACATTCTGAATCAAATGAATCTACAATTGCTTGTAAACTTTCCCTGGAAGTCAGTTTTTGAGTCACAACAAAGCATATGGTCATACATCAGCACATACAATAATAATAATAATTTTGATTAAATCTGGACAAAATGAACTTTACCACTTGCTAGACAGACTTACAACCAATATTGTTTTGCACCACAAGTAGTAAAGGTTTAATAATAACAAAAGCATTTGCTCTTTTTCCCCTTGCCATCAAAATATGTTTTTACTTTGTAATAAGCAATGCTGCAATGAACTTATTTCTTTTAAACAGGATCTGGCAAACACACAGGAGCTACCATCTTTGCTCGAAGCCGCTCTACATAAACTGAAGCAGGTTTCTGAGAGATATTCTAGCAAATCTGCCCTTGGTAAGTTTTCTATTGATGTTTTTAAAGTTTTCACTGGTGATCAGTTCATTTAACAGCTTGTCCTCTCTGCTCCTCAGCTGCAGATTACCACACCGTCAGTCAGCAGGTGACGCAGCTGGAGGAAGACACCGCCATAGTTTTGGAAGAGGTGACCACAGCCAAGAACACCATGGGAAGAGTCCTGTCCGCCTGGGACTCCTACAGCGACGGATTCAGCTCCCTGCAGGCCTGGATGGAGCAGGGCTCTGCATCCCACAGCCATGGCCCCAGACCAGAGGTAATTTGAATACACTAAGCCATACATCATCTAACATTGGCAAGAGAACCATGTTTCATAACCTAGCTAGAAGCTTCTGCTTTTTTAACTGGGCTTGTAGAAACTTGTAGAAATATTTGTGTAAATGTCTAATAAAAAAAAGTGTGCTAGTGATGTCTCAAAAAACATTGCATTTAAGTCGTACATTAACAAATAAAACATTGATATTTTATGATATTAGTGTTACTTTTACATTTTTTTGTCTTTTTACAAATTTATGAGAAAAAACTAAAATATTATATTTGATTTAAAAATTCTACATTTGCAAATAATATCTGAAATCCTCTGAAATAAAAGTCACACAGTCAGTGTTTGTTTTTTGCCAAGGAACCACATTGTTTCACTATGCAAGGTTGGGTTTTCTTGTCATCGTGGTCGTTCTCCCTTCTGACCATTTAAGATTTGTACATTTATGTTTTTTAAGGTGACACCTGATTCAATGGCTGAGTGGGGATCCAAACAGGCCCATCTGAATGAGGTGGGTAACTTCCTGCTGGAGTCCACAGACCCTCACACCAGCAGGAGCCTGGCAGAAGAGCTGCGCAGACTCAACATGCAATGGGCCGAGTTCTTCAAGAGAACTGCTTTCGTAAGTGATAGATCAAGAAAAACCTGGTTGGTGAGAATCCTTATATCCAAAGCTGTTTTATCTGTGCCCTTTGTTTTGGTCACATTGTGGTGCCAAGCTGTTTCTGATATCATCGTACTGCAGGCTGTCATCAAAGAAGGAGTTGCATTTGTGCACGATGGTAGACTGAAACGTGCGTTTTGCATTTCAAATGTGTTGTCTATTGATCAGTGTAGTTCCCTTACATGTAAGTACTGCAGATAATAGTTTTGATAAAGCATGTACCATACTGCCCTCTATACATATTTCTCTACCATGGCAAGGTGCGCTCTTCTATTATAATAATGGCCTGGTTGCTTCTCTATTTATTTGCTGCCAAGTTGGAAGGACTTTGGTGATTAATGTCTCACACCTTTGGTATTTAAGCCATACTTGTCCCTTTGTTATAATTATTCCCACGCTGTGCTACAAAGGAGTGGCTAAAAGGTTAGAAGCTGTACTCCACCTTTTCTTTTTGTGTGTAGGCGATTATAAATGCAAGGCTTTGATAGTCTGTGATTACAGTGTATTATCATAAGGCTTCTTTTATTGCTTAAGTTGTATACTGGGCAGGTGTTAAACAACTGAGTTAAAAGTCAGGGAAATGATTCTATCAAACTATTATATCATGTCCACTGTGGAAGCAAGTGTTGATTAAAATGCTATATCAAATTATAGTTGTGCTACATTACGTCTTTAAAATTAAATGTAATTGAACTTCGAGTCGTGGCTGAACCCGTCACTGTGGTCCTGCCTGACTCATCATACTACTTCCCTGAGTGCTCCCACAGGATTGTTGACATCCTTGTGGATTCATATTCTTATTATAGACACATGCATTTCCTAACATAATGTATTATCTCTTCGATTTACACACGGCATCTATTGCACGTATGTCCGTCCTGGGAGAGGGATCCCTCCTCTGTTGCTCTCCCTGAGGTTTCTCCCATGTTCCCCTTTAAACTGTGGGTTTTCTCTGGAAGTTTTTCCTTGTACGATGTGAGGGTCTAAGGACAGAGGGTGTCATATTGTCATACTGATATTATGTACAAACTGTTAAGTCCACTGAGACAAATGTAACATTTGTGATATTGGGTTATATAAATAAACATTGAAATGTCTTAACATGATTTCAATTGACTTATTTGGTTAAAACAGTAGTCAAAATGTTGTACGCTTTATTGTTTTTGTCTTGTAATCTAGCTGATATTTAATAGCGCTACTTCTACTTTTTCCAGGACAGCGTGGCTGAACCTACTGATGATGTTCAGGCTAGGCCACAGGACATCCAACCTCTGATCAGAGAGGCCACTCTCCTTCTCAAGGAGCCTCTGGAGACAATGGCAGGCCCCTTACGCACCTACAGAAAAAGAATACAGGTAGGTTTCATGGATGGTTGAATTGCACCTTGGCAGGATGAAGTAGAGTCTTAACTATTAACTGATGTCAAAAAGATTGCACTCACCACGTAGCTATATACCTCTTAAGGTATTATACCACTTTAAATATTGCCGATAACCTGATTTTATTACATTATTTAGTTAGTAATAACATCCTAGCAAACAACAAGTCCAGCAGAGCTTTGTTCAATAATTACCTCTTTTCTTTTTCAAAGGATGCCTTAAGATCTAGTTCTGGAGAGATCAAATAAATCAATGACATTGACAACAGAGTATAATTTTATCATGGGTAATAGCATTTTTGTCAGAAGTAGAAATTACAGATCTCAGAATGGGGGCAATAGCCTGTCAGAAGAGAGTGGTTTATTTTTACACACTGAGAACTCAATTATACATTTCCACATATTTCTGTCTCAAACTAACCGTTTGCTTTCTTTCTTTCAGTTCATGACGAGGAAAATAAAAGAAGTGGATCTTGAGGCTCTGGCTCCCTCCCCAGAATGCCCAGCTGAGCAGTTACAGAAACTAAAGTTTGCTATACCTGAAGTATGAATGATTTCAACCCTTTTAATACTTCCTTCATACATCTTTGTTCATAAAGAACGTCATCTTTAGGTTGTGGTGCCCTGTTGTAGTGTATACAGCATGTTAATCAATTTGTTACCATATGTTCCTACAATGTCACCAGGTGATGCAGACCTTGTTTGAGGCAGAACAGGTGTGTGCAGAGCTGCAGCACAGTGTGTCAGGGCTGGACAGTCGCCTGGCTGAACTCCTGCATTGGGATTCTGAGGCTCGGGAGCTCTACCAGCTGCTGAGGGCCGCAGAGCGACAACCTCAGCGGGGCCAGAACCCACGAGCCAGTGTAAGATGATGCCCTGTATATTAATGTTGTTATGCTATCAATTCAAATTCGTTGTATCCTCCCAGGACTTTTTCTCATAAAGAAACCCTGATGTGGAATTTGAGGAAATGCTGATTGAGTTCAACTCCCTTTTTTCCCTCAGGTTCTGATATCCCGTGGTCTGCAGCTGGAGGGTCAGGTGGTCACAGAGGAGCAGGACCTGCAGATGATGGTGATGACTAGTCAGAAGAATTCTCCCATGCAGTACCTCCATGCCTCCGCCATGCAGGACCGAGTGCGAGCCGCTGTTGCACAGTCACAGGCCAGTTTTCTTTGTGTAAATTACCTGAGCAAGCCATTGAGTTGTGTATGATCTTTACTTAGGAAAAGAGAAAGACAGGGGCAGTTTTTCTAATGTGTTTGTGGTTTGAATTCCAGGAAGCTGTAGGTATGCTGAGCAGCCTGGGAGCCAGACGAGACAGAAGCAGAAGCCCTCCAGAAGGGTCTCCTCCATCAAAAGTATTTAAACAGGATAAAGAAAAGCCTCAACATCTGAGACAGTCAGAATCAGTCTCATGGCCAACCAAACAGCCTGAGAAAGAGTTAGTTCAGAGTCATGGAACCTTTGTGCCAAAGATAGTGGTGCAGGAATACAGAGAAACAAAGGTGACTTCTCCTCCATTGCCATATAGCTACGCAGAAGCTGTGATGCAGACCAGGACAAAGTCACCACCAGAAGTCCAGCATCAGGCCTGGACGGAGAAAACTTTACAAAAGCAGCAGCAGACTCTGGAACATGGATCGATACAGCAGCAACAGCTAATGCAGCAGCAACAGCAACAACAAGAAGTGCAACAGCAAGAGCCGATGCAAACACAACCACAACTACAACAGCCGAAGCAAAAACAACAACAGGTGGAGCAGCAGGTGGAAGTGGTAATAGACAGACAAACACCAGATCCCCACGATCAGACTTCATTTCAGCAAGCACCTTCAAAGAAACCTCCTCCAAGCTACCAGGAGCTTAAAAGCAGGAAAACCCAGGCCTTGAAGAATCGGCCTTGGCTTCAGAAGCCAGCCTCAGGAGAGCATACAACGCCAGAACCGGATTCAACTCAGGAAACAACTGCACCAAGACAGACTCAGCCACAGTCAGACAAGGAAACAGCAAGAACCGTTCAGGTTGTTTCACAGCAAACGGTAACTACAAGGTCCCAGCCTGAGGGAAATGCAAAGGATACTAAGCAGTCACAACAGCAAGAACACCAACAAAAACCACCACGGCACCCTCAAAATGTAGAACAGAGGCAACAACAAAAAACGCAAAGTCAAGAGCAACAACAACAACAACTGGAACAACAGCAACAGGAACTATTGCTGCAGCAGCAGCAGCAACAACAACAACAACAACAACAACAACAACAACAACAACAACAGGAAAAGCAACCACAGCCTATTGTAGGACAGGCTCAACCAGATTCAGACTCCAAGGCTAAATCCCAGTCTGTTGCTATGGTTCAGCCTCACCCTCAAGGAAAAGCCCAAATTCAGTCACAAACCAAAACTATGGTTCAGTCTAAATCCCAGCCAGTGGTCCAATTGCAAGTGCAGTCCAGAAGTGTTTCCCACAGCACCACAGACAGTGAGCAACAACTGCGGACCATGTCTGAAACCAAAGTGAGCCAAGGTCAGTCACAGACACAAGGTCTGCTACAGTCCCATGGTCTCATAAAGACACAGTCATTGACACAGGTTCAGACTCAGTCCCAAACATATGCCTCAGCTGGATCTCATATGTCCCTGCAGCCACAAGGTGTAGCTCATGGCCCGACTGTAGCTCAGGTACAGGCACTAGCTCAAGTCAGACCTTCTTCCCCTATGCAAGCCCCCCTGCAAGGCCAAATTCAGCATCCTGTACCATCCCACATTCAGCTTCGCAGTCATTCACAGTCGTGGGCTCCTGTAAGGACACCCTCACCTAAACCACCAACACTATCACAAACTCAAACCCATTCCCAGTCTATGGCCCAGTTCCAAACATATCCTCAGTCAATGCCCCAGCCTCAAATCCATCCTCAGTCAATGCCCCAGTCCCCAACACATCCTCAGTCAATGCCCCAGTCCCCAACATATCCTCAGTCAATGCCCCAGTCCCCAACATATCCTCAGTCAATTCCCCAGTCCCCAACATATCCTCAGTCAATGCCCCAGTCCCCAACATATCATCAGTCAATGCCCCAGCCTCAAATCCATCCTCAGTCAATGCCCCAGCCTCAAATCCATCCTCAGTCAATGCCCCAGCCTCAAATCCATCCACAGTCAATGCCCCATCCTCAGTCAATGCCCCCGTCTCAGGCCCATGCTCAGTCCATGGTCCATATTCAAACTTATCCTCAGCCAAAGACCCAGTCTCAGTCGACAGCACAGGTTCAGGTCCATCCTCAACCAATGGCCAGGCCAAGTCATGTCCATTCTCCAACTCAACATCAAGCCCAAGCTCAACCTCTACCTCTAGGCCAGACTCAGGGTCGTTCTCAGCCAATGCCTCCGTATCCCACACATACTCAGCCAGAGGTCCAGCACCAAGTCCATATGTCCCAGGGGCAAATCCACGCTTGGACCCAAGCTAGAGTCTCATCCCCAATGTCTGCCCAGCATCCACAAGCAACAGCACAACCTCCTTCTTACCCCCCAGCTTACCCCCAGGCTCAGTCTCCTTCCCAGCAGTGGACATCCAAACTAGAGCCTCAAAACCAACCCAATACCCAGCAGAGGCATCCAATATCCCCACCATATCCTCCACAAATGGGTCAAATTCCACAGTCTCAGGCTTATCCAACAATTCAGGCTCTACCGCAGTGGCCCCAACCTGGACCACAGCAGGGACCTCAGACTGTGTCCATTGGGTTTTCTCACATGGGGCCATCATATGCTCCTCATATGCAAACACAGCCACAACACTGGCCTCAATCCCAACCCCAGGTGAGTCCCCAGACTGCCATGCAACAACAACAGACTTGGGTTCAGGCATCGCCTCAAATTCCGCCTTATCCAGTGCCTTATCCTCAGCCTTATCCCCAGCCTCAAACTCAGCAATATTCACAGGTTCAGCATCAAACTCAGCTTAACCCTCAGCCTCAGATGCAAGCTCAGACACCTCCCCTATCACAACCACAACATCAAGCTCATCCACAGCTTAAACCCCAGCTGCAGGCCCAGTCCCAAACAAACATCCAGCGACAGCCATTATTACAAGCAAAGCCCCAGGCCCAGACTCAGCAGCCACCTCCACAGCCCAGACATCAGGCCCAGCTCCAATCACAGCAGAAGATTCCAACTCAACCAAAGGGTGAATCATCTCAACAGTCCAAACCTTTGGCCCCATTAGCACCATATCCAGATGTTAAATCACCAACTCAACCTAAGGTTCAGTCACCAACCAAACCCAAGGCTGAACCACTGCCGCAACCCCTTCCTGTGTCCCAGTTACAACCTCAATCCATGGATCGGTCATCAATCAAGTCCGAAACACCACCACAGCCAAAACCACAGGCCCAAACAGCACCACTACATAAAGCTCAATCTGCAACTCAACCCAAGGTTCAGTCAACAATACAACCCAAGTCTGAATCATCACCAAAGGCCCAAACAGCAACACAATCTGAAGCTCAGTCACCAACCCAACCTAAAGCCCAATCATTTCAACAACCCAAAACCCAGGAACAATTTCCACCACAGCTTCAATTTGAAGCTCATTCATCCCCACTACCCAAGTCCCAAGCTGGACCACAATCTAAGGCCCAATCACCCCCACAGGCCAGACCTCTGACCCAACCCCTTCCACAGTCAAAACCTGCAACTCAGTCTCCTTCGCAACCCAGACCTCAACAGCCACAAACTATTCTCCTCTCCCAGGTCAATGTTCGGCCTGAGTCCATGCCGGAGTCACCAGACCTGTTCATTAAACCTCCCGCCCTGGCCCAGGCACCTCCCCAGGCCTACACGGAGGCTTACGCTAAGGCCCAGGCATTGGCCAGAAACGGATTTGAGGAAGCAAAGCACTGTCTGCAGGAACACATCCTGGAAACCATCAACATTTTTAGAGACAAGTGTTTATCGGCCGAGCAAGCATCAGTGAAAGAGGTAAATGCAATCATTTATATATTGCAATAGAATAATCAAAGTACAACTTTTAATTAGTACATTTTAGGGCACAATAAAACATGCAAAAGTGACCACCGCCTGTAGAGGCGCTATTCATGCTAAGTATAAGAAGTGTGAAGTCGGTTCAATCACACCCACATCCCCATGCATGTACGTGGATGTGAGTCCCTATAGGTTCCCATGCGATTCTGCCTAACTAGCTAGCTAATGGCTGCAGCTCTACTATACGGCGGTAGTCGCTGATGATGCCTTCCCATCACGCCATTCTTTCCCAATTTTTCACGTCATACCTCCGGTTACACAAAACGGCAAATCCGTCTGCACTATTTTCATTGTTTGCACTGTTAGCACAGTTCACTGATAGCCGCCAGCTATGCCATCGCCATTTTGAGAGCTGTGTCGAGGCAATCCCAACGTCATAGTAGCTCTCAATTCTGTATGAAAGACCTTCAATCTGCAAAGTGTTCATGTTATAAGAGGTCATTGGCCCCACCCAGGAGGTGCAGAATAGATACAAAATGGGTGCTGTCTTAATCTTTAACGGGAAGATATGATTTGATATACTTTATTAATCCCTGTGGGGAAATTGTTTTCTCTGCATTTGACCCATCCTGTGTTAGGAGCAGTGTGCTGCCATTTTGAACGGCGCCCGGGGAGCAGTGTAGGGAACGGTGCCTTGCTCAGGGACACCTCGGTAGCACTCGGTCTTTCCGGGACTTGAACTGGTGACCTTCCAGTTGCCAAGCCAAGTCCCTATCGACTTCGCCACCACCGCCCCCGATATACAGATATAATGTGCCAAAATTAACAACTCTCTTTATCCAAAATGAGGTTCAATCATTTTAAAGGAACCAGTCTGCAATTATATGTGTGCTTTACCCCTCAGGAGACTCTAAAGACCCTGGACCCAGAGTTGCTGGAAGAGTTCCTGAGAGCAGCAAAGGGCATGGAGGCCTTTTGTACACCGCCACAGCTCAGAGACATGGAGTTTTTCACCCAGTCTATCAGAACACAGTGGGAGGTAGGACACACTCACTAACTGTTGGAGATATAGATTTCTGGGACCTTTATGACTTGTAAATGTTCACATTTACAAGTTTTAATTGTTGTTTTCTTTTAGTTTGTCTGATAATTGCTTGTGCATGTCAAGGACAAATTGACTAAAACTGTAGCAAAAGTTTTGCTTTTGTCCGTTTTACAAATGAATGTCAGCAAATTGTTCATTTGCTTGCATATACAACATTCATATAATAAACCTTTTATTGAAGACTATGGTCTAACATGTCATGTTTTTCTCTTTTATTTATTCCCAGGCTGTGAGAGCTGATATCTCAGGCTTTTTGCAACAATTACATTTTGAAGTAACAAGGAAAGAGTTTAACAAAGCCGCCTTGCAGTGTGAGATGCACTTAAGCTCCCCCTTAGAAAACCATGCGCAGGTAGCTAAATAACTAGAGCTATACTCTTGGCTTTGATGGATGGGTTTTCAGCAAGTTTTTTTTCTCTGCTTAACTTTTACTCTGTCTTCTTTTATGCCTTCATGGAAACTCTTTCAATGGGACTTGGTAATTGCAATACTTTATTCTGGTTGCTCAAAAAGAGAGTGCTGTTTTTGTCAAGTGTGTTTACAGAACCATAAAGCCAGTTTTTATATCTTGATTTCATTGTACCTATGTGGACTTTAAAACAAACACAACAGTTATATTTTATACTAATAATATTGAATAAATGACATAAAAGATGAAAACAGCACTTTTTTTAGCAATACATCTGTGGGCTGCAGTCATCTGGGTGGTGCCTATGTGTGTTGCAGTATGTCTGTTAACCTGTGTAAACTGATCTTGAGATATACTTGATATTCTTAAGTATCATCTGGTTTCAAAACAACTCACTACCATGCCTGTTTATGCACCAGGCCTGTTTCTCAGCGGAGGGCAGCTTTGCCCAGGCAGGGCAGCACCTGGAGGCCTTGAAGGAGCTGTGTGACACCCTGAGCCCCGAGGACGCTCACCGCCTGGCCCAGACTCAGCTGAGGGAGTGCGAGACAAGGCTGGCTGATATCCAGAGACAGTTCAGTGGAGACCAAGACTCATCCCTCCCTGATTCTAGGTGAGATATCATTAAGTGATAAAGAGCAGACAATGAGCAAGTAATGTATTTAATTACTAAATCTGAATATAAATATACCTTCTTTTAATAATTGTTTTAACTTGTCTTGTAAAAAGTCTGAATATACATTTGAAATGCCTCTTAAGCGTGATGTTTGGAAATGATGAAGGCGGATCATGAGTTAGATGATTTGTGGATCATGCGGTCCTTCAGATCTCTTTAGGCACACTATCCAAAGACATATTTGGATGTTTTAGAATAGACACTCTCTTTGCAGTTCAGATGGAACGTTAAAGGGTAACACAATGGAAATGATTATCCTTTTCTCCTTCTTATCATTTCCGTTTTCTCAGGATTCCTGTTGCCTTCAGTGACGATGTGACCACACAGAAGGAGCCTACAAGACCCAGTGACAAACCTCAGGTCTCAGCTGAGGTATGACTCACTCCAATTAAAACTAATCCCTTTTTGAACCCTACAGAGGTTTAAACTTAAATCATGCCATTTCTCTTTTTTTTAGGTCTCTCAAGTGACAATGAAGACAGTCGTTCTTGAGAAGAGGGAGGTGGAAAAGCAGGCATCTGTAGAGGAAGAAGTCAGCAAAAAGGAGGCTTTAGAAAGGTAAACTGACTTTAGCAAAGTCTAGGATTTGATATGTTAACAGAACATACGTACAGGAGGTCATTATATTCCATGTTTAACTTGTTTTCCTGTTTTTAACTTGTAAAATCCCCAGATATGATAATTGTAAGAGGTCTTTGCAATCCCAGCTGGCCAAAATTGAGCAGAGCATCAAGGATGTCCCCTCTGACTCCGTATCTCTGAAAGGCCTGCATTCGCGGCTCCAGGAAATACAGGTACAGATCAAATGTGTGCAGAAACGGATTTTCATATTAACTCATTATTGACCATTTTTTCAGTGTCTGTAGTTGTTTTTGTTGTGTATTTACTAACTAAATGATTCCCCAAAACATGGCAGTAATCTTGAGTTGTCCTGCTCCTTCCCAGTTCTTGAGGCAGGAGACAGAGTCTCTGTGGTCTGAGTTTGCAAACCAATGCTCCCAGTGTTCCCAGTTGAGCGGCAACTCTGGTCTGGAGCAGCACAAGGCAGGGCTGCAGGATCAGTGGCGCGGACAACAGTCCAAACTCCAGCGGAGGGGCAGCTCGCTGGGCGCCGCCCTCAGGCAGATCGACTCCACAGAGAACCACATGGTGGACTTTACCGACCGCCTGGACCGCTACCTGAGGCAGCCCAAAGATATCACCGTCTTCACACCGGCCAACAGCAACATACTCAAAGACATCAAGGTCTGTCTGCCGTGAATACTATTTTTATTTGCCTTCTTTGTCAGTGTGACACAAAGTTATCCCTGCAATAGTACATTTGGTTAATAATGAGTCCTCTATGAGAGCATGATTTACTAGAGCAGTGGGGGGCGCAAAGGCATGAGAGCGGGGGTGCGAGAGACCAGGAGGAAAAATGGTTATTAAAAAAAAAAAAAAGATTTAAAAAAAAATCATAATTTGAAATATTATTGATTCGAAAATAATATGATACAGTACTATTACGTCTGGGTCTCTGTTTCATTAAAGCTCGTGTGTGTGTGTGTGTGTGTGTGTGTGTGTGTGTGTGTGTGTGTGTGTGTGTGTGTGTGTGTGTGTGTGTGTGTGTGTGTGTGTGTGTGTGTGTGTGTGTGTGTGTGTGTGTGTGTGTGTGTGTGTGTGTGTGTGTGTGTGTGTGTGTGTGTGTGTGTGTGTGTGTGTGTGTGTGTGTGTGTGTGTGTGTGTGTGTGTGTGTGTGGTGTGTGTGTGTGTGTGTGTGTGTGTGTGTGTGTGTGTGTGTGTGTGTGTGTGTGTGTGTGTGTGTGGTGTGTGTGTGTGTGTGTGCCGAGCCATTTTGTGCGCGAGAGAGAGAGCGCAACGGTACCGGAGATCGTTGTTGTTAGCTTCTGGTGCTAGCGAGCTACGCTAACGGATATAAGGAGTTTTTTCAACAACAAAGTGGAGGAGAGTCCTCTCCTGTCAGACTGAGAGACTCAGTGAGCTAAAGGACTCTCTCAGTGTTATCTCAGTGGGTCTCAAACATTTTGGTCACCATTAATGTAAACAATTATTTCCGAGGCACACGCTTATATGATCATTATAGTTAATAAATAAAGTAATATCCATAAAGAAAAAGGAAATCTGTTAACAGTTCTGTTTCATATGGGTGTTGAGAGAGGTATCCATAGATCTCTTCATTTTGCTCTCAAAGTGCACCAGATTGATGCATTTAACTTCAATATTTAAAAATAAATCTTCCCGGGGGAACTTGCCCCCGGACCCCCCTACGTATGTGAGGTCCACACACCACCTATAAAAATAGCACTTTACCCCTGCTTACACCTATATGCCGTGAGCTGATTATCGACCCTTCATTGTAACAGTAGCGGGTACATTGTGTATTTGCGTGGGGATTGTTGCAGTAGAAAATTCCACTGTAGCGCCCGGTACATTAATGAGAAACCCTAAATGTTTGAGCACCCTCTATGAAACGTCAAGCTACCACACAGTACCCCCAAAATAAATCTCTGGCGCCGCCACTGAGCCTGACTTGTGTTGGGGGGGCCCGACTCTTTTTTTTTTCGCCAAAGGGGGGGCCTGACAGAAAAAGTTTGGGAACCACTGTACTAGAGGAATATACAAAAACGGTGATAACTACATGAACTAATAGAAAAGATACAGTAAAAAAAAAACTCAGCAAAAAGTGAATACAATCAAATATAAAACTGATGTTTTACGGACAAAACTATAAAAAAGAATCAGTTGGTCATTACTTCATTCCTGATCCCTCTTTAAAACAAAAGGCTTGTTATTTTAGAGATGTTGCTTGTTACTAAGAGGTTAAACTGAAATGTAAAAAGATCATGGAGTGCATACAACTATGTGCAGAATAAAACCATATCTCATCTGCACGTTGTTTCTTTTTCTCACAGGAACTGGATGACAACATCCAGAGCGAGCTGGACCAGCTGTCCCGTCTGGACCCTGAGTCCAGCGATCTGGACCCCAGAGACTGCTTTCCTTTGTCCCGGGAGGTGGAGACTCACAGAAGCAGCCTGGATCAGCTTCGTCAGCAGGTCCGGAAGAGCGAAGCCGCCGCCCGCGCCCTTGACCGCTTCCTTATGTCTCTGCGTACTGTGGACGAAGACATCTCTGGAGTCCAAGGCGCCCCCTGCAGTGACACTGTGATCCTGCAGGACTGTCGCTCCAAGCTGGCTCTGATCCGGCAGAGCGTGGACAGTCTGAAAGAGAAGGCGCCTCAGCTGGACGCGCTCCTGCAGGGGGCCAGGCTAACGGTCACCAGGGACGGTGCCCCAGCCTCCTGCCTGGACATGGTGACCGCTCTGGTCAGGAGGCTGGAGGAGGCTGACAGTGGCCTTGCCAACCAGCAGAAAGGGCTGCAGAAGGAGACTCAGAGCAGATCGCTAGGCCTGAGGAAGAGGACACTGCTGGGGGATCTGAGGAAACTACAGGAAAACATTGAAGCACAGGGCCTGAAGGAGCCCACCATGCCGGCTGTGCAACACAGGTGTGTGTCAATCATCCTTATTCTGATGAAAAACACTAAAGCTTATTTCAGTGTTTTACAGGGCTTCAAATGTGTTCTCTATGCTTTTGCTGTTTAACTGTTGCTTAAGTGTTTTGAGTGGGAATTAGATTTTGAATGATGGTTTGTATACTGCGCACACAAAAAAGATGTTTCTTAATATAAGAAAAGTAGCATTTTGACATTTACTTAAAGAATTAAAAGCCTGTCTCCCTAAAATATCTCTCGTTAATAATCCGGTATTTACCAGGCTTCGGGCCCTGTCGGATCTGGAGAGTCAGGTGCAGGCTGTGCAAGCAGAGCTACAGAACCTCCATGAACTTCAAGATCAACAGGGAGGAGGAGAGGAACTCCTTCAGGAGCTGGACACTCAGTGGAAGGATACTCAGAGAGCATTTAAAGACAGGTAGGTTAAGGCAGGAGAAGCACATTCAGCTCAATACAGCAAGTGTGACATCACCTAAAATCCACTCTGTTATGTTCCCTCTCTGACAGGAAGAAGCAGTGCAGCATCCTGCTGGAGCTCCTGAAGAAATTCCAGGCCTGCCGCAGTCAGTTGAGCAGCACCATGCAGAAAGCTGAGCAGACCATCAGTGATCAGGCCTCCTACCTGGGCAAGGAAAACCTGCAGAGAAACATTACCATGGTGAGTCATCAAAACCAAACCAGTTTATTGACAAAATCCCTTCATGTTGTGTTTTTAGGATGTAATTAGAGTGTGCAGAAACAGACCAGAAGATGGCCGTCACTTTATTTTCATGTATAATGTATGTCCACATCTCATGTCTGTGCAGGTCTCTAACATTAAGGAGGGGCTCGGTGGTGTTGGGGAGCGAATGGAGGAGATGAAGGGTGTTTGCAGACAGCTGCAGTCCCAACTGAAAAACTTCCCAGACTGCAGTGAGACCCCCTTCGAAGCTGAGGCTGACACACTCCTGGACAACTGGCTGGATGTAAGAAAGGCCCGGGGAAAAAGACAGAGTTCTAACTTTGTTTTACTTTTTAGGATACATAAAGAATTTAAGACTCACTTAAAATAAAACACGAATGCTTTTAGCCCTATTGACAACATGAGGTAGTGGTGTACTTCTGCCTCTTGTGGTACTAAGTACTACAACAACAAAGGCTTCATTACTGATCCAGATAAACATCCCCATAAACACAGGAGAGAAAACGATTAAGACCAAACTAAATATATTTCTATCACTTGACTCTTAAGGCTCCATTTAAATGTGCATACATTTAACACAACAACATACATATAATATCGCTTAGCAAGTTAAACAAGGACTAAATTCAATTTTATAACTCTTATTTGGAACACTTCTGTTCCAGCTTAACGTAAAATGTTATATTTTTGGTGCCCTTGCAGATGACGGAGAAGACGGATGCCTACATGGATAACCTGCAGGTGGGGCAGGAGCTATGGGAGAAGCAGCTGATGCTGGGGGGAGAGGTGGACAGCTGGGCTGGGGCCAAACTGGCCCTATTTGCAGAAAGCCATCCCTTCCAAAGCGAGCAACAAGTGCTTGCCATGAAGGTAAGATTCCCATAACAGAAAAATACAAGAGCTTTATTGCTACCCTGAGGAACCGTTTTATTTTGTTAATGATTTAGTCGGAACATTTTAACCAGTGTGACACGTGTGTTAAACAAGATTGAGACACACACACTCACACACACTCCCCAGCTGGATTGGGTTTCAGTGAAGGCGCAGACGGGAATGCACAAGTGGAGTCTGATATGTGATTTTTATTTATTTAAGTTTGTTGGTGGGTTTCAGGAAGAAATCCATGCTAATGAGGAGAACATTGAGCACTTCCACAAGAAGTCTGTAGAGATCCAGGCGATGCTGCAGGGTAAGGAAGCGCCACTGGAGCTGCAGGTGAGTCGAAAAGTTCATTGATCTTATTTTTATTTAAATGCACATTCAATGTTTATGGTCCCTAGATTCATTGTTTTTACAATGTCTGAACCCTTTTTACAATGATTCAGGTAATGGAAACCCAGCTGAGGAAGAGGATGGAGCAGGTGAAGGAGCTGTTTGCCGACTGCACCGACGTCTTTGAGGAACTGGTAGCTGTGAAGAAACACCTCTCTGAGAAGGTGGAGGAGTGCCAGTCAGCTGTGGAGGGCATCCAGTGTTCACTCAGTAGTGTGGATGTGTCACAACCAAAGGCCGAAGAGCAGATACAGGTACGCAGCTGCTATCTGTTGGAACTCACTCTGGTTTAATGTTTATTTTATAGAGCTTAGTATTGGATTATTTGCCCTTTAAATGTGATACACACTAGAGTATAAAACTGTGATTTGAAGCTTTCAGAATTTAATTTGATTTAACAGTTTTGTTTGATTTAGTTAAAAAAAATCCTTGGACCTGATTTTTTACTTATTTTTAAGGATAATAATTAGATCTCAATAAATGATAAAATAAATGATGAAATGATCAATGATATCAAATTGCATCACTGTTGAGACCATTTGCACTCAAAACGGTTGACAAAAAGTACGCATAATATTTTCTGATTCAGCAAAATAATTATATTAAACTTGTTATCCCCTCAATCTCTATATATAAAAACCCTCCTAGGTATAACAAAATAGCATTGAAGGAAAAGGAAATTGGAATATCACTATAATAAGTTTTGAAATGTTTGCATTTTCCACCTTTCTTGTCCTCAGTTAAATCTGGAGTTTGTTCACTGGCCCTTTTAATTATATTTTAATGTTATTAGAATAGCCAGCATATTTTAAAACAGTTTTTTCTTCTGTCCTCATCAGCATCTGTGTGATGACCTGGAGTCTCAGGAGGAGCAGGCGGAGGTGGCTCTGACGGAGGTGGGTCTGGTTTCCAGTGTGGCCAGCCCTCAGATGCTGGAGGCGCTGTCTGTGGACTGCACCCGGCTGAAGGAGGCCATCTCCCGCACCAGGGACATGATCCACCTGAAGAGAGAGGAAAGAGACAAAGGCCTTCTCAAGGTCATCACAGGTAAGGACTGAGTTTGCGGAGGGAGAGAGAGAGAGACAGACAGACAGACAGACAGACAGACAGACAGACACTTTATTAATCCCAATTTGGGAAATGCGATACTGATCCTACCTTTCAAATATTCTATTTTTAAATCATGTTGTTAATTTTCCTCCAGTTGAAAAGCAGTTGTTTGAGGAGTGGTTCCAGAACTTGCAGCTGTCCGTCAATGAATGCTTTGAGCACCCCGAGAGCAGAGCAGACGTGGAAACGTTCCTGCAAAGACTTGCTGTAAGTGGATAAATATATGAATGTGTATCTTAAAACTATTTCATGTTAGATGATGACTCCTCACAGTTTTTCTTATGTCCATCAGAGTTTCTTGAAGTCCAAGGATGCAGAGAGACGTCTGGAGCAGCTGAAGGACCAGCGTGAGAGAGGCAGCCAGCAGCTTCCTCCCCAGCAGCTCTCTGAGTTCACTGATTGGCTGAAAGAGCAGCAGAAGGAGGTCGCTACGTTCAGAACGCACTGCCAGAACCGGCAGGAACAAATGGAGCCGCTCCTCAGAGACCTGAACAGGTAAATGCTTCTTTGATTCCCTGAAGAACAAGTCACGGATATTTCTGCTTCTGCCTTTCTGATCAGGACTCTCACATCTGCACACAAATGTCACCAATAAGAAAACGTGTTTTTAAAACCGTTTTTGTCTTCTTTTCCTCTAGTCTGCAGAAGCAACACGACAGCTTCCGTGAGTGGCTGCAGTACAAAGAAAAACATGCGGTGGAGACGGAAAAAATCAAGCTTTTTCTTAAAGACCTTCAAGATGAGAGGTGAATTTCAATTTCAATCATCAATTTAGAGAGAACTCTGAACTGAACTGATTTTATTCAGATATCTTACAGTAAAGACCACAGCAAATGTTCATTAGGTAACTCTGGACATTTAAATATGAAGTCAAATACTTTGGAAGAAATCCTAACCACTTGTCTTGTTTATCTTCTGTGTCACTTTCTGCTGTCTTTTTATATTTCATCTGTTAAAACCTTGCTTCCACTTTTTTCCATGTGACAGTGGTAGAGCTGAGACCCTCGCTGAGCTTTTAGCATCCATACGCAAACAAGGCGTCCGAGCTGAGAGCCTCCTGAAGGACAGTGATAACCTGATACAGCGCTACAGAAACCTGGTAGCCAGGCTGCAAAAACAGGCCGAAGCTCAGGGCGCCATGCAGGGGAAACTGGAGGAGTTTAACAGCCAGGTGAAGAGCACCAGGAGCTGGATCACTGACCTCATGAAACCCCTCACCTCTCCTGGCTCACAGACAGAAGACCTGAAGCGCAAAGCACAGGTCAGTGAAACCCAGCCTGATGAACCTTTTCTCGCTTTTACACTTCAAATCGGAAATTCTTATTTCTTCTACTTTTCAAATGTTGTCAAAAAGAAAAATACTACATTACGCATTTACAAGCTAACTGTTTTACAAGCACATTTGCATGAGTCAGGACAGTGCATGTGACATGGAGAAGGGTCGTTTTTAAAGAAGACATGTAAAAACAAGGGGAAATAATTGCATTACATTCCAGTTTAAGTTTAGTTTATTAATTTGCAACATCGTTACCACAGATTCATATAACTGCATTTTATTACTTAATTTATAATCATAAGTTAAGCCCCTACTTTTTCTTACTCTGCTTTTATTTGCGTTTTTTCTTTGTGGGAGGGGTAGCTTACCTCTTCTTCTCTGTAATTGTTGTGAAATATATAATATAAACTTCATTATGTAAGCATTCATCTCAAAGTAAAATCAGGTTGAAGGAATTTAGGTCGTTAGTTTTAATCTAACCTGTCGGTGACTAGATTAAAACGTCATTAGGATTCATTCAATGAGGATGCTAATGTCAATACAAATAATTCCTTCAAAAGTTGTATAATATTCCCATTTTGTCCCCAGGCCATCCTGACCTCCAAGCCTGAGGGAGACTCTGAGGTGAACAACCTGAGAAGACAAAGTGAAACTCTGTGTGGGCAGGAGGACCTGGATAAAGGCAGGAAACAGGAAGTCCAGCAGACAGTAAAAGAAACAGAGGCGCAGTGGAGGGCGGCTCTGCAGACCGCTGAGAAGAATCTCAACCAGGCTGAAAAACAGGCTCTGCTAGAGAAGGACTTGGACGCTGTCAAAACCCAGAATGAAAGCGTTCAGTCCTGGATCAGAGACCAGCAGCAGAACCTGCAGTCGCTTGGTGGTTGCATGCAAGTTGAAGAAAAACTCCAGATTGCAAAAGTATGTTCAAAAGGCTTCAGGGTCAGTTTGTAAGATTGGGGTGGGTTTTCATTTATAGAACATCTTGTAAATGTTTGTGTTTTGAGGATAGATGCAAAGCAATCTCCTAAAGAGTTGTTTTTATTCTCTTCAGGCTACTCTGAGCTCCAAACCGGATGGAGATGCAAAGCTCCAGGATCTGAAGCGGCAATGCCAGAGTCTGTGTGAGAACCAGGGCTTGGACGAGAGCAGACGACGAGAGGTTCAGGACGCAGTCAGACAAAGCGAGGAGCAGTGGAGGAAAGTCTTACAGGCTGCAGAGGAGGGTCTCAAGAAGGCAGAGACTGAAGCTGCCACTGGAAAGGACTTCGATGTTTTCAAAGCCCGAAATGAAAGCAACCAGTCCTGGGTCAAAGAGCAGAAGCAGAAGCTGCTGTCCCTCGGTAGTCAAATGCCTCTTGAAGAGCGGCTACAGGTCGCACAGGTGAGTTTACAAGTCAGGCTTAACCTACAAATATCAGGGTGCAAAATGTATATTGTGTGAACAAATACAATTAAGTATTAGTATTGCATGTTTACATAAACTGTTTGGACTTTTTTAAAGTATCAGATAGGATAAAATGATACAATTGATGTATGTTCATGGCTAAATCAAGGTGAAGGTCTGTCACTGCATTATCATTATTTTGTATGCACAATATTTTGTGCATACAACATTTGAATTAGCCACAAATAACACTAATTGCTCAATTTTTGTTGTTGTCCTGCCTCATGTTAGACTGACATATATCCAGTGGTGTTGACAAGTGATGAGTTTGAAGCTGTAGTGAAGTTTAGGGCAACTTCTGATTTATCCCCACCATACCTTTGTCCTCACCTTCAGGCTGTTATAAACTCCAAACCTGAGGGAGAGTCCAAGCTGCTCGCCCTGAAGACACAAGCTGAAGCTCTGAGTGAGCATCTGGAGGAGAGCAGGAAGGCAGAGGTTCAGCAGTTGGTAAGAGACTCAGAGCAGCAGTGGAGGAACGTTCTGCAGGCCGCCAGGCAGGCAGAGCTCCGCAGTCTGACGGACGACTTTGATACTCAGAGTAAAAACACTCAGTCCTGGATCAGAGACAGGCAGCAGAAGCTCCAGTCTGTGGGAGCTCACACTCCACCTGATGAGAGATGTCACACAGCGCAGGTCAGTTTCATCTTAATTTACTGTATATGAATATTAAGGAATTATCTTCACAAGATATAGATTTTCACGGATTAAGGGGCCATCTGTGGCTCAGGGGCTAGATGGTGTTTTCAAGTGCTAAAGCCAAACCTTTTCCTTCCTTCATTCCCTCTTTTAAATGTACAGTTTAACTGATTCAACTATTACATGTAATAAACGTTTGTTTTGTTTGTAGGACATCTTGAGCTCCAAACCTGAAGGCGACTGTACGGTAAACAACCTGAGGAGGCGGGCCCAGGGTCTGTGTGACCATCTGGACGCAGACCAGGGCAGGAAAGTCCACGTTCAGAAGACGATCAGAGACACAGAGGAGCAGTGGAAGACCGTCCTGCAGGCTGCCAAACAGGTGGAGGCTGCTGCGGGAGCCGAGATCTCACAGAAGACTGAGAAGAGAACGCTGGAGGTACTTCAGTACTATGACAGCGTAACATCTTGTTTTATCATGAAAGTCACCATATAAAGTCCTGGTTAAGGAAATCATCCGCTGATTTGTTAAAAATGATTCAGCTTATTCCTGTGTAACTTGAAATTCTTACTTTTTTGAGTCCTTAAGATAGATTACAATTCTCAAAGAAAAGCATTTGTTCACCCATCACAACACTTTTTATGTTGTTTAATAAATACATATTTTGTACACTTGTCAGGAGTGTCAGAACAAAAACGGTATGGCAGTAAAATAAATGCGTATAGTGAGGCTTTGCATACGCCGTGGTAGGTGATACATAATATGCTCGAAAAAAATGACCGTCATAAAGTTGTTCCCCTTCACGTTGAAAGGTGTTTTTTTTAAAAACAACATTTTAAACCACCTCATTATGTGTGTCTTTTCTCCTCTTCAGTTGAAAGAATTTGAAACCCAGCAGCATGACACTGTCCGCTGGCTCACAGACTTCCAACAACAACTGGACTCACTGAAGAGCCAAACCAAACCCAAGGACCGACTGCAATCTGCTCAGGTGAGCTGATGGGTCACCTTACAGGGAGAAGGTCACATCTCCATTGTCCTCCTTCGAACAAAAATGTCTTGATTATATAAGAAACACAAATTCAACTGCCAGTAAGACCTCTTTAAAGCCTCATTAGTTTTATAGGGGTCACATTCAATTTAGGTTTTAGTCTCAAAATACTGTCTATATCAAAGATTATCTTTATGGCTTCACATACACAATAGCAGTCTTTACCAAAAGATGATAATTATGAATTCTGTTTTCTATCCCCAGGCCATTATCAGCTCTAAGACCAAAGGAGACTCGATGCTCCAGGAGCTCAAGAGACGAAGCCAGATTCTGTGTGGGCAGGACCTCGAGGAACCCAGAAAACAAGAGGTTCAGCAGAAAGTAAGAGATGCTGAGGAGCAGTTGGCGAAAGTCCTGCAGAGCGCTAAACAGGCCCAGGATCAGGCTGAGAAGCAGTGTGCTCTGGAGGCAGAGCTGAAGGAATATGAAGCTCTGAAAGAAGACACCAAAGCCTGGCTGGAAGAAAAGCAGAAGAGCCTCGTCTCTTTGGATGTTCAGGCAGATCCAGAGATAACAATTACCACTGCACAGGTCAGTTTGCAGCATAGAGTATTGGCAAAACAAATCTGTGCTAACGTAAAGTTGTGTTAATTGTGGCATGGAGTTTTTTGTTAAATTATATTGGCTAATTGTTGTTAAACATTTTTCAGTTTTCATTTCTTCACGTTTATGTGTTTTCCTTTAATGTACTTGATACATTTCTTCGTTACTGCTAGTCACGATGTCTGTAGGAATTCATCCCTTTATTAAAAATGTCAAGTCTTTCCAAAATATTTGATGGTAAATTAGATCTCAGTTTTCCATCACTGGATATTTAAAAAAATTGTTTTAATAAAATGAGTTTTGGTCTTGGCAGTACATCATTTCAATCTAAAACTAAAGTACCAAGATTGATTTGTAAATGTATTAACAATACCTCTTTGTATAAAAAACAATTTCGATGACATTTAGAGATATTAAGGTAAACATGTTTTATCCTCAGACTATCCTGAGCTGTAAGCCTGAGGGAGACTCCAAGCTGACTAAACTAAGGAAAAGGAGCCAGAGTCTGTCAGACCAGGAGGATCTGGAGGAGACGTTAAGACAAGAGGCTCAGCGGACAGTGAAGGAGTCGGAGGAGCAGTGGAGGACCGTCCTGGAGACCGCTGAGAACACTCTGAAGAAAGCTGAGGTCCATTACTCGCTCTCCAGGGAGCTGGAGGCTTTCCACAGCAAAGCAGGGAGCACCAAAGCGTGGGTGAAAAAGCTGCAGCAGCAGGCCGACTCCAAGGGCAGCGGCACTCAGGGCAGCCGGGCTGAGTTAGAGGACAGACTGAACACAGCACAGGTACAGTGCAACATAGATATAGAGCTTAATAGAGTTTTTTAATATTGAGGTTTGTTTTATTCTGTGAAGTCATTCTTTCCTATGCAGGGACGTTTGTCAAATAAACTATAATTTTATTAAAGAGTTAGAGCAGTTCAATATAACTATTACAAATTGTTTATGATTGTGTCTTTAGGCTATTTTGAGCTCCAAGTCGAAGGGAGAAGCTCAGGTGATGGAGCTGAAGAGGCGAGCGGAGAGTCTGTGTGAGCAGGAAGATCTGCAGGGAGACAAGAAACTGGAGGTCCAGAAGATGGTCCAAGACACTGAGCAGCAGTGGAGGACGGTCCTGCAGGCTGCTGAGGACACACAGAGGTACAGGAAGATGAGGGAAACCCTCTACTTGTTTTTCATTTGAAATACATGTCACCGGCTCAGTTACATATCAGCTGACAGTAGCTTCTTATCAAAGTTCAGTTCTTTTTGGCATCAGGCATCTTAAAAGTGTTCTTAAGCAATACACTCAATTCCTTTCAATCACAAGGCTGGGATTTGAAAACATTTGATCAAATCTATGTATTGAACTGTTGTTGGAATCCTTTTCCTCAAATTCAAACCCAATGTAATTGTATTTAAGTAGGCCAATATCCCAAACTGTACATTTGTCTCAGGGGGCTTTTCAGTTCAACAAACATAATGAATAGAATAAAAAAAAATTTAAAAAAAAATTAAAAAAGAAAATTACAACATAAACAATCCAATTGACAAAATGAAAATGTGAACCTATATTAAAAAAAAAAAAGTGGATCTAGTAGAAGTTGTTCTTGCAACTCATAGCCCTAACAACAACTGTCTTTAATCTGCTATCACCCATCAGGCAGCTGAAGGGTGTTGTGGAGCGCCTGGGGTCCTGTCTGTACCAGCGAGGCCAGGCTGAGGCCCGTCTGTCTGAGTGTCAGAAGCAGACCTCCGGCCTTCCGAGGGTCTTCCCCTGGCCCGGCCTGGGAGAGCGGAGGCAGGCGGTGGAACAGGCCCGCACCCTGCTGGAGCAAAGCACAGCTCTGGCCCCCGTCCTCTCTAACCTCCGCACACAGGTACGAGCACAGGAAGCCAGTTCAACTACATCTATATGTAACATTATTAATGTTGTATCAGTTCTTAAATACACTCATAGGTATGCTTAATGGTTTTATTTCTTCACAACTATTGTTTAACTTTATTAAAGCTAAATGAGTGTGATTAGAAATACGTGAGACACATGTGAGGTTGAGTTGTTATTTGACCCCTGAAGGCTGCCGAGCTGTTTGAGATCACACAGGACATTGGCTGGTCAGATCAATCAGTGGCAGACAAGGAGAAGTCCATTCCTCCTCTGCTGAAAGAGCTCACTGTGAGTTCTACTTTTTTGTCAAGATTATAATGAGATTCTATTTGCTATATATTGAGACCAAGTGTCAAATGTAAACTGTCTAAATATGACTTAACTTGACTATGATGAATGCAAAATTAACCAGAAGATTGTAATGCAATTAATGAGGAAGTAAAATGCTTCTCTAAATGTATTTAACAGGCTTAACAAATAACTTGGTCAAAATAGCCACGTTTCTTTGTCTGAAAAAATGTAACTACTGTTGTTTTCAGGAAGCGGTAGCAAACCTGGAGCAGGGCATGGTGACGGAGAGGCAGTGCACCCAGCTGGTGGAGCAGCATGTAGCAGCTCAGGATTGGCTGAGGGAGCACGTTAAAGGCCTGGGAGCTCCTCCTGCAGACAGAAAGGTTCTACACAACACTGTCAACACTCTAAAGGTCAGACACATTTACACATCATTATTAGTTTAGATATTTGAGAGAAGCCAGTTGCAGCAATCTATCACTGAAAATATTGAAAACTGAAAAAATCTTAACCAGTAACAACAAAAACATTTCCAAGCTTTTTGTAATTACTGGTTAAGACATGTTTTGCTGATAACTCATGTTTGAAACTGGGAATGTGTGTTACATTTTTCCGCAATGACTGGCATGTTTCATCTTGGAACATTTATTTGTATCCAAATATTAGGGGCTCTTTCCAAGAATGTCAATTGCATTCTAATAATCTTTCTGTCCCTGCTGATGCCAGGCTTTACTCCAGACAGTGGATAGAGAGCAGAGGGAGATGAAGGAGCTGGACTCTGCCAGAGACAGTTTGCTGAGCCTGTGCTCCCCTGGAGGTCGGGATGCCCTTACCCTGGAGGTCAGCCATCTCCACGACCTCTGTGCCACCTCAGAGCGGGAGGTTAGGGAGCGCCTGGCGGCCTGTGAGGTTCGGCTGGAGGAGCAGGACAGTCAAGTGGCCAAGAAGGCCCAGGGGCTGAAGGATAAAGCTGCAGCGTTGCAGTGGGAGCTCCGCTCTCTGGACCAGGCGCTCAGCTACAGCGAACCGCAGAACAACATCGATCAGCTCCAACAGCACTGGAACAGCCTCCAGGTATTACTGCTTTAAACTGGATGTAACCACCCCACCATTGTATTATTATTTAGAAGGGTGAGTTCCAGGGAATAAATCTGTAGAAAAGGATTTTGTACAGTAAGTGAACCTTCCTAGTAAATGTGACAAATGAAGAATATCATTCATGAAAAAGATGTTTCTATTGTTATTCTTAACTCTTTTCATGTAAATTGATGTTATAGGAACATATAGATTTATTAAGAGATAAAAAACATTTGTCCAACAGCCTCCAGGTTATTATTACCTTATTTATCCTTCAACAAATCTCAATGTATCTACCTGTTTTATTATCAAAACTTCTGCTATGTTCCACATGCAGGGATGCTAATATTGCTCTATTTCTATGTTACACTATTGCAGGAATGTGAATATAACTTATGTGATGATGTCTTCCTTCTTCTGTTAGAAATGTGAGAAATCCCTAAAAGATTTGGGTGTGAAAGTTCATGACCTTCACCAGGAAATAGAGGTTACGTCTGCCACTGACGAGCTGCCATCAGAAGTGATGACTTCGGTGAAGTCCTTATGCCAGCAACATGACAGGTACCACCTTTCAAAACAGATGACATGTCCTTATGTTGTTGTTGAGATGTAACATGTAGATGAAAACAGCCTCATTATATATTGGGGATTGATTGTTACTAACATTAAGACAAGCAGCAGTTTTTTTTGCACATTTTTCTTTGAAATATACATTTGTATTTCTCTCAAAGTTTAAACAAGAAATATGTAGTGACAAAAAGCTGATGAAGTTGCATGACATGCAGTAACTGTACACTTCATCACTGGAGCTTTTTTAACTTGATTTAGCCTTCTTGAACGGATTCCACACATTCTCAGCTGGCATTTTCTATTTCAATTTAGTTTTCAATTATTCTTACCAGAAACATGCCTTAGTGGATCACTCTGCCCAAGCTGAGTGGGCAGAGTGATCCACTAAGGCATGTTTCTGTTTCAATGGCATGGAAACACAGAGTTCTCCTGTAATTATAAACTGATTACATGTTATCTAATGCATTAACTCACATTTACACATGAACATTTCTGTGTATTGCTGTTCCATAAATGTGTTTGTAATTTGTTCTTGCAGTTGGCACACTATTTTTTGCTGGGGAAACATATTACAAATGTTTTAATTTTGAGCTAATTTAGTATAAATCATGCATATGCAAATGTTGTTTAAACTATAAATGTGATTTAACTATGTCTACAGTCTAAAGTCCAGGATGAGTGAGCGTCAAGGAACCTGCTCTACAAACACAGCACACTGTCTGATGGACTGTCTCCATGCTTTGCAAGACTGGAACCAGAGCAAACCTTCACAGTCCATTTCTTCTGTGCAGGTTTCTGTCTTTTCATGCTTATTGCTTTCTTTTAGTAAACATTTATGCAGTTGAGTAAACTTGAGGGCTGCTTATTACATCTAATCTTTTGCAATCCATGATCAACATTTCATACACACACTGATTTTTCATCACTAAGCAATTTAATATGTTTTTCCTCCTGGTGTTAGGCGAAATTAGAGGAAGGTGAAAAGTTGCAGTCCAGCCTAAGGGATGCACTTTCTCACGATCAGTTTCTAAGAGACTGTTTGAAGCCCGACTTGGCTATGAAACTGGAGAGGGATTGTTCAGAAAGACTCACCGAAGCAAGCACACAGAAGGTTTCTCTTCGCCTGAGCTTAAAGGTATTTTATGCATGTTTAACAGATGTATATATAATTCATAGTTAATTAACTACTTAAAAAAGGTTATGTAACTCAGTAATAATTAATGAAATTTGTACCTTTTTTTTACTCAAGGAACTTGATGGAAAGCATAAACAAAAGCTGCCTGATGTCCTTCAAGGTAATGTAGAGGAGACAAAGACACCGTTAGTGGCACCACCACGAAAAAGCAAGCGCTCACCTGAGAAGAAACAACAAGTCGAACTGCAAAGAAACATTCCCATAACAGAACAATCTACGTCTATTGAGTATGAATTATTGGTTTCTGCTGAGCTGGAAACTGATCCTAAAACATTGAAGCCTACATTGACAGCAGTCAAGGAAGACATCAAATCCATTGGTGTCGAACACAGCAGAATAGAACCAACAAAAACTAAATCTCAGAGTTCAACATATCGATCAGAACCTTTTACAGTGCAGCCTTACAACACTTCTCAAGAGATACTGTTGAAGAAGGAAGAAGGTAAAAGCCTAGATCCCACTGCTGAGCCTGTTGGAGCTAAGCAAACTAAACCTACTTTAGAGCAACCTGTACCAATCAAAAAGGTCATTGGGCAGTCTGCAGCTAGTGTTAGTGAGAAAACTACACCTGTACCATCCAGGAGAAAATCCAAGACTTTGGCCACTGATACTGAACCTGCCCAGCCTAAGGTGGAGCCTGAAATGGTGAAAACTGTTATTACTCAAGGATCTCCTGGAAATTTGACAGGAAGTGCTTCTTCTGAAGAAACAAAGCGTAAGGCAACCATTATTCTAGATGTATCAGAGCCATTCCCGTCTGTCACAGTAGCAACTGATGCCACTATTAGCTCAGCAATGGCTGTCACAAAGCAAGCTAAGACCATGGTTGATGAGCTAGCCAGGCTTGGACCTACCAGTAAAGAGTCAAAGACTGCAGACATGTCTTCTACGGATAATGTTTCAAAACCCTGCGCAGATCAAAGGCGACACAGAGAATCTAAAATCTGTCCTCTCTTCAACGCCCATCACAGAAACAGATAATGCGCAACCTAAGTCTGTACAAAAATGCCAAGAGTCAAAGAGCTCCAACGTTTCTACGACTGCAAAGCTTGTCGAAACTAAGAAAATCCCTCAGAATGGAAAGACTGCTCAAGGCGAGCAGCCTAGCGAAACTGCTGTTTTGGTAGAAAATAAGCTTTCGCCAAACAAAAGAAAGTCAATGAATCAAAAACTTTCACCAGCATTTTCTTACAGTGTGAAAACACAGACCATGGAAATGCCTGACAGTCAAATGTCTTTACAGAGATCCAAGGAGCAAACTGATTCTGCTGCTGTGGTGGTAGAAGCTGAGTTTGTACGAACCATGAGAAAGTCAAAGAGTCTTGATGTTTCCACTGTTTCAGAGACTGGGAAGCTTTTCAGTTCAGAGTCAGTTCCACTGCCAGCTGTAATTGCTGTTTCGGAAAAAAGTGAGGTTTCACCACCAAAGCAAAAGTCAACAACTCTACCTCTGAAAAAGTCTGACAAGCAGGTAATACATATAATGGAAGAACATGAAAGTCAGAGGTCTGCTTTGACAAAAAGTGCTGAACTTACGACAACTTTGCAGCAAGTTGATGTCCCAAATAAAACTGCTGATGGGAAATGTAAAGATGATAAGAAAGAACCTGACAGCCTGAACTCTCCACATGTGGCCACAGAATCAACAGAAGCTACTGTTGTGAAAGAAAAGAAGCCTTTTCCAACCAAAAGAAGATATAAGGGTCCAAAGTGTTCCCCTGAACATGTAACCAAGGAGGTGGCGGAGAGTAAGCAAGATCCCGAAAGTCAGAAGTTTACATTAAGCTCTGAAGAGCAAACTGAAACTTTTGTTGAGGAAGAAACTAAAGTCATACCACCAAGGAGGAAATCAAGGGGTTTGGAGGCATCCAAAGTTCCAGAAAGTACATTTCTACTACCCAAGGGAATGTCAAAGAGCACAAAACCTCCTCAGGAATCTTTAGAGACTGACACACCTCAGACAGCAATAGAATCGGAAGGTCTAAGATCTACTTTAGGTTCATTTGACAGAAACAATGGTGTTGTTATTGAAGAAACAAAACTTGTAGCAACCACAACAAAAACAAAGAGTGGGGACTTTTCCACAGCTTCCGAAACTGTTGTTACCCATGTAATGTCACCTGCTGCTGAGCCTGAACAGAGTAAGAAAGAACTTGACAGTCAAAAGTCATCAACTCTAGATGTTGTCGAAGGAACAATCAAAACTACTGTTGTGGATAAAGGTAATCCTTCACTAACAAAAATTAGGTCAAGGGATCCAAAACTTTCTTCAGAACTTACTACCAAAGAGCTGACAAAGACTAAGGATGAATCTGACAATCAAAAGCCATCTTCAACCCCAGAGGTTGTCACAGCACCAACTGCAATGGCTCTTGTGGAAAAAGGTAAACTTTCCCCATCCAAAAGAAAGTCAAAGGGTCTTAAACTTTCCCCAGACCCTTCTGATATGCAGCAGAAAAACATAAAGGAAGAATATGACAGTCAGAAGCCATCTGCAACTCCAGAAGTGGCCACAATACCAACGGAAACTGCTGTTTCGGAGGAAGGTAAACTTTCGCCGACCAAAAGAAAGTCAAAGGGTCTTAAACTTTCTTCAGAACTTACTACCACAGAGCTGACAAATACCAAGGAGGACTCTGACAATCAGAAGTCATCTTCGACTCAAGACGTGGTCACAGCAACGACTGAAAAGGGTGTTTCAGAGGAAGGTAAACTTTCACCAACCAAAAGAAAGTCAAAGGGTCTCAAACTTTCCCCTGAAACTGCTTCTACCTATTCGACAAAGACCAAGGAAGAGCCTGACAGTCAGAAGCCATCTTCAACTCCAGAAGTGGCCACAAAACCAACTGAAACGACTGTTGTTGAGAAAAGTAAACTTTCCCCAACCAAAATAAAGTCAAAGGGTCTTAAACTTTCTCCAGAACCTGCTACCACAGACCTGACAAAGACCAAGGAAGAATCTGACAGTCAGAAGTCATCTTCAACTAAACAAGTAGTTACAGCACCAACTGAAATGGCAGTTGTTGAGAAAAGTACACTTTTGCCAACCAAAAGAGAGTCAAAGGGTCTTAAACTATCCCCAGAACCTGCTTTCACTGAGCCAACAAAACCAAGGAAGAGCCTGACAGTCAGAAACCACCTTCAACTCCAGAAGTAGTCACAGCACCAAGTGCAACTACTGGTATGGAAAAAGGTCAACTTTCACCAACCAAAAGAAAGTCAAAGGGTCTTAAACTGTCTCCAGAACCTGCTACCACAGACCTGACAAAGACCAAGGAAGAATCTGACAGTCAGAAGTCATCTTCAACTAAACAAGTAGTTACCAGCACCAACTGAAATGGCAGTTGTTGAGAAAAGTACACTTTCGCCAACCAAAAGAGAGTCAAAGGGTCTTAAACTATCCCCAGAACCTGCTTTCACTGAGCCAACAAAAACCAAGGAAGAGCCTGACAGTCAGAAACCACCTTCAACTCCAGAAGTAGTCACAGCACCAAGTGCAACTACTGGTATGGAAAAGGTTCAACTTTCACCAACCAAAAGAAAGTCAAAGGGTCTTAAACTGTCTCCAGAACCTGCTACCACAGACCTGACAAAGACCAAGGAAGAATCTGACAGTCAGAAGTCATCTTCAACTAAACAAGTAGTTACAGCACCAACTGAAATGGCAGTTGTTGAGAAAAGTACACTTTCGCCAACCAAAAGAGAGTCAAAGGGTCTTAAACTATCCCCAGAACCTGCTTTCACTGAGCCAACAAAAACCAAGGAAGAGCCTGACAGTCAGAAACCACCTTCAACTCCAGAAGTAGTCACAGCACCAAGTGCAACTACTGGTATGGAAAAAGGTCAACTTTCACCAACCAAAAGAAAGTCAAAGGGTCTTAAACTGTCTCCAGAACCTGCTACCACAGACCTGACAAAGACCAAGGAAGAATCTGACAGTCAGAAGTCATCTTCAACTAAACAAGTAGTTACAGCACCAACTGAAATGGCAGTTGTTGAGAAAAGTACACTTTCGCCAACCAAAAGAGAGTCAAAGGGTCTTAAACTATCCCCAGAACCTGCTTTCACTGAGCCAACAAAAACCAAGGAAGAGCCTGACAGTCAGAAACCACCTTCAACTCCAGAAGTAGTCACAGCACCAAGTGCAACTACTGGTATGGAAAAAGGTCAACTTTCACCAACCAAAAGAAAGTCAAAGGGTCTTAAACTGTCTCCAGAACCTGCTACCACAGACCTGACAAAGACCAATGTAGAGCCTGAGAGTCAGAAGCCATCTTCAACTCTAGACGTTGTCACAGTACCAACTGAAACTATCGACATGGAAAAAGGTAAACTTTCACCAACTAAAAGAAAGTCAAAGGGTCTTAAACTTTCCCCAGAACCTGCTACCACAGGCCTGACAAAGACCAATGTAGAGCCTGACAGTCAGATACCATCTTCACGTACAGAGGTCACAGCAGTCACAGCAACATCTACAATTACTGTTGTTTCACCTACTAAAATAATGTCAAAAGACATCAAACTTTCCTCAGAACTTGAGGAATTGACCATACCTGCCAGGAAAATACTGAAAGATGTAGATGTTTCCACAACTGTAAAGCCAGCTTCTGCTGTTGTTGGAAGTGATGAGGTGGAGTCTAAGGAGGTTAAAGTAGAACCTGAGTGTGGGAAGGCTTTATCTGGACAGGTTGTTGCAGGAGCTGTTGAAACTGATGTTGTTAAAGATAGTAAGCTTTCCCCAACCAAAAGAAAGTCAAAGAGTCCGAAGGGTTCTTTGGAAATTTCGAGCAAGGAGCTGACGAAGACCAAGGATAAAACTGACAGTCAGAAGCCATGTTTAACTCCAATCAAGGATGATGTGAAATCAAATGTCCCTCAAAAGGTGAATCCTGCTGAGAGCAGTCAAGCTACTGTGAAGGGTGTCAGTCCAATATCTGAGAAGTGTACTGTTCAGGATGGTGGCACCATTCGGGTATTCCAAGAACAGAAAGTGGCTACAGTCATTCTGGACACATATGTGCAAGTATCAGAAAAGGAGGATCCTTGTCTGTCATCTCCAAATAATGAGCCTTTGGAGTCTGTTCTTACATCCATTTTAACCTGGGCTACACCTCCACATTCTGAGTTACAGGAGCCTGAAGATAAATCCAAAGAGGCCCCTAAATATACCATTACTCAGTCTACAGAAAAATACTTAAGTATATTACCTCAAACAAAGCCACCTCTTTCCACCAAGCCTACTGATATACCACATGTGGCAGACTACATAGACAAGTTATGTGAAAACACAAGTGAGACTCAGAAGAGATATCTGGTCCTTGATCTGCCGGAGGTTGGATTTACCCAGACATACAAAATAAAACAAGATCAGTCAAAGACTGCGGCTCAGAGTGAGTTCACTCAACCTACCTCAGCTGATTTTGCTGGGGTTCAGCCTTATAAGGTTGAGGCAGAATTTTCTAAAATAAGCTCAATTAAGCAAAACATAATAGAACCAAGTGGAACTCTTAGTCTCGTTCAGGATAGACAAGAACAAGGTAAGGTTTATGACTTCCAGAAAGAAATAGGTAAAATGTCAACACATGACATCGATGATACACCTAAGACAATCCACATTGAGCCTGAAGTGCGCATTTTAAAACAAGATATTCAGACAAGTCCAGAGGTGAATGAAAACCCATCTGTCACAAGTGCAAAAATTACACCAGTACAAGGAAGTATCCAGAGTGAAATGGACCCAGAAAACAAAGATTGGATTGCTGCTGTTGTTAAGACAGAGATGACTGAATTTAATATTACTAAAATACTAAAAAAAGTACAAGAAATCACTAATGAAATTCATGGCGATGTGACTCAAAGGGACAATGCCCAACACTCTCCTTCTGAAGCATTGCCTCAAGATCAGGCAAGGACAGAATTTGTAGAGATAAGCATATCTGAGAAAGATATTGTGAAAACAAGCCAAACTGGGACTAAACCAACCATGTTGGAAAAACCCAAACAGGTCAAGGAACAGGTCGTAAAAGAGCATCCTACACCTTCCCCACATGGCATTGAACATGTACATAAGAGCTTTGATGAAAAATGTGTTACTATTGAGAAGATCACCAGGGGGCCTGAAGTGTGCATCCTACAACTGGACACGCCGACCAGTCTGCAGAATTATGAATACACATCAGTCACAAGAGCGAAAGAGCAGAGGATAGATATTGTTCAAACGTGTATCCAGAGCGAAAGACTGCTGGAAAACAAAGATGTTACCACTGCAGGTGTTAAGCCAGAGGAATCTGCAGGGGAAGTTACTAAGATAAGGTTGCAGGAGGGCAGTCCTGAATGTCAAGACAATGTGCCTAAAAGAGAATCTGCTCAACTCAAGACTTCTAGATCTAAATCATTGCAACCACATGAGACAAAGACAGACTTTATCGAAATAAGCGTATATGAACAAGACATAGTTAAACCAAGCCAAACTGATACTAAGAAAGGAGACTTGAAAACTGCCCAAGATAGAGCTACAGAAAAAAAAGTATATGGAGTCCAAGAAGGGCATCCTAAAGTGTCAACACAGAGTATCAAAGATGTACCCAAGATCCTGGAAGAAAAGCCTGCTAGGATGCAGCAAATCCAATTAGAACCTCAAGTGCGCATCCTTCAACTAGATATACCATCCACTCTCGGGAAAGATGAAAACACGTCAGTCACAGGAGAAAAAGAGCCAAAGATACATGCTAAATTGTTGACAAAAGACGTACATGATTTACCACAGAGCATAGATCAAAGCATAGATGAAGTGCATATTTTAAAACCAGGTACACAGATCTCTATAAAGGGGCATGATATCCCTTCTGTAACGATGATTGATAAAGAACAAACAAGTATCCAAAGCAAGAAGTTAACAGAAAACAAAGACCTGACTTCAGCTGATGTTCAGCCAGATAAAGCTACAGTCAAGATGACCAGAGTAGAAGTGGGCAAAGGATTGGTCAAGGAACAAGGTGTCCAAAAAGAACAACAACCGAGTACACAGGCCACTAAACAGGAGCATAAAATCATGCCTGTTACGATAGAAAAGTCATCAAGGATTGTTAAAGATCAAACAACTGGTCATCTGGGCACAAAATTGCCAGAAAACAAAGACCTTTCTTCAGATGTTGTTCAGCCAGAAAAGACTGCAGTCAAGATGACCAGGTTAGAAGTATGCACAGGACCTGGGGTCCAAGAAGAGCATCCTATAGTTTGTACACCAGATGTCAAGAGAGAGAAGGCTGCCATTAAGACAAAAGAACAAGTTCCTCAAATCCCCACTGAAAGTCAAAAGAATGTTGCCCAGAGGGACTCCACTCAACTCACATCAGTTGCTTCTACGGCAGTGAAGCCAAGTAAAGCAGAAAAAACACTTGCAGAAGTGAGCTCATCCAAGCAAGACACTGTAAAACCAAGCGAAAGAGGGATTAAACTAGATGTGATGAAAACCACACAGGAAAGTCTCGAAGATGTACAGGTAAAGGATCACAACAAGCAAGAGGTTCACGCTAAAGTGTTGACAAAAAAACGTGCAGGATTCCTCCCGGAGCTTGGATATAAAGTGTGTCAAGATTGAGAAAATCCACGGAGGGGCTGAAGTGCAGGTTTTACAACCAGGTACCCAGGTCACTATTAAGGAGCAAGAAGTCTCATCTGTTCCGACAGCAAAGACATCAAGGGTTGTAATTGATCCAACAAGTATCCATATCGAGAAAGTGCCAGAAAACAAAGACCAGACTTCAGCTGATGTTCAGCCAGATAAAGCTGCAGTCAAGATGACCAAGTTAGAAGTATGCACAGGACCTAAAGATGTCAAGAAAAGTGGGGACCAAGAAAGCATCCTAAAGTTTGTACACCAGATGTCAAGCCAGAGAAGGCTGCCGTTAAGACAAGAGCAGAAGTTCCAGACAAAGACCAGACTTCAGCTGATGTTGGGCCAGAAAAGGCTTCAGTCAAGATTACCATGATCGAAGTGAAGAGCAAGGAAACACTGAAAGGGGGAAAAGATTGTGAAGTGCAAGAAGTGCATGCTGAAGTATCAACAAAAGTGCAGGATGCCCCCCAAAGCCTGGAGGAAAAGTATGTTAAGACTGTAAAGATGACCAGTATAGAAGTGCCAGAAAGCTTTACAGATTCCCTGTCTGAACCAAGGTTAGTCCCTAGCGCACTAACGGAGAGACAAGCAACGTATGCAAAGGACATTAAGAAGGAAGAAAAGAATGAGGGGAAGAAGAGGACAACTCAGGAAGAGGAAAGGGAAAAAATGGTCAATCTAGGAAAACGAAATGTTCCACTCCCGATGGCCAAAACTCCCACCATTGCTGATGTGAGGACAATGGATGCAACACAGGTAAGACATTAGAGGTAATCATCTGTAGACAATACTGTACATTAGGTCTCTGTCGATTTAGTTTTAACAACTTTGTAGTTAACTCTCAATGAACAACCGTCCCAAGGATCACTTTCACAATACAAAATAGCCCAGTAACTACAATAGCAGATACTATTACATATTTGAGAGAGAGAGAGAGAGAGAGAGAGAGAGAGAGAGAGAGAGAGAGAGAGAGAGATTGTATTGCTCTTGGTATTGTAAACCCTTTATTATGTTCAAAAATGTTCAAAGAAGCATCAATGACTGATCAATGTACCTTAGGGCTTCTGGAATTTACTTTACATGTAGTGCCTACTGTACACAGCTACATTTGATAAGCCTTACATGCAAAGCCAAAATATATGCTTGAGAAATGTACACCTGTGCTACCAATGGTTTCATTGCCTCTGGGTTGTAATATGAGCCATGCATGTCTTGCGAGTCAAAGCAAGTAAGGCTTGGTAAACTGCCAGAGAAAAACGATCATTCAAAAGGATTAGAATTATTTCACAACGTGCTTGACTAAAATGGAATGCAATTGTTTGTCAACATCTCCCATTAATTCTGTGTTTTCTATCCACAATTGGATCAGGTGAACACGGCTGACAAGATACAAACTGCATCACTGCAGGCAGTTCATACATCTGGCATTATCTGGAGGGAGGTAACCCTGGTGGAAGGCTCACCCTCTCAGGAAAACAAAGCACAGGCTGCAATGACTGTTAGGAAGCCTGAGAAACTTGTTCTGGAGGAACCAGAAGCATCCACCATGAGGAAAGTCTTCACGGAAGTACAGTTACTCTCAGGGACAGGACCTACCAGTCCACTCACAGAGGTATCAGTATTACTTTAAATTATCACTAGGTTTAACCAAGTGTAGAAATGGTTGCACCCACACATAATGGGATTCAAGTGCACAGTATATTATGTGTTGAACATATACTGTCAGCATTGCTATTTGAATCTAGCTCATGGTTGTTACTTTTTTTTGTCTCCTTGGGCCTCACTTGGATTTTAAAGACTGCAAGCTCTGATGTGTTTCTATTTCCTAAGGGTAAACCACTGGAAGGGGCTCCAGAGGCTCTGATTTCATCCACCAGTGATCTGGAGAACCGTCTGAGCAGGCTGGTGTCTAGAGTCCTTAGCTGCAAGAATTACCCAGCTGAACTCAGCCCAGCAGCCATGGCCAAACAGCTGGAGGAAGCTCAGGTGTGAATCAAAATGACACGGTCCATGACTCATTAGAGATATAAAAATGATTTATGGAGGCATTTTTTTTAAACTTGTGGAGTTGAACGGCATGTTTTGCAATAATAATACTAATATAGTACCTTCTGAATTTGGCATCTTCAATGCTTATCTGTCCCAGCCTGTTCTAAAGTTGGATACTAAAACAAGTGCACATTTCTCAACATGATTGTGCATTGCACCTTAAAATGTGTAACTTTTGAAATAACTTATTCATAGCATTATACTTGTGTTTAGTAGAAATCAGATGTACAATAAACATAAAATGTGTGTTAAAATGACAGGCTTTGAATAATTGTGGTTACTTTTGCCTGTTGAGTACAGGAGTGCAGAGACACTGCCCAGGCACAAGTGTCCTTGCTCTCTCAGTTGAGAGAATCTGAAGCTGAGAATAAAGAAGCTCTGGAGTGTGTGGAGGACCAGTGGAGTACCGCAGTTCAGGATGCAGCTGCCGTCATCCAGAGTAAAGAGGCCCAACTGCAGCTGGTCAGAGATTACTGCGCACAGTGTGAAGCAGCCAAGACCACCCTGGAGAGACTGACAGCAGAACTGGAAGCTGTCAGGATGTGAGTTTCATCTATGGTTTCCATTTCATTTATTTATTTTTATCATTTATCAGAACCTGAAATTATTTTTGCAAACAGATTTGTATTGCTCGAGAATATATCGTTTAAAACGTACACATTATATACAACTGTCATTGAATTAGTGTTCCAGTGTTTAGTATTTTTTTAGGATCCTCATTAGCTTTATCAAAATGATTCATCTAGTCTATTCTTCCTTACATCCACTTTAGAAGAAAACAAACCAAACCATTCTAAAACCAATTCACAAAAACAAGATAAGACAATATTACATTTTAAAACAGGGTGGCACAAAGCCAAAGGGGGCAAACTGGAATGTTTTTTAAAGCTTTTTCTTAATTAACATTTCATGTTATTTAAATGTTCTATCTTAAATCTCAAATTATCCTTTGTAGCTTATATTTGTAATGTTGTAAATGCCAGGCCCATGATTCCAAGACTCCTTTTGTTGTTCCAGGTCCCCAGAGGAGAGCATCCCAAAGGAAACGGAGCGACTACTCTCCTTACAGAGAAGCATGGAGGAGAACAGAACAGTACTTGGGGAGTTGCTTTTGACCCATACCAAGTTGTGCCCCCACCTCAGCTGGTCTGAGCGAGCAACCGCACAGACCGTGCAGAAGAGCCTGCAAGAGAAGTGGAGGGGCCTGGAAAGAGCTGTGGAGAGAAACCTGTATCACACAAAGGTCCGTTTTCAAGACACCAGCAGCCTTCTGTCTGCGATATCAGGTCTTAAGAAACATTTGGAGACAATCGACAAAGACCTTGAAGCCAAGTCTCCTACGGTTACTCAGTGGAACTGCAAGAAGGCAAAGCAGCTGATGGTGGCAAATGCAGAGGTTAAAGCTGCTCAGAAAACACACCTTCATCTGCAGCAGCTGTCAGATGTGCTACTCCCCAGCACACCGAGTGAGAAGGAAACAACAGAAATAAAGCAGGGGCTTCAGAGAGTCAAAGACCAAATTCGCCAAACAGAGGAACTCATTTCATCTCAAACTCAGAACAGCAGCAACCCCATCATGGAGAAAATACTCATGGTGATGAGGGATGGCCTTTCCTGGGCGAAGCAGACAGAGAGTGACATTGAAGGCAGGAGGAAGAGGGTGGCTCTCCTCCCTGAGAATGTACACCGTCAGCTCAGAGATCACAAGAAGATGCAGTCCGAGGTCATAACCAAACAGGGCCAACTGGAGCTGCTGGTGGAGGAGGTGGAGGAGCTCCTTCCACAGCTGGACCAGGCTGAGGAGGTGCCGATGGTGCGCTCATCTCTGGACTCCCTTCACAAACTATCAGAGTCGACTACTGTGAAGCTAGCCAAGGCTGTGAGAGAGATAGAGTCGGGACTGCAGACCAGAGAGAAGCTTTCGGAGCAGATTGCTGATCTAGAGTCCTGGGTTTTGGCTCATCTCCATAAAGAAGCCTCCAGGAGTCCGGACAGCGAGCTCAAGAGCCCGACTGACACTGAGCGCAGAGTCCGTCAGATCCAAGAGACTCTGGCTGAGGCTGAGAAGCACGCCGCTGTCTGTGAAGCTCTTCTAATGAAGAGTAAAGACATTTCCCCTGAGCTCAGCATCAGCGAGAACTGTCAGCTTTATGACAAGCTTACCAACCTCCAGGAGGACATCAGAGCCATCAGCAGCTATGAGAAAGCCACCAAAAAGGAGCTTGACGATTTTACCCAGAATTTAGATTCCAGCAAGAAAAACGTTGTCAAAATTGAAACAAGCCTGAGGCAGATGTTAGTAGATCTGAGTAGACACAGGTTCCCCATCACAAGCGAGTCCCTGCAAGCCTTTGAGCGTTTCAAACACATGATTTTGGAGCACAAGTCCCAGGCTGACATTCTGCAACCCTTGATTCCCCAGGAAACGTCAAAGGAACTGTACTCGGTCATTTCTGAACTCCTCCGCAAAATGGCCACCCTGGAAATGAAAGCCAAAGGTCACGAAACGTACCTGAACCAGAGGCAGTGTGTGGAGGACCTCAGGGAGAGTGTTCAGGAGCAAGTCAGTCACACCAAAGACGACAGCACGGCGCTGGAGGACAAGTACAAAGTCTGTCAGACCCTCCTCATCCAGCTTCCTCTAATCAGGTACATGTCTGAGGAGGCTGGATCCAAACTCGAGATGATCTCCGCTGACATCTACCCCTCACAGCTGAGCACAGAGCGGCATAGACTGAAAAAAAACGAGGAGAGCCTTGACACCTTGGAATTGACGCTCTACAACAACCTCAGCATCATCGAGTTGAACCTGCTGAAGGAGCTGGACTTGGGCTCAGAGAAGGTGGCCACTCAGGCCTTCCTCTTGAAGACCCAGCAGGAGCTCCAGACAATCCCCTCATTGGAGCCAAATGAAACAGTAATTAACAACGAATACCAAAGAGTCATGTCTTTAAAAAATACTGTACAGTCAAGAATGAGAGCACTGGAGCTTCTCGAGCAGAAGAAAGGAAACAGACAAGGGAGCAGATTCCAAGATGTGATGGACTTGAAGAAATCGGTCTTCAGCGAATGCGACCATCAAATGGCAAGTTCTTGTTTTGATTATATCTTTCTTTGGTAAATGAGAATCCAAGCCACACCATCCAAAGCTAAAGTCGTGTGCAACAAAACTGGGACCAATTATAATGGACAATAAAAAATAAGGTCAAAAACATCTCAAATAAATGACTGGAATGATATATAGGATTAGTTTGAGTAATACAAAAATTGTGTTTATTGTATTTTAGGCGAATATCACCCAGGCCAAAAAGTCCCTGAGCCGCTACACCTGTGCTGTAACACAGGCGGCTCAGTTCCTGCGGGACATCGAGGTGTCTCTGCTGCCCCCGCAGGGCTCTGCTGGTCTCTGCTCCGACAGGCTGCCGGAGACCCAGCAGGCTCTGGCCTCGCTGCAGCAGCAGTTCCAGACCCATGTGGAGCAGCTCCAGAAACAAGACGCCCTGCATCCTTACCTGTGCCCCCAGAAGGTGGAGCAGCTCCAGGAGAACATTCCTGAGTCAGCTCCTGGTGAGGATGTCCACTCTCCAGGCAAAGGGACACATCCGACTGGAGTACCTCAGCAGGTAATATGCTATCAGATGAAAGTCTACATTCTCAACTTCACAGCCTTATTTGCACTTGAGAAGAAGCATTATCTTCTTCTATCTTCTTATTAGACCTTAACAGATCACAAATGATCTCTTTCAGTTGTGCAGAACATTACAGAAAATACACCAAGAGCCAAGATGAAATCCTCCAGAGTGTGAAGAGCGCAGAGAGCACCCTCTCACAGTTCATCTGTCATAAAGTCACCTGTCTCGCTGACTGCACTGACCAGCAGACCAAGCTTGGAGTACGTATGAGCATTATTCTATTTGAGTTTCCGTGCTCCAGGGACCCATATCATTCACCATTGTGTTCATCTCTATCATATAAATCATATTTTCACATTTTGAATGACTCTCTGTTGCAGGTTCTGTCTGAGGAGGTGGAGTCCCTGCAGAGGCGTCTGGGGGAGCTGAACGAGTGGTGCCCAGAGCGGAGCTGTCGGGGGGGCAGGGAGTCCACTGTGGCTTCTGTGTGGAAACGCGTATCGAGACTACGCCGCTGCATACACGAGCTGACGACACGCAGCAAACAGAGGATCGCAGAATGGAGAGAAATCACCAACAGTGTGAGTTACAGATTACAGAAAGAATATTTGTGGTGTAAAATATATAATCTGAACGAATGCTTCACCTCCTCCAGTCTTATCCAAGTGTCATACTTTCTATTTATTTTTTGCCCATATTACTATGAAGTATAATTTAAGTCTGTGTCACCCTCCTCAGGTGGAGAAGACCTCCTCTCTCCTGGAGCAGGTGGAGGGGGAACATCCTGATGTGTCCCGGATGAAGGCCTCCACCGAGGACCTTCAGGACCTACTGCAGTCCTGGGAGCAGTACCAGGACAGCCTGGACTGTGAACATCGAGCGCTGTCCGCTCTGGAGCTGCGCACCGCCAGGCTGCTGGGGGTCCCAGCCGACCTGGAGCAGGCCCCACCCACTCCGCTCTGTCAGCAGCTGCAGGCCATGCAGGGTCGATACAGCAGGTAGGACGGTGTTTCAGCTTCACTTTATAACTTTATTGACGTTTTTGTGGTTAAAGACTTTCGGTAAAGATCTAATGTCCATTTTAAAATAATTTCACTGGTCACCTTACATTTATATAAAAGATAGTGGCAGATAATGTTCATACTTTTAAAGGCCACCTCAAGACCCAGCTTTTTGATTTGGCTTTAAAATGAATTGTATTACATTTTGTAATTGTAAGTATCGCTCTGTCTCTGAATTGGGAGGGTACAAATGATTTTTGTAAATCATCCTGGGTCACCTGCCTTTTTAAATGTATTTTAAAACAACCCAACAGTCACTCTGTATATGCTGATTCTTTAGCTACAGTTTTCCCCTTAGTTTTCGTTTTTAAATAAAACCAATTCATTGTGATTTTAATTCCATGGCATAACAAAAACTCAATTACCCAGAAGCTATCAGGGGAAAGTGGTTCGGACATGGACTGCGGGGTCCTCTGAGCATGGGCAGTATTTGAATATGTTTACACTGACAGTCCTTTAACTGCCATGAGGCTTTGTGCTTTGAATTTAACGGTTGATGTATTCTCAATGCAAACTCTCACTATCATGGATTCAAGGTAAGAGGCTATAAAGTTGGTTAATGGTTGTTTAAATTGCTGGACATTTGTGTTTGTGTGTTTCCATAGTATGAAGCAGAAGAGCAGGGAGGGTCTGAAGGCAGCCAGGACGGAGCTGGAGGAGAGAGAGAAGCTTCGGGAGGATATGCAGGGCGTCCAGGTTTGGCTAGAGGCTGCAGACTGTCTTCTGTCAGAGATGCAGCAGAGCAGGAGCACACAGGAGCTTCAGGTGGGACACTCTTCTGAGATGCTTTAACTTCCATTTCCTATTTGTATGCATACGATCAATACAACTCAAATCTGCCAACAACAATGATCTAATCTCAGTGATTTTACTGCTTTGTGCAAACATGGTTAATCATTCATTTAATTTCATTGGCCGTATTTAAAGCAGTTTCCCATTTGCGTAGACAGGGAGCTAACTGTCTTTTTGTATGTATGTCTGTCCTAAGAGTTTATTGACAGCTGTTATTGCATTTGGCTTCACACTTGGCGGGTGTTTTGCTCAGGGCTGAAGGTGCAGATTAAGAGTGAAATTGAGTTGAGAGCGATCCCGAACAGGCACTGCACCAGTCTTAGAAAATAAAACTGGATTGGCATTTTGATGTTAGCATTTCTCAATAATCAAGCGTCCCTGCAGGACCCTCTGAAGAACCTGCGGGTGTCGCCGGATCCCACGAAGGTGTAAACAAGGCATTACACTGCCCAGAGTTCAAGTGTTCCTCCCTCCAGCCAATGGTGTGTAAATAATGAGACTAATGAGAGAGGACAGTTTTTCAAAGTGAAAATATAATGATGCATTTGTACTCACTCACTCAAACCACTTTTAGAGCTTATTTCTATTTTTATAAATTACACATGAAATCAATTTCTCTTCACACTCAGCAAGTAATCTCCTACTATACTCTGAAAATGACGTAGATATTTTCATACAGTGGGTAGTCTAAGTGTCAATACAAAGGTTGTGTTTAGAAATGTCATCTGGTAACTAGCTTACAAAAGGTGAATGACACGTTTTGCATACGCTCTCTATATTTGCATAGAATTAAAGAAACTGGAGAAAAATGATGGGGAAAAAATCATTAATATATATATATATTCACAAGGCCTGTCTTATATGCAGATCTTAAGCTTTTAGTAGTTACAGGGGGTCCGCGGGGTCTTAAAAAGTATTAAAAGTTGATAAATCAGCCTTAATTTTTGCTAAATGAAGGCTATTAAAAAGTATTAAACGGCATTTTCCAAGGTATTACATTTTGTAGCTTGTTTTCAATAAGTATATAACAGGTCCAAAGAGGTTGTATTCTACAGTGTGCCTGAATGTAATCATTGCGTAGGTGTGTAGTGTATTGATGGCATCCCGTTGGATTTGACGTCATTTGAACAGGACATCACACGCTCACTGCTTGATAGCGCGCGAAGGTCCGTTTACGCCGGTTGTTAAACAACATCGTTATGGGGAAATGCAAGTTTGCGTCCAAATGGTTGGAAGATAAGGAGGAAGGACAATCAATACTGTATATAGTATATAGTGTATATAGTACTGGTTAAAACTTGAAGTGGCGATGAGGTCTTAAAATGTATGGAAAGGGTCTTAAAAAAGGTCTTAAAAGGTATTACATTTAACTTCAGGATTCCTGCATATACCCTGAGTGATGAATAAATGCAGAGAGAAAGAGGCTGTTGACTGTGTGAAAGTGTCCAGTAAATATGAAACGTCTGAATCTAACCGTTGGCTTGGCCTCCAGCCCGCTGCGAACCCAGCGACCCAGAATCACTCTGCCCTTTGTCTCGAAACCTGAGCAGAGGCCAACGTCTCCCTATCCACTCCAGCTCTCTCTCAACACACACACACACACACACACACACACACACACACACACACACACACACACACACACACACACACACACACACACACACACACACACACCACACAAACCTCTCCTCCATAGCTCCCACTACCCTCACCCCTCCTCTTGTACTAGACACCTTTTGTTCAGTGTAAGTGGATCTTTCAGGTGGCCTCTGTAAGTCATTCCATGCACAAACACACACAACTTTACTTGTGAGAGAAAGCATGAACATAATGCAATCTCTATGCCCTAACCTCAGTGTAAAGTAATTGTAACAAAGTCCTAACCCTTTAAAATCGATCTTTCAGTGTAGACCGGTCCTCCTAACTTCACCATTTCATAAAAGAAAAACGCAAATTGGTCCTCACAAAGATAGACATACAAGACCAAACACACACACTTTGCCCTCACCATGTCCTACTCTCCCATGCAAAAACAAACGTCTCCCGAAACCCTCTCTTCCTCCCATCCTTTGTATCACTCACACACACACACACACACACACACACACACACACACACACACACACACACACACACACACACACACACACACACACACACACACACACTCAGTTTCTCATAGTGATAACAAAATCACCTCTTCAGCAGAGCATCGGACATATTCAGACCCAGGTAGTCTCATCTTCATTACCTCGCACATTTTAAGCGTTTTTCTTATTTAATGTAAGCTGTTATTGTAAATTAGAATCTCTCTGAGGTGACAATAGTTCACTTTTGCAATTGTGGATTTGAATCACTTTGAAGGGGTAGTCTCTGTTGGATGAAAGCAAGACAGGCGAGAGCGCTGACTGCTAAACAAAGCACTGAACGTTTATTAGTGGCACTTTAGATTTAATCATTCTCCCTCTCTTATTAGATTTTCTTCATCCTATTCATTTACACAATCCTTCTCTCTGTCTGCAGGACGTCCACAGTCAGCTGTGTAACCACAAGGCTCTGCTGCAGCGCATCATGGAGAGCCTGAAGATGAAATACTCCGACTCCCTGGTCCCGGTGGAGATCGAGAGCCAGCTGCAGGAGGTCACACAGTCGCTGCAGCAAGTAGAAGTGAAGGTACACAAGACTTCAATTTTTACATATAAATATGTAATTGACTCATAACAGACATTTGAAAGAAATGACAGAAAACTAAGTATGGAAAATTAGAGTAGTTACATTTACAGGGCACTTCAGGGAATATTTTATTTAATAATAACTGTTTAATAATACAGGAAGAGTGTGTTATAGGTTTTATACTTTAGAATTTCTGCCAAATGTACTAAGTTTGAATATTTTTGGATTACAATAGTATATGTCTTAGAAATGACCTTGGAATGAAAAATAATTATAAAGACTTCAGAAAAGAAAACTTCTGTTACTGTCATTGTTAATGTTTGTACTTGATTCCTCCGTCAGGTGGGAGAGGCGGTGGAGAGGAGCGGTCCTGTCCACAGGCTGGGGGCGAAGCTGTCTGAGATCCAGGCTGGCCTGATGTCCGTTCAGAAGAGACTTGAACAGAAAAGCCCAAATGTGACCATAGCTAAATTCACTCAGAAGGTGAGCACTGACATAATAATAATAATACATTTTATTTATATAGCACACTTTAAAAACAACGTCATCTCAAGGTGATTCACAATGCTATGACATGAAGCTGTCCTGGCTGGATTATTGGCACTCTGCAAACTATGCTATTACAGATGCTACAAAAAACTACTAAAGTTGTGTACAAATCATTCCTTTCAGATAAGCTCCTCATCTTGCCATTAATCTTGTAACTGGATATCAAACCTTTCTCTGCAAAGCATCTGTTACAACATACATGACCTAGAGGAAAGTTATTTCAGAGTCATTTGGAAGGCCATGCAAAGAGTTTACTCATTCCTGTTTATTGAATGAAGCCATTAAGAATTCTGTTTTTCTCTAGTGTGCATGGGGCTTAGTGAAGAATTTTAAATAAGGAACATCGATTTCAGCACTAATTTGTATTAACATATACTCAAATTCTTACCGATACCAATGCAGTTTGTTTTGGTTTATGATTTACCACCTTGAATAATTGTATAGGTTTGCTGGTTGTTATGGGACAACATTAAAGCTTAACACAAATCTAAGAAAATAAACGCTGTTAAAAATCTTGTCAAGGCGATCATGTTCATGTTCATTGTTCTTTCAAAGTTATATCTCATGTGTTACGATATAATCATAAATAAATCCTCTGTATGATTGTGTGTCTGCTCAGCGTGTGTGGGACGAGCTGGACGTGTGGCACTCGTGTCTGGCGGCGCTGGAGGTGGACATGCAGGACCTGGAGAACCATGAGGAGGCGCTGATGCTCACTGAGAGACTGGTGGAGGTCCAGCAGCTCCACTCCCAGCTGGCCAAACAGGCGGAGCAGAGGACCACCCTCATCAGCAAGGTCAGAAAGACTTCAAAACCCTTCAGTCCTCTTTTTCACTTCTCAAACTGCCAGCGTTATTCCCCGAGACATAATCACAAGCTGCTGAGTCTCCTCATTTGTTTAGTGGCAACAACTGTGCACGTGAAAACGAAATGCTGAACTGTGTACTTAATTCATGTTTATATTGGCAATAATCTGATGTTATGTTATCTCTCATATTTGCCTCAACACTCTTTAGCAGACAGTTCAACAGTATCATTAGCACACACTCATTACAAGCCTTGTAACTTAGCAAGTTCCATGCAGTTAATCATTTTGTCTTTTAATTTAATCTGTTTTCACACAGTTGGTGTCATTTTCTTGATTAAACTAAGTATTGTCTATGTTTCTGCTCAGATCCCAACGTGGCTTCAGGAGCATCAGGAGATGATCAGCAGCTCTAAAAGCTGGATGGCTGAGGCCAAGTCGTGGCTCGCTACACCCTGCACCTACACCACGGCTAAATGTCTGAGCAGCCATGTTCACACTCTGCAGGTGGGGGCACTTATCTGGGGTCTGAATTATCAACACTGCCGTTTCTTCACCTAAAAACTGTCCTTCAAAGACACATTTACCAACCAATAAGAGACTGCAAACCACAAATCAACAAAACAATGACTATAGAATAACAAGCTACAAAGGGATGCAAAATAGCCCAAAAGAGAAACAAAGACTATGAAGAGGGAACCTTTTTTAAGTGAGACTAAAAATTACTACAAAGAGACACAAAGTACGCAAAACAAAACAACTACAAAAAGAGGTAAGTCATCTCAAAAGGGGTCAAACAACCACAGGTAATTATTCTAAAACAATGAGAAAGTGACACAAAACGACTACAAAATGAACAAATGCAGGCATTGAACAACACAAAGAGAAAGAAAAAATGGAAGTCTGTGTGTTTGCATTTCTGTGCCAAAGGGCTCATTGTCTCGTAATCCCCTTATGATTGCATTATGCAGAAGAACATCATCAAAATGTAAATGTAGGGAAAATGTGTTTTTAAAAATGTGCATTGGTTGAAAAAACAACAACATGTACATTTTGTCTTTCTTGTGTTTCAGATGGTGTTGGATGACTCGGCACAGATCCGGAAGACTCTGCAGGGCTTCAGCTCCGTCCTGCAGGAGATGTCTCATGTTTGCGACGTCATGACTCTACAGGAAAAGCTACTGGAAGCCGATCAACAAGTGGCCCACGTTCAGGACAGCTTCTCTGCTCCTCTGTCCCACCTGGGCCACGCTGCTGACGTGAGACTTCATTTTTACTTTCATCCTTTGACTTGGCAGATGTTAAAGTATCTCTTTACCGGGAGATTTGTGTGTCTCACCCTTCTACTCTATGTTCACGCCTTATTTCTAAATGGTCAAACATATTGATTCATCTCTTGCTGTCTAGGAGGTGGAAGCCGTTGAGACTGAAGTCAGGTGTATGGAGAATGATGTGGCTGAGATCAAGATCTTATTGTCTTCTCCGGAGACTTTCCCCAGCCCCAAAGAAGAAAGCTTCAAGGTGAGACGTGCAGAAGAAAACTCTTTGTGGCGAACAACAAGACTGACATTTTGTGGTTGTTTGAATAAGCTAATACTAAAAGTGAAACAGATCTAGTGATAAGACCATGCTTGTATTGCTCAAACATTAGTGGTGGCTGTTTTCTGACGTCATCAACTTTATCAGCCAGAAATACCAAATAATCTGTTTTTTTAAACTCTTCTTATGTGTCCAGAGCGTTGAGCAGAAGATCCAGTCCATGAGGAGGACCATTACTGAGATCCAGAAGTGTAAATCAGACCTGTGTCTTCCAGAGAAGGCTGAAGAGACTCTGACTGTCTTTTCTATAGTGGAGCAGCTGCAGGCTCTGCTGCTGGAGCTGGAGAAGGTCAGTCAGTCAGTCAATCAGTCAGTCAGATACTTATGGCGCATTTCCACTGCTGGGCCTCGCACGGCTTAGTACGGTATAGTTAGGCCTTGGTAGGCCAGGCTCACTTTATGCTGCGTTTCCATTACAGTTTAGTAGCTGGGGTAGTAACTATAGTAACGCAGTGAAGGCGGAGCCGTGACGTCATCTTCAATGCGAAACACAAAACCAAACATTAGCTGTTAGCATTCAGAGCTCACAGCTCCTCATATCTGTTCAGAAACTAGACAAAAGTTAAACAAGTACAAACCACAGACTGTCTGTGTCATGGCGAATACAGTCGCTGGTTTATTTATGTCTGTATAGGCCGTTGTTGTGAGTGTGGACGGTCAGAGCATATACTGCGTTAGCTTAGCCAAGCTCCATTCAGAAAACACGCATTTTAAAAGGGTTTTTTGCCTGCCGTCTGTCTGCAGACTTGTCAAAGCATTAATTCATGGTTTTTACTAACCGGTATCAGTATGTTGTTACTTCGGCATCATTTTGAAACGTGTATTACAATTAAATCACGGTCAAATATGTTCGTTGTAGTTGTAGCCACTCACGTCACTAGTTTAGCATATTCAGCCCGGTTGTTGGCCCGGGAAGAACCACGATTTTGGAGGGCCAGAAAAACTGTGAAAAGGTACCCGTTAGCCGGAACTACCCCTAGTGGAAACGCAACAAAAACGGGCCGGGTTTGGCAAGGCACGCTTAAACCGTGCTACGTGCTGCAGTGGAAATGCGCCATTAAAGTACTTGAAGTGGCCTTCACTGAACCTCCTGCTTTTCTCCCTCTGTAGAAGATCCCTGCTCTGTTCATCCAGCAGCCTACGACTCCGGTCCAAACCAGTGCTCCGCCTCTTCAGCAGACCGCCTCTGGCCCTCAACTCTTTAAATCCACTTCAGAGGACGCTGAGGTGGGTTTGGTTCACCGACAAATAAATAGAGAGCGTTCCTCTACTTATGGAAGATGAGGACGGCATTGATGATGAAACCTTGCATTGTTACAAGCACACGCCTCTCAATGGTTGCACCGACAAGAAATATAGTAACCCGGTTATTATTTACTGGAAAGAGACGTTGCTGTTAGTTTTCAAAATATGTTTTCAAAAATAGGTGCCATCTAGTTCCATTATAATGGAGAGAAGGGCAGACATCTCTACAGACGCACCTACACACTGCTTTCCCACCAAAACAATCCAAATTGATAAATACCACCAAAGGGTTAATATCTATTTTTATTTATTTTTTAGTTAACTCTTCCTTTAATGATTCTAGCGTTTCAGAAAAAAAAGATCCCGGGTTCTTACGGTCATTAAAAACCTGGAAAAGTCATGGAAATTCAAAAAGCTAATTCCAGGCCCTGGAAAAGTTATGGAAAACAATATTTTTCCCAAAGTTTTGGAAAAGTCATGGAAATGTAACTAAAGTTGGATAAAATATAATTTATATTTTATCTTATCACCAAAATAGTAATACTATAATGATAACAAATACTGCATCGTATAGTAATGAAACGTAAAGTGGCATTTAACTGACAAGGTATTTTGCTGGTGAGAGATTTGAGTTGCTTTAGCGTGTAGAAGCTAGTAAGCCTATTGGATTTGTTTTAGATAGGCACAACATGTTTCATATGCAGACCTTTTTTCCTGTTCCATGTTAAAATAAACCATTTTCAGTGGTACCGCTGAGAAAGAGTAATGTTTTTGGTCATGGAAAATTACAGTAGGTAAAGGTCATGGAAAAGTCATTGGTGAAAAAGTGTATGAACCCTGAAGATCAGTTTAAGTTTTTTTTTTTTTTACTTCATTAGCCTTTAAGTTAATACTCTTAAACAAAGTGTTTTCCATGATGGCTAGAGTATTTAAAGTGCATTGGTTAAGTGACCTAAAATCCTATTGTGGAGTCTTAAAGGCATCATGTGTAGAAAGAAGATACAACCAATGTAACAAAAAACTGTCATTTTGCGTCTCTCAGAAGGAAGGCGTGGAGGGCCACATCAGAATTGTCCGTGTGAAAGAGAATGTGCTGAAGCAGTCCGGAGTGTCGCTGCAGACTATGGAGCATTCCTCCGCTGAGCAGAGACAATCCCCTGACAGAACTCAGGTAGGAACGCAGGGAGACATCCTCCTGGTTCATTTTGATTGCCTTGAGTGTGAAGCACTTTGTGACATTCAGCTCTCGAGAAGTGCTGAGTAATACTAATGTACTTACTTTGAACACTAAAAGACATAACTGATCCTTGAGCACTGTATTTCTAATTCTGTCTGGAGTGCGACTAAAGCGATTTTGTTCTCACTGTTCTGTAATTGACATGAAATAAACATCACTGAATAATAAATCATGGGTTATGAATATCAAAAACTTACCACCTGACTCTTTGACGGTAGAACAAAGTTTAGAATGGTTTGTACTAACATGCCTGCTTACCCATTCCTCCATGTGTTTTTAACCAAAATGATTTAACAAATGTGTTTTTCCCTGCATGCTTAATACTACTATTTTCTTCTATTTCAAATTATTATGCGAAAATGCGTTGAGTCCTAAATATTGTTAAAAGTGCAATCAGTGGGACATTGAGCTGAAGTTTTTGGTTTGACTGCATTTGTGAGCAGGGGGAGATTCTAGTGGAGATCCTGAAGTAAAAAAATAAGTGAGGCTGAATCAAGAGGAACATTATCCCAAAGATGTGTGCACGATATTTAGAATATTGAATATGATATTATATTAAATAATAACACTCTTGGGGAGAGTGGACTAGCGGACTCCTGTGTCTGAGAAGACTTTTGCACAATGGTTCACGTTTGCCTTCAGATTAGCTTGTCTCCCCTAAAGTTACACTGGAGCTGGTTTTAGTGCAATGGTTAAAAAACAACATTAGCAGCAACAGGTGCCAGCTCAGTGTCCCAGATGCACTTCTTACCCCCCCTCCCCCGTGTGACTGCACATGAGCGTGTTTCCGTGTCAGCAGAGGGAGCATCAAGACGTGCTCCAGGCTGAAGAAGCCAGAGAGTCAAAAGAAAGTGAGGAGCAGAGAGTTGCAGAAGGTGGAGGAGGGGTTTTATGGTGGCTCTGGGATGCTTTCCTGGGTGCTCCGCCAGAGGTAAAAAGATCTCGATCTGCAGTGGAAAATCAATCATCCATTTTCTTTCTCTCTCCTATCTCTGTCCTGCAGTCATCTCTTTTAACCCCCTCCCAGAGTTCCTTGTGATTTAAGCTACTTATAATGTCACGTTTTTTAGACCAAATTATAGGTGGATATCTAAAACTAAGTAATTATTTTAAATTAGTAACACACCTGAGGTCAAATGACCAATGGCATATTAAAGCATTTCTAACTAAATTACCTTTTTTGACCCCGGTCACTGTGTTCTCAACGTTACCACTGGCAATGAGTTCCCTCCCCTTCCTCTACTACCATCTCCTTGCTCTTCATATCAGCTGCTTCCACAAACCCTCTCCTGACCCTTAACACAGCTCTACAATCAGTGCATTTTCCATTCTACTCAAACCTCCCTGCATATGTGTTTCTGGATTTTGTTCTGCCTCTAGAGAGCAGTATTGAACAGTGTTTGTAGTGTGTGTGTCGGCACTGTAGATGAGTAAATTGCCAATAAAATGTCACAAACATTGTTCTCTCTTTCAGCCATTTCATATTTTGGTTTGGTTGTTTGTATAGATTTTGTTAAACCTGTATCATTGTTGGTATTAGGCACAAGAGACTGAAGGGGCCACTGGACAAAGCACTGAACCGACTAAAGAAGATAGACAGGTAAATACACTCTCAATACTGTCAAACATCCTCATTGGCTCCTATTGGATTGGACTTTAAATAGGGTACGTCTGGTGCTATGTTATATGTTCATACTGGCAACACATCTAATCAAAAGATCTAAAACAACAATGAATTGATCCTGATAGCAAGTCTAGCCCTTGTCTCCAAAGTCTGGTATACCTTGGTTTCTATATAAGCTAATGCATTTGTATTGTCAGAAATGAGTGAGGGAACAAGCAGTGTCAAAGACAGGATAGAAAACAACAAGTGTTTGTTTGTACAATAACAAATATAAAGAAAATCACCAGCTTTATATTTTAATGAATCTCAATTATGGGTTTTTGGTAGTGTAAAGTAAATGTACATTTTACATTTGTATAATTGGTGCCAACTTTAATATGTTGTTGACATATTCAGGAGGAGCCATTGAATGTGTTTCACCATCAACAGTTATACAAGATAACATAACAAATATTTGTAAATAACATTATTTGATCTAATTCTGTAACAGAGTGTACCAGTAACTGTGTGAATCCTTCTCTCCCGTTAACTAAATGATCCTTGTATTTAACTGACTGACCTGAGTGATCTTCTAACCCTGCTCATGTTTCTTCAGGATGTTGAGGGCCCCACTGACTCCACAGAAGCAAGTTCCTCTGAAGCTTTATCAAAACCCCTGGGCACAGTCAGAACTCAGACACTGCCTGAGAGCATGGTAAACACATCCTCCACCGTAGAAGTCTCCAAATCCTCCTCTGGCTCCCAGCAGAAATGTGTAGTCTCCTAGATCTAGAACTTGTATCGCTAGAACTTCTCACTTCTTCTTGTATCAAGCATTGAACTTCTCACTTCTTCTTGTATCAAGCATTGAACTTCTCACTTCTTCTTGTATCAAGCATTGAACTTGAAGACCCGTCTCTAGAGGAAAGCTTAGATTCCTCTGCTTCTTCTAGAATCAGCCTGGAATCATAGATGTCCCTACTTTTTCTAGGTCCAACCTTTGAACCCATCCAGAATCAAGTTTATATTTTGAATGTTCTTCCAGAATCTTAATACTTAATTAATGGACAGAACAAATCTTTAAATCCCTCTCTTTGACTACCTATTGTATATAGTTCTTCTAGATCTAACCAAAGAACTCCCCCGTCTAGACTCAAGCCTTATCTAGAATCTTCTAAAACAAGTTCTGGATCTCCTAAAGTACTTCTTAGATCTTCTAAGGACTCCCTTATTCTTCTCGACCAACATCAACGTGCCCTTCTTCTACACTCAACTCTAATGATATTGTCTTATAGAGCTTTCTAGAATCAATGCTTTTCCACAAATAAACGTTCACACTTTGCACGTCTTCTAGAATCAAACCTAGAACTCCCACTTCTTAGTTTCCTCTAGAATTGTTCTTGAACCTTGAATGTGATTTGGACTTTTCCTTGAACCGTTTCCTCTACACCCAAACTCTTTCTAGAACTAAACCTAGAACCCCCATTTTCCTAGAAACAAGAGAACCTGGTAGCTCCTAGCTGACGCCTTCAGGTTTTAATCAAAATGTCTGAACCCTCAGTGCATTTACATGGCAGATAATTTAAACGGTTCACAGCTGTGGACATTTTGTTTACATGGGGGAATTTGAATCAGTGTTTCCTACTGTAGCGTGAAAAATAATTAATAAGTAATGAAATCAAATCTGATACGTGCCAAATATCTACTTTTCCCAAAATGACCTCTCTTTAAAGGAGTTGTGGGCTTGCTTGTGTACATTAATATGACTCAGCAGATTATATTGCAACTATGTGAGAAGTGAATGATAGTGTGACAGTTATTTTATTTAGCATGTGGGTGGATGGTTTTTGGTCTCTAATAAGCTTTTGCATGGACCTTCCCTTTGGGTTAATATGTTTTTATAAAAGCCAGAAACAAAGTGTACTATTAGACATGTTTTGTGAACCATGTTTTATAATGTATTTTATAAAGTATCTTATTTACCAGCAAATGCAGAGTGAATCTGTTAAAAATAAAGTTGCTTGCTTACATGCATCTGCTATTTGAATTTTCATATGCTGAACGTGATAATACATTGTTGTTTACCCATTTGATTGATTACCTGAGTAGTTATGACTTCAATGAATTGCTCAGTCACTGCCTGGCAGCAGGAGAGTGTGCAGAAAGATTCCCGCTTTGTTATGAATCAGCATATTTACTTTCACTATCGACAATGCCGGTTTTGTACATAAAAAAGTGACCTTTTCTAAGATGACGGTTGGCCATGAAAATGCACTGGTTTGACATGATTCCTGATTAACACGCTACTGCTGGCAGGTGAAAACCATGAAACTCCAAATTGTAATCAAATAATGTACTCAACTCGTACTAAAATACTTCCTCCTATGCACATTTTTTAAAGGCTTATCAATATTTTCACAAGAGCAATAATGACTCAACAGAAGCCTACATTTTTGGAGGTACAAGGTTTTCCCCTGAAAGCACAATTACTGAGATGTCTTACATTACATGGCATGTCCTGTACTTTGTTCCACTTTTGCTATTTCCATTCTGTCTACATATCCAAACGAGCAGAAATATAAATAAACCCACAACAGTGATCCACTCAGCCGTCTCTCTTTCTCTGTGTCAGGAGCTCATGAAGGGACAGAGGGGGCTTGCATGGAGGGGGGATGACCCAGAGGGGTGGAAGAAATACACACACACACATCTGTGAACTCAGTCACAACGGTCCACAAAACATGCACTACTGATTCATACATACATACTGCAAAACCAGGATGACACTCAGGGCCAGCGTCTTGCAGCGTATCAACATTTAAAAAATAAGGTCACACTCAAATTCCAGCATGACACACACAACAGCACCGTCCTCCTCCTAACCCTCTAACAGTGCAGGAGTGGATGCAGAGTTGGAACCTGGTTGCACATAAATAATTGACTGATTGACTGAGCTGACAAAAATGTTGTTTAAATACAAAATAAGAGCATGAACATGCACTTCCAAAGCACAAATTGTTAATTTGAATTCATAATTGGAGCAATTTGAAGGTACAAGTTAGTAAAAATGTCAATCAAGATGTTCTCCTGTAAGAAATGGAGACCTCTGTATATTCACATTACACTTCATCAAAGCTTGGTAAATGTTTTAGTCAAGTGATTAATAATGACATTCAAAGCAGGTTTGTTGACTCTTGGTGTTCACCGTCTGCCAAATCCTCACTAGTTCCTTGGCAACTGTATTTACAGAGTTAATGTGATGCATTGTGGGTTTGCACCATGCAAAATGCTCATAGTTCACTCGTCAAAAAGAAGCAGGGGTCATAGATGAAGTTGTCAAAGAACAACGGATCAGATGATTGACAGCTACAAAGTGCAGTCTGAAGAGGAAGTGTTTACTGCTTACTCAGCTCCTCCCCTGTAGCCTGTGGCCTCTCTTTCTCTCTCTGTGTGAATGTCTCGGTCATTCTCTCGTTCCGCCTGTGATAAACAGTCGCTGTCACTGAAGCCCGGCCACCGCTCCAGGAAGTGGTTTTGCCACAGGTGGGTGGAGCAGAGAGGGAAAGAAAGACGAGAAACCAAGCACCTGGGAAAGAGAGATAACCAGGCAGGGGAAACAGACTGGAAGTGGTTGTGTGAGAATGGGAATGACAGGTCACAAGGGTCAATATTAGAGCTACAACCTGTTCTGGTAGAATCAACATAGTGCTAGAGTTTGCTTAGGACTTCGTGCAGCTCTCACCCTCCTCTCCTCCCCCTCTCTACCTGTGACCCTGGAGCAGAGAGGTTCAGCCGTCCTCCATGTGTGCCTGGAGACGGTGGGCCAGCTGGAGCTGTGGCTGCAGGAAGCCCAGAGGAGCCTGGTAGCTGGGGGAGCTGCTGCCGGGGCAACCACCATGCAGGACAGCGTGGAGCAGCAACTCCTCACCTGCCAGGTAAGCCCCGCCCACCAGGAACTAGGTCACTACTACAGGACTTTTCAGGTCAAAAGATATCTGCAGTGAGTTAGAATCAGTCTGACAATAATATGAATATTTGAAGCTTAATTTTCATGTGGAAAGATGTATGACCTGCAGTTTACTAAATCAATGGTTCCTAGGCTCTAACAAATAAGAGGTAGAATAGAAGAATATAAAAAATAAACAACTTCTTGGTCAAAATCTTGATATTTGCTATAGGGCTCAAAATGAATCGGTGTCTACTTAAGAACCTTTGCAACCAAAGAGATTTTTATATATATGTGAAATATTCAGAGGAGTAAAGACATAGATTGTATAGTAATTTACTAAATTAAAATAACAAAATTGTAAATATATACAGTATGTGCTTGTCATGTAGAAATAGGAGAGGATCTTTCCCAAACTCGCACCATATCATTTTAAAAACACTATTAACTAACTAAAATATCACCGTATGACCAAAAGTACTCTGAATTATCTGTACATTCTTCTGGCCTTTTTATAATCTCAAATCTCTTGCAGTTGAGTCCAAAATGACGTTTTTCCTGCTGGATTTCATTAGTTTGCCTGTAATGTCATGCAAAACACCAACAATGAAAGATCACTTTTATTTTTGAAATGTCTTGAAACCAGAAACACATTCATTATTTTGATAATCTCTTCCCTCGGGATAAACCAGGCTGAATTTACAGAAACACTGATTCAGACTCAAGTTACGAAACTCAGAAGTAAAAACAACTAGCTTTTCATATCAGCACTTTAAGTCTGGGCTCATAATCCTGCGTCTGTTTGGCCTAAGAAGATATGCTATGATAAGTCACTGGTCGCGTCATGGGACACTACACACATTTCAAATTGCACAATGCCATTTCAAGAGCAAAATATGACGCATGAGTAATTTCCAAATCATTGCTGACTATTTCAGATCTTGCAAAATGTTATAAAAACTACGAGCTGATGATGTTTTAGCAGCTCAGAGGTTAAAATGTTAATCATGTATGATCCTGGAACACTTCTGGTTCTGTAGGTAAAGCTTAATGTTAGTTCATTTGTTTACCACATGTCATACACAAATGCCATTCAAAGTGCTTTACACACAGTTGAAAAATAAAAATGAGTCAAAGTAAAGTCAGTCATTTGAACTTCTGTGAGTGTAATATGTCTGGAAGCTTCCTCCAGCAGTCTGATGTAATAGATTTGACCCAAAGGTTAGTGGTCAGCGTATTTTATTATATTTTATTTGATAACATAATAAAGCAGACAGTATTGCTACTTGTAGTGTAATATTTTAATTTGGCTTGTGTGCTTCCTTATTGCTCAGAGGAGGAAATATTCACCCAACAATCTAAGCTTTCTTTCATGCCATGTTTGTGTCATTACATGTTTCAATACAGTTTGAACTTAATTAGGTTTCATCATTTTATTCAGAATTTTAGCAATTAATCAATACTTATTTCTATGCAAACTACTAATACTTACATTGCTTTAACTCTGCTGGTAAATGAAAGACATTCAAATGAGGACTGCTGGAGAAAGTGAAAGAACAGCCGTCTCACTAAACATTAACTCAAAGCGTCACATTCAAACATCAAACAAAAATGTACAGCGTAAATATGTACTGCGGCTGACTCACTGTTTGTACAGTCTTAGATATATGGAGCAGTAATGTGTTAGAGGGCAAAGAAAACAAATGACTTGTAAAGGGTTCACTTTACAAACACTTAATGCCGGCTGCTGGTATTTGCATTGAGGGCGCGGTTTGGCTGGATGTCAGAAATCAACCAATCAAGTGTTTTAGTTTCAAACTCTCCCTGACGACCAAACAAACACATGAAAACATGCTGCAGCAGACAGCAGCTGTTACAGCGCACTGTAGACTAATTACCTGTTTTTTATTGTCAATTTATATCGGATATTTACGGAAGAGGATTAGGGCCACATGTTACATTTGTATTGAGATCTGGCTTTATTCTCAGAATTCTGAGCACAGCCAGTAAACATATTTGTGATGTTCTGTGAAAAAAAAGGATGATTAAATGTACTACAAACTTGGTGAAAGACTTCAGTTCATTGTGGATATTTGAATCTTAAAGTTATATAATGGTTTGCAGTCTAGAGTCCCGCCCTCACAGGCTTCACTATTGTGTGTTCATTCAAAGCTTTGGCAGGTATTTTCCTCCCAGGAATGGATTCACTCCCTGCTGAGTGTAACTCGAGCCTCCATTAAAGATTCAGAGGTTGAACACGTCACATGTCACATTTGAATGAAGCATTGTGGGCCAACAAACAGCAACTAGTGAGATCATGTCTGCCATTCAAATTCACTAAAGAGCCTCGATCCCAGAGACTGACCCTGATCTAACTTAAACATTATGAACCTTTGTTCTGCATCATTACCTAACGTCAGAAACATCCACATAAAAACTCTCAAACTGAAGCTATTTCAACCTCATTATCATACAGAGGAAATAAAACGTGTGTGTGTGTGTGTGTGTGTGTGTGTGTGTGTGTGTGTGTGTGTGTGTGTGTGTGTGTGTGTGTGTGTATGTGTGTGTGTGTGTGTGTGTGTGTGTGTGTGTGTGTGTGTGTGTGTGTGTGTGTGTGTGTGTGTGTGTGTGTGTGTGTGTGTGTGTGTGTGTGTGTGTGTGTGTGTGTGTGTGTGTGTGTGTGTGTGTGTGTGTGTGTGTGTGTGTGTGTGTGTACAGGACATGTTCCTGGAGATCGAGCGGAGGGTCTCCAGCCTGGCGGCTCTCGGTCCGGCGGCTGAGCAGCAGGACGAGGCGGCCGAGCTGCTCTCCTCCAAACTGGAGCTCCTGAAGGCCAACCTGGTGTCCTTCCAGCAGCTTCTGCAGGACAGACAAGGAGAGGAGAGGACCCTCACACACACTGAGACACAGGGACAGGTACAAGCTATGTGTAGGAGTAGAAATCAATTCAAAGAGTATATGTAGAATAAGTTTAATACATTTAGTTGCAGGATAAAACACAACTTGGGGCTAAAATCTAAAGACTTTTTGACAACACATCAGTCAGAATGAGCTGGCTGTTTAACTTAGTATTTTAAATCGTAGTTTGAGTCTTGCTTGTCTTTCTCTGTACCAACATGTTTTTGTATTAGAAAAAGTCATTTCTCATGTGATGTTAAGATGGGAATCCTGACAATTTGTTTTGCCTCAAAAGTAGTGCACATGTAGTCTGAACAATATTTGAAAGATACTAGTAGTTCATGTTAAGTTAGGTAATCTTTTATGTTGATGCATTTTCTTCAATATAATCATTCCCACCAAACACACGTCGAATTATTAGGATCAATCGTATTCCTATTTCTCCTTAATTTCTAGTCTTTATTTAGCTTACAGGATTAAACAAATGTGACAGTGTGGAGGTGTGTCTGCTGTCAGACAGTTCACATGGGCCAAAGTCACTCCCTGATCATTATTAAGTCCTGTCTCTATGAAACTAAACAGACCTGCTAGAGCGATTAGTCACAAATCTTAGTAAGCAAATCAAAAGTCACTTAAGTCTTAGCGCTGAAAGTCTACTTCTACTGTGTTTAATGTGTTTTACATAACTGTGACTGAGGACAGCCTTTCACTATGGTAGCAATGTTTGATTGTTCCAGCTTGAACCACGTCAAAACTGGACCTAAACATAAAACAAAACTGATTTTAAATCTGATGATTTGAACTGATATTTCTTCACTTCTTCAATCCACTAAAGGCTGTATTACATGTTTGTGGAGTTGATCTTTTTTAATTGTTCCTCCCTGTGTCCCTTCTTTACCTATTTCCTCTCAGAAGTCAGCAGCTCAGTCAGAGCGCCACCTGGAGTCCAGGCTGCAGCGCAGCAGCAGTGTCCAGGAGATCTTCTCCTCTCCCAGAAACAAACTGCTCCGACAGAGCAGCCTGCAGCAGCAGAAGGTACTGATATACTGATGGAAGGTTTTACTGAAGTATATAACCATACATCAAGTTCATATTTTTGAATATAATATATAATATCAGCCACTTTAGACATCAAAATGCTTAACTGAAGTCTGAAATCCTCACATCATATGTTACTAACTCAGTCCATTGTATTACAGTAGAAGTGGATGAGATCTTAAAAAGCCGATATTAACCACTTTCTAAAAGTAAACCAGTACATTGATTGAATGATATCTGTTGGTGGTAAATGGGTTTCCTTTTTCATTTTAATCATTAATATTAATTTCAGGTTGCTCTGCAATTCAGTCAGCAAATAAATAAATAAAAGTTATAACTGTTGTGTTGACAAAACAAAAAAAGTAGCTAGAAGCAGTAAAGAACCGTCATGTTTGTGTTTCCTGTTCTGCACATCTCACTCTATCCTTCTCTGTGTGCAGGAGTTGGAGCAGCAGCTGACGGAGCAGAGAGGTCTGACCCAGGCCATCGCTCTGCAGGGCGGCAGAGGATGGCTCCACAGCCCGGACACAGAGGACCAGAGCCCGCTGTCACCACGGTAACAACCTGACCATCACTCTGTTATTTATGTGATCTGAATATATATATATATATATATATATATATATATATATATATATATATATATATATATATATATATATATATATATATATATATATATATATATTAGGGCTGTCAAACGATTACAATTTTTAATCAGATTAATCACAGCTTAAAAATTAATTAATCATGATTAATCACCATTCGAACTATGTCCAAAATATGCCATTTATTTATGTATATTGTTGTGGGAATGGAAAGATAAATGAAAGAAGGCGGATATATCCATTTAACATACAGTATCTATGTTTATTATAAAAAATGTCTGCGTGTCAAAATGAAAGACAACCCACACACCTATCAATCCGTGGGGTCTTAATTCATTATGTGTTGATTTCTATCAACGGGGGAGTACTTCAGGAAAGTCGACAGAGGGGGGGGGGGGGCGGCGGCGGCGGCTAGTGGAGTACTTCGTGACCACAGAGTGTGAACGTTGTTTTAGCGCAGTTCTCCAGTGAAGGGGGGGGGAGTCTCCCTCCGCAGCCGGTTGGCGTAGTTTTGGCACAATGCCGTTGTACAGACCGACGTTAACAGCAGCCCTGTCTGTGCACACGGAGACCGACTCTGTCGTCCGGTGATCTAACCGCCTTCTAGAAAAGCTTTTGCGGTACGCAAATGCGCTTTGTGACACAAGTGACGGTACGCATTTCAGATTACGCACATAACCTGCGTACCAGTTATGTGCACCCCTGTACTACAGCAAAAAGTATTCTCCGTCGGGACTTCCTGCAACAACACCACGCCGTTATCAAAGATGTTCTATTGAGAAAGACGATCACTACGTGACAAAAGTTTTCATAACCGTGGCTACTGAAATCAATTTTACTAACTGCTGTCTGTGCAATTTACTCCGCGCGAGTTGGCAGACTTTATTTTGCTTACTTTAACATCATTTTTCATGGTGGGGCTAAGCCATTTCTTGGTATGGGTGTAGCCTACCCCAGCCATACCCTGGCGCTGCCACTGGTGGCACGTATGGGGCGGGCCATTCTGCACATGCGTTAAATGCGTTAAATATTTTAACGCAATTAATTCAAAAAATTAATTACCGCCGTTAACGCGATAATTTTGACAGCACTAATATATATATATATATATATATATATATATATATATATATATACAGTACATAGTGTGTGGGATATGATTTATTTATATTATGTCCTACACAATAATACTATTTCAGTTATTGTTCTTTTGGGCTTTTTATTGAGAATCAAATATACATTTTTTCAGTGATTCAGTTATTATCAGTACCTGTTAAACAAACGGACAGAGTAAGGCTGCAGTAGATTTAAAAAAAAAAAGAATACAACAAGGAGAATGTATTATTCAAAAGAAATGTTTGCCATTTTGAATTATTTAATTTAATGTATCCAATAATTCAATGACTTTTTAGGTTGATTTGCCAATAATGAAAGAGAAATAGATGAGATTCTCAACAGCAATAATACAAAAAAACAAACACAGACAGAAGAACACAAAGAAAGCAAGATGAAAAACAGATATGAAAGAAAGTGAGAAAGTAAGTATTAAGTGTTATTAAGTGTGAACTCTCCTCTTCCCCCCTGCAGGTGGCCTCCTGCTGGGTCTGCTGTGCACGAGGACGCGGCTCACAGGAAGTGGGACGGCCTTCACAGCCAGCTGCTTTCTCTGGAGGAGAGCTGGCTGCTTCCCCCTTCAGAGGTATGGCCTTCATCGTCAGCCTTCTGCTTGATTATCACTTTCCACTACGGAAAAGAAGAGAAATGTGTGTTCTCGCTGCGCTTGATTATCACCTTCTTTGAGCTGAAGGCACTTAGTTGTCTTTTTGTCACTATGGGGAGTCCTGCAGGGCTTCATAAGAGTCGTGTGTGTCTCCTACTTCTAATGTCTCCCCCTCCCCCCCATCTCTCCTCCTCTCTGAAGGTGGCAGACTCATCTACGAGGCACAGTGATGGAACAGCAGGACGCATAATTGGCACACAAACCCTGAAAGAGCTCCAAACTCACATCAGCCAACTGAGAGAGCTGCGACTCACAGCGACAGAAACTCTGAGTCAGGTACAGGCTCCTTATGGCTGTTTATCACAGAATATACAGGGTGTCGGGACATGTGACCTCTGATTCTACACATGGCTATAACATGTCTTTTCACATGTTAGTGACCCCTCTCTATTGTATGATACTGGTCATAATCCTAAGGAGTCGGGACCTTTATTGTAAACCATATATGTTTTGGAAGATAAGAAATATAACATTAACCATATGTATCAGCTATCCTGACCTATAGTTCAATATTAATATGATTTTTTGTTATATTCTACTGTGATTTAAAATGATAGAGGTGTGTTAAGGTCAATTGCAGATTTGTAAAGAAACTGAGATTGCCATACTTTACTAAAAAAAGATTTAAATTTGCTATTTTATACTGGAAAATAGGGACTAAGCACATTTTAACAATTTGGTCTTGCTTTTTTAAATATTTTTAATATATACTTATTTTGTAAACTCACATACTGTAATAAGTGATGGATAGTAAAGGCAACAAAACAAACTTGAATCAACCTCAGATGCCCCTCTGATAAAAGCAAGGAAAGAAAACAATTGTGTATAGAAATAAATGTCACCTTTTATTTTGAAATGTTGTTATTGAAAAGTAAAATGGAGTCTCAGGCATGATGATTTTTCATCTCTCACCACAGGACGCACATTTTGACATCACACTTAACAAAATAAGAGAAGGGAACAACAAACGTGAAAGACAGCCAGAGAGAGAGGAGTGATGCCAGAGTGAAGATCATACAGCCTCCACCTCCTGGTTAATAATAACATCCGACTCTAAATGCATCACAACAACAGTTCAAGGTTCTTTGTTGTCAAACTGACATAGCTACTATGTCGTTGAAAATCTTAGGTCACAGGCTTCTCCAACAATGCAACACAATAATACAGATAAGCAGACAATATTAAAACAATATTAAAATATACTATATTAAAAGTAATACAAAAAGAAAAATAGTTTTAAAAAAGTGAGAACAAAAAAAGTGGAATAGTGCAATACAAGTCTATATACAAGTTATTGGAATGATATATTAGATAATGGGTAAATCATTACTAAGTAGCAGATGAATGTTATGAAATTGTTTCAGCAGTTCAGTTGTTTAACAGTCTTATTGCCTGCGGGATGAAGTAGTCGGAATTTCCCCATGTCACCAACACAGTGTCAACAGCACATAATAATGGCTAAGAAGTTTATCATAAAAGTCATATCATATTTGACCCATACAGGTGCAGGAGAGTACATCAACGATACAGGGATCATGAGAGAAATAAATCTTGCTCTAAAACCATATCTTAAATGTGTCCCACCCCAGACCTCCTCGGTGGACGGCTCCCATGAGACGCTGGACGAGGGTTTGTTTCATTTGCTGCACGGAGCGTCCCTGTCCCTGTCCCTGTCCTCCTTCAACAACCTGCTGCACTCACCTGCTGGGACGACACATGAAGAAGACACTCAGCTGAGGCTGCTGCAGCTGCAGGTAACATAGGATTAAGATAAAATGGCCCTTTATTAATCCCCGTGGGGAAATGCAATAGTTTAAACAGCAACAGGGTAAGATTGAAAAACAGGACAGCACATTCACACAAGATTAAATATTGATAAATTGAAAGATACAAATAAAATGATATACAGTTAAGTAAATGAATTAAATGAACATATATACATATTTGATTCATATATACATATTAAATATTAGGTAGGACTCTCTTCAACACACATTCAAACAGGGATCAATCAATTAGGCTTTCTCTCATTTAAGATGTGTTGCTGCCCTTAATAGTTAATAGAGTGGTGGTGGTGGTATTGGACTCAGTCTATTAGTATTTATTTTGTGCTTATTTATGCTGAATGACTATATCTCACCGCATTCACTACAGACTCCTGATCCTCACTTACAAAGCCCTCCACCATCTGCCCCCCCCCCCTACCTCACTGACCTCCTCATCCTCTACCAACCCCCCCCCCGGTCCCTCAGATCCACCTCAGCCGGTTTGCTTTCCACCCCAAAGGACAAACTCCGGAGCTTTGGGGACAGAGCCTTCTCTGTGGCAGCCCCGAAGCTCTGGGACTCCCTCCCCCAAGACCTCCGTGACTCTGAGTCCCTCACCCTATTCCAGTCCCGCCTCAAGACTCATCTCTTCAACTCTGTATATCCATAAGCCCCCCCCCCCCCCCCCCCTCAATCAACTTCCTCCTGACTGCCCTTTGTGTTTATCTTAATTTATTTTATTTGTTTTATTTTATTCATTTATTATTATTATTATTTATTTATTTTTTGTTGTTTTTGTTTGTTTTTGCCTGTCCTTGTCTGTCTACCCTCCCCCCGACTGTAAAGCGTCTTTGAGTTAGAGAAAAGCGCTATAGAAATATTTTTATTATTATTATATGAAGAAATATACGAGCATATCTCTGCTACTCACAATATTTAGAGTGGTGGATTTGCATGAGTCAAAGAGACTTTGAGTTGGACTAAGACTAAAAGTGAAGTCAATACTTGAAAGAACTGAATGATATGTTATTATAAATGCAAAACATTCACATTTTATTTCAAATTCGAAGTAGGAAACAAAGTCAGATATAAGACCCTGCATCTCTTATTCAGCTCAGATTCATCTTCAGTAAAGACGAAACTGATATTTTTTGGGTCAGTTTAGGATTCCTTTACTTCTACCCATCAATCATTTTGTTTGTGGTTTTAAGGTAAGTTATGCCCAAAAAGGCTGAATCAAAAATGAAAATCTGCAGCATTTATAAAAACAATATCTCAAAGATATCTGAAAGACCTAAACTGCCCTCTTCACTGGACACAAACGTGTTCCAGCTTATGATTATAATGCAGACTCACTAATAAACCTCCCTTGTATTTCATGCCAGAGCCTGTCAGCAGCGCTAGCTTCCCTTGGCAGTGAGCTGTCCTCTCAGGGGTCAGAGGTCAGCCGTGTGCTGGGGTCAGAGCGCGGTCAGCAGTGTGTGGAGGCTCTGTGCAGAGTGCTGTGTGTGGTGCAGGCTGCTCTGAGCAGCAGAGAGCAGCAGCTCACACACATGCAGGAGGAGGCGGCCCAGCAACAGGTCAGACATCAGCACTAACTCTTATTATCAGTGAAGGTAAAACCAAAGGACACTCATATACTCAGCAGTGTTTAAATATAAAGATCTTATTTATATCTTAACTGTATTAGTGTTTATAATCTGTGCCCTACTATCTTTTTTTGTCAAATCTCACCTCCTCTTGCACATTATCTAACACATGTATATTACCAGCACTGTTTAAATATAACTTTTTTAATGCAAAAGAAAATAACCTTGTTTATTGAAATAAAACCCTTGTTTGCATGCAGTTTAAAGGACCAGTGATGTGTGTTTAACCGACAGATACAACTGAATGAGTTGCATGCAGCCTTCACTTCTAACCAGGCGACGGTTCACCAAATAATTCATGAATTCAATGGATCTCTGGGCCTTAACAAACAAATGCAGGTACTGTTTCCATGGAGATGTATTGACTTTAACAAACAAGCTAGTCATAATCTGAGATATTCAGTGAACTGTTTTCTGATGTTTTCTGTGTGTTCTTAAAGATGCAGTGGTTGTTTGATTGCCAAAATAATCAGTTAATTTTATGAATTCTAATTATTATTGAATTTTAATAATTTACATAGCATTTCAAATATTTTACTTTTCTGTGTTTTATAATATAATTAATTGAACATGTTGGGTTTTTGGCTTCTGGTCGGATGAAAAAGACATAAAAAGATCTCAGAAATGATTTATTAATGTATTTGCGTCAGACAAGAGATTTAAAACGTTTCTCAGTCAACATCATAAAGTTTTTATTTGTCACAGTGCATATGTTTTTATTTTTCAGGCTGTGGTTCAGATGCAGGAGTCTCTGCAGCAGCAGGTGGAGCAGGTGAGCTCCCTGATGGAGGAGGTGCAGCGACACCACCTGCCTGCCTCCCTCATCCAGCAGGCCTCACAGCTGCAGGTATGAAAGCTGCTGTGTCATGTCAAATGTAACCAAGTCTGCTTTGTGTGAACACATTTTGGAATCCTACCTTCTCAATATCAAACTTAATAAGTTGTCATTCAGTTGCCACAAACATATTTTGTTTTGTTTTTTCCTGTATGTGCAGGGTGAGCTGGACACTTCTCTAGGTGGTGTTCGCTCCCGCTGTGAGGAGCTGAAGCACAGTGTGGAGCTGCAGCAGCAGTATGAGCGTCTGGTCCTCAGCTTGCAGGAGCTGCTAGTTCTGGGCCCTGAACGCGTCGCGCAGAAGCCTGACGCAGAGCTCCGCGACAGAGCTCATCTACAGCAGCAGCTCAGCAGCCATACGGTGGGATATACAAGGAAATTCTGTTCAAAGACCTTTGGTGTATACATTTTTTTAATAATTGTTGACGTTACTTTGTTTTCAGAAGTTCTTCCAGTTCCTGGGCCATCACTTTAGGATCCTGCAGAACCTGACCCACAGAGTCCCAGAGAGCACCCTCCAGAGGTGGCAGGGTGTGGTGATGGGCCTGCAGGTGCAGGTAGCCCGGCTGCAGCAGCAAGGACTGGACCAAGGGACCAGGATGCAGGAGACATTACAGGTAGGGAAATGATTATGAAATACAGCAATGAAAGGATTATCTAAACATTAACAAAGTATCCTCTCACAGAGCTGCTGCCATGGCTGTAGACTCTTAGTTATTGTGGCTCTGAATTAAGAAGGCTATAGGAAGCAACATTGATTTTTGAATGCAAGTACATTAATATGACATAGTATAGTACTCATTCACAAAAAATCTATCAGCAAAAAGATGTCTGTCTATCTAAAGATCATTCAGGTAAATAGTGCCTTACATTCATTTCATAAATTTAATTTGCCTAGAAATGTGTTTTAATAATATCAATATATACACCTTGTGTTAGGAGGGCTTCCGTAACAAAATGTTATGACTTGGATGGATTGTAATTATGCAACAGTTAATTCTACCCATACTTATAAGAAATATAAATGTCATAGGAAAATAATCACATTGATGTTAGTAAACAATTTTCCTGCACTTCATCATTTCTCCATCTGTCTCAGATGTGGTCGCAGTGGGAGGAGGACAGAGCCTGGTCAGACTCCCTGCTGAGTCCCATTGAAACTTCATCTATCAAGATGCACAAGGAGGGTAATTCAGAGGAGCGGATATCAGAGAAACTCTCAGTCTACCAGGTAATTTTTATGAATAAATGTGTTCTTTCTGACCGTCGGCGGATAATTGAAATGCACCAACAAGCAGCCGTCTCGAGGACCGAGCGCATTTCGCAATGTTCCGTTCTGCTCATTTAGAGAATATTTTAGCGCGCTCTCCATGATGTACTTTGTGCATTGCACTCAAAAACCTAATTGGCTCAATTACATACAAGCGAAAGGTTGTTTTCTGTAGGGGTACATGATGTTCTTTGGTTTTGCTGTAAGTTATTAGCCGAGTCACGACCTCCAACTAACATTCAGTTGCCCTGCTGTAGGATTGGAAATGTGTCTTTTATCCATCTGAAATCAGAGCCAGGCTAGCTGTTTCCCCAGCTCCCGGTATATATGCTAAGCTAAGCTAACCGCCTGCTTAACATTAAATACTGTAGTACTTTTACTTTGTGTAGTACTGGCTATGTACTGAACAAACATACGTGACAATCAGGGTTCATACACTTTTTCACCAATGATTTTCAATGACTTTTCCATGACTTCTCAATGACCTTTACCTCATTTTCCATGACCAAAAAAAAATGACCACTGAAAATGGTTTATTTGAACATGGAACAGGAAAATAAGGTCTGCATATGAAACATGTTGTGCCTATCTAAAACAAATTAAATAGTAGGCTTACTAGCTTCTACACGCTAAAGCAACTGTAGTCAGGGATGCAAACTCATCAGGTATGAAAAAGGTGACAAGGATCCGAGCCCCGACCCCATGGAATATCAGTTTAGGGATAACAGAGGATTTTAGCAGTCAGAACAACTAAAGCAGCAGTGTCAATAATAACAGAAACGCCAAAGAGTCACATCTAATAGAAATATATAAAAGCATTTATTTTAATTGTGTAGCAGTCAGTTTATAATTTTGGCAGCACTGTTGAGCATTTTGAAAATGTATTGTCATGCCTCTGTGCAAGGCGTAGTCTTTCTATCTGTATCGCCACTGGTGTAAAGTAACTAAGTTCATAAACTCAAGTACTATACGTGGGTACAATTTTGAGATACTTGTACTTTATTAAGTATTTCAATGTTTTGCTACTTTGTTCTTCTCCTCCTCTACAGTTCAGAGGTAAAGTGTATGTAATACCTTTAGTTACTTCACAGATCTGGATGAATGATGTGAAATATAATTAAGTGTTGAATCAGACTTTAGTTCCACCTGGAGTAAATCCACAAGCTACCCTGCAGTATACAAAGTCCTTCAAACTAGCTGCACCTTTACCAGCTTTGAGAACACTTTCATGATCAATCGTTATAAAACATATCATATATATTATTCTGAAATGGACCAATCTGCACAGTGACTACTTTTAATTGTCGCTACTTTCACTATAGTTTGATGAGAATACTTTTCTACTTTACTTGAGGAACATTTTGAAAGCAGGACTTTTACTGAAACAGAGTATTCCTACACTCTGGTACTTCTACTTTTACTCAAGTACAAGATCTGAGTACTTCTACTTTCACTACAAGATCTGAGTACTTCTACTTTTACTCACTACAAGATCTGAGTACTTCTACTTTTACTCAAGCACAAGATCTGAGTACTTCTACTTTTACTCAAGCACAAGATCTGAGTACTTCTACTTTCACTACAAGATCTAAGTAACTTCTACTTTTACTCAAGTAAAATATCTGAGTACTTCTACTTGTACTCAAGTACAAGATCTGAGTACTTCTACTTTCACTACAAGATCTGAGTACTTCTACTTTTAATCAAGTACAAGATCTGAGTACTTCTACTTTTACTCAAGAACAAGACCGGAGTACTTCTACTTTTATTAAGTACAAGATCTGAGTACTTCTACTTTACTCAAGTACAGATCTGAGTACTTCTACTTTTACTCAAGTACAAGATCTGAGTACTTCTACTTTTACTCAAGTACAAGATCTGAGTACTTCTACTTTTACTCTAGTACAATATCTATACTTATACCACCTCTGTTTATAGCCTATGAAAAAAACTATTAGAAAACGAAGGCTAAAGCTAACGTTAGTAGATAGTGACAATGTATGCTAGCTAGCTAGATTAACGATTCCTTAAATAATATTGCGACAGAAAAACGTTTCAGTTCACATCGCTCTGCTGCTCTGCTCTGAACACCTGAACGGCCGTTCTAACAGCTGTTCACCAGCGGTGCAGTCTGTGCCACAGTGACTCCGCACAGTTAACGAACGCACCGTAGCTAATGTAGCTGACCCTCATCCCGGAACAGCACAGTTCAGCCGCCCGACAGGCAGGAAGACTCGAGCACACAGCTCGCGCTTCATATATTAAAAAAATAACACCATGCGCGTCATGATGGCACATAACAGCTCGCGACCGCAGATTATTTCGGCGATTAGATAAAATGTAAATTAAATTTGACGCAACTTTAGTTACATTTCCATGACTTTTCCAAAACTTTAGGAAAAATATTGTTTTCCATAACTTTTCCAGGGCCTGGAATTTGCATTTTGACCGTACGAACCCTGGACAATTATAGCGATCTTACTCTGAGAAAAAGCAATTAAGTGTTAATAAAGTTTTGTATTTTTATAAGGAGATGCGTGGCGTTCTGCAGGAGAACAAGGCGCGGTTCAGTCGGATGCTGGAGGCGGGGCTCTGGCTTCAGGAGGCGGGCTGCAGAGGAGTGGGAGTGGCCAACAGCAAACTGGAGGCAAGATGGAGAGCCCTTCACAAGAAGGTGGAGCACCAATGCACAAATGTAGACAAGAAGAGGAAGCTAAGGAGCAGGTGAGAGAGAGAAAACATGTAGTTGTTTAGACTTCACAAGTTTTATCAAGTATTAACTATCAAATATTTTCGAAATGTTGAAAGTCCATATTTTTGAGTGGTTAAAATATTTTTATACTTTCATAATATTTTTGTATTTTTAACGGCCGGATTTTATGATGCGATCCAAATCTAACAAAGTACTGAAAAATATATTTGTCTTTGTAAAATGTGCAGCATCAATCAAAAAGCACCTTAATGTTTTACATCTATATATATTAATTATGTATTGATATATATCTTTTTCAATAACAGATATGCAGGTGACCCTGTAGCTATGTCGAATTGTTAATCAAAATGTGTTATTTCCCACCAATAACCAGGTTTCTTCATGACTCTGCTGTACTGGCTGACTGGATGGGCGGGGCCAGAGAGATGATTGACAGATGTCAGCTCTCTGTGTCAGCAGAGGAGGAGATGGATGTTGAACAGAGGCGTGATCACTACTTCCAGTTTGTGGTGAGCACACAACACTCACTCGTTGTAAATAACAAATAATACAAACAAACAAACAAACAAATAACAAAGCACAAATAAAACCTGCTCAATTTCATTTTAACACGTAGACTTTAGTTAAATTAATTAATGTTATTTTGAATTTTATGCAATATACAATAAATAACATCAGGTTCAAGCAGGTTAATATTTAAAGTCTGCCCAAATAGCCTTTTATCGAAATAAAGCTTCTAGTTTTTATGTCTGTAGACCTAAAGTGGGGAAATGTACCAATTACTTGAAATAAACAGAGTTTATCTGTCTACACCACAAATAAATTGTATTAAGTTGATGATTGCCATAGAAAACAAAATAACATGATAGTTATTTTTTAGGTTTTGACCAAAGGCATGGAAGCAAAGTCTGGACTGAAGGTGGTTGTGAACGGAGCGGGAACCCAGCTGCTGCAGATGAGGGAGGAAGAGGATGGAGACTTAGAATTAAATCTAGAGGACAAAGAGACATCAGACCCAGATCTCTGCTCCATCAACGCTCAGCTCAGACAGATGGAGTTGGATTGGTCCCGCCTCCTGGCCGATGTTCCTGTCATCCAACAAGCTCTGCATAAGGTGAGGAGATTCCCAACTTCCATACCAATTATGTAAATATAAAGAAAAGGATGTGGATTTTGGCCTATCCTTATCTTGTTCAGTATTTTTTTATTTTCAACAGTTATAAGATGATACAATACAAAGGCACACACTTAAGAGAATACATACAAGAAGCAACTGAACAAAAATAAACATCAGGAGTAGGCATTTGCAAAATAAGTTACCTCAAAAACACTAAACCATTCCTCTTTTGTGTTAAAGGTCCCATGTCATGCTTTTCCGGTTATTACCCGTCCCCTTGTGTGTTATGTAGCTTTTTCTGCATGTAAACGGTCTGCAGTCACAAACCCTCAAAGTACACCCTGTAGCGAGTAAAACTCTAACACCTCGTTGGAGATTTATTTTCTTTCTTGCTGGGTACAGTGACGTGACCATACCCAAATGGACCAATCTGTGGAGCTCCTCACACACACACACACACACACTCAGCGGCGAAACTGTGACGTGCTGGGGGGGTGCTAGTGGAGCCTCGCAGCGGCGAAACTGTGGCGCGCTTACACTGTAGGTGCGCCGCGTTTGGGGGTGCGGGTGCTAGTGGAGCCTCGCAGATGGGGGTGCTGCAGCCCCCTCAGCACCCCCCTTCCCGCGTCCATGGTGCTCAGGCTGAGTTCAGGCTGAGTTTCGCGCTGTCTCGCAGACTCCACGCAGCACCAGTAAGAGCTCACACTGTCCCCTCCTCACAGCAGCGAGCCGCGCAACGTCCCGCCAACAAGGCACCCAGACCCCACGCAGAATTCTCATCTGTTTGTCATTACTGGTGTCATTTTCTGGTTGTTAACGCCATTGTAACACATAATCACTGATGTTCCGCTGTAACGGTGGTGGACTCATCAGAACAGAGTGGGCGAGCTGACCAATCAGAGCACACTGGGCTCACAGGGAGGGGGGGGGGGGGAAGGAGCTCCAACAAGGCGTTTAGGACAGAGAGTGAATACACATACTATACAGAGATGCTGTTTGAGAAACCAATGCGAGTTTGGAAAATTGCACAATATAAATCTATTCTAGTAGACCTCAACAATGGAACTATGATCAGTAGAAATTGCCATGACATGGGACCTTTAAATGCTATTGAGGTCCAGTCCCTATCAAACTTACCAAGAGTATCTCTCAACAAATGTGAGACAACCTCAATGTCAAAATGGACATCAGCTTTATTTTCAAACCATGCTAAAATATCTTGGCCTATCCTACTTAATATTTATAGAATCTTATTGTAATTCCTTATGTGTTTCTTTATGTCAAAACGTGTCAAATTTGGTTCTCAGTGCCCACATGTACAGAGTTTGATATTTTGAAAGCCACGCTGCAGTAGTCCTGTCACCAATTACTTTTAGAAGTTCCCCCTCAAGCAGCACAATGCCAGCCTGAGGACTCTTCTCTGCTTATTGGTGTGAAAACCATTCCCCCTCCAGCTTTTCTGTTCGTCTGAAACTTCAAAATCTTCTTCCATCCTCTCCTCGGCTTCATCCTTTCTGTCCCATCATCCTAGCCTCCTCTCATCTCTCCTCTCTTCCTTTCCCTCTCATCTCCTCTCCCTGCTGTTCATATTATCTCCCATTCCTCTATTTTCTCGCCCTCTCCTCAGTTTTTGTCAACTCTTCTTATTCAGTTTGAGTTTTTCTCTCCCCTCCATCTGCTGTTTTGCCCTCTGCTCACCCTGTTTTCGAGATTGATTTTAATATTGTTTTTGAAGGCTTATTTCAGGTGAACACATTTCATTTGTTTCTCACAAATGAGCAAATGTATACACAATTTAAAACAAGTAGTTACTTACTTTCTATACTTACATATGCATGAAAAAATAAAAATACTTCACAAAAAACACATATTCAGTGTATATCTTAAACTAACCGAAATGTGAAATTCTGGACTACCTGAACTTTTTTGGGGCTTTTTTGAGGACTACGAAAGGTTAATAATCTCAATGTCTTGAAGGTCAGATGACTGAGACAGTGAATAAAATAAAGCAAACTTACTAGTTCTGTTTGTAGTCTGAGTAAGTAGTGTTGTAACTGTTTAACATCAATGAAGTCATTCATCTCCTCTTTCCTCTTTCCTCTTTCCTTTCTTTCCTCTTCTCCTCCCTCCTCCTCCTCCTCCTCCTCCTCCGCCTCCTCCTCCTCCTCCTCCTCCTCCTCCTCCTCCTCCTCCTCTCCTCCTCCTCCTCCTCCTCTCCTCCTCCTCCTCCTCCTCCTCCTCCTCCTCCTCCTCAGCGATGGATGCAGACGTTGACCCAGCAGGAGGCCCTGTCTGAGCTGCAGGCCTGGCTTCTTTCTGCTGAGTCACAGCTGGAGGAGCATCGCAGCAGGATCACACAAACCTCCCCAAACACTGATCTGAGTCAGCTCCTGAAACACTGCAAGGTAAAGAAGTGCTAAATATAATATAATAATATGCTACAAATATCCTGCTTAAATGGCCCGATTCCTGAAGTGTTTTCATCCTGTAGCGGAGGGTTTTTAGTGCATTCATTTAGGTTTTTTACTAAAGATAAAATTGTGATTAGTTGTGTATCTAGTTGATTGACTCTCTCTCCCTCTATGGCATTTTCCTCAGGAGTGTCAGACAGAAATGTCAGCCCATCACGCCACACTGGACTTTGTGAGCCAACCGCTACAGAGCTGCAGTTCTGATGAGGGCCAGAGGGGGCGTTATGAACACAACCTGTTTGCAGAGGAGCAGGGTCGTCGCAACCATCAGTGGCTCAGTCTGCAGGGAACTCTGCAATCTCAGGTCAGAAAGCAAACAACAAATCAAAGATACTTATTTTGTTTTTCTCATATGTTCAATTGCATCACATGGTCTTTTTCAGTGGGTAAGGTTTTAATGGGATTGGATCTGCTGACATGCAAGCTCAGTGGTGGTTAGGATTCACCCATAGCACTTTCAGGCTTCTAATATATATTGGTTAAAAAGTTGAGGATCAAATGTGGTTTTATTCTGGGAAATTCTAGATTGAATAAACACATCTGACTCACGATCCACTTACAAGTTATTTTTTGTATGGAGCTTTCCACCATATCACATGTTAGGCTGCATGTAAATGGATTTAATCGCTTTCCTTTGGGGACATGGACATGGTAAACGCATATTAATTGTAGCAAACATTTTTTACCACCAATGTTAACTAAGTTTTCACTTTTTTAAATGTATTATGTAATATGTTTGACCTGATGTTGTTTATGGTGATCAGATCCAGAAGGTGGAGCAGGAGCTGAGGAGCAGGTTGGAGCATGAGGCCCGCCTGCAGCAGATCAACAGCTGGATCACAGATCAGATCCTCTGGATGAAGTCTGCTCAGACACCCAGCAGCCAGACGGAGCTGCTACAGAGCATCAGCACCTGCCAGGTCAGAGGTCACATCTGCACTATCAATCAAGCACCTGTAGAAAATGTGCCTTTTCAGGATTTGGAAAGTCATAAAGCTTAAAGTCTTCGCCAAGGAAATCATTTGTTTTCCTCTTTGTTTTCTCTGTGTTTCAGGATCTTGAGGAGAAGATCAGGCAGAGGTGTGAAGCTCTTCAGGAGATGAGAGGCAAACTTGATGGAGGAGGAAACAGCAGCTGTGATTTAATGTCTAAAACAGATACATCCATCCAGGCCTGTGCAGCTCTCACACAACAGGTGAATGAGTGAGGAAATGAAGATGTGGAAATTGTTGTGGTTGTAGAGGAAAAAATAATAACAATTTAAAAAAGGTATTTACACAGCACTTCTAAAAGCAAATTCACTAAGCGCCTTACATTGTTAAAATGTCTTAAACTATTATAAAATAAATAAAAACAACAACAGAAATATTCAAAAAATTGAAAAAATAAAGACTGCATTTTGCAAAAACCTTAAAGAGAAAGCTTCAGGTTTTGTTGTTGTGTGACCTCTCGTTGGATGACCTTTATCTTGCCTAATTACCATCAGCAAAATGAATACAAACCATGGTACATAGCATCAATAGTAACAATTATGCCAAATGTATTCATACTTTAATAAACGATTGGGCTTTAGGTAGGAATGTTGTGAGGTCATTTTTGCCAGCTTTATCTTAAATATATATTGTTTGGTCTTTGTCGTCTGGTTATGTCTTTATCTCCCGATAATTAAACATCCTGTCTGGTCACTAACAGCATGACTCAGTCAAACAGAGGCTGGTTGAGGCGCAGCAGCTGTGGGATTGTGTGGAGAAGCAGCTGAAGCAGATGATGCTGAAAACAGTGAGAAGATCTCAGACTCTTGAGTATCACAGCAGCCCTCAGCTCTGCCTGCAGGCACACAGAGATCTGCATGGAAAGCTGCAGGTAGGACTGCTCCTCATCACACATATTATGCAACTTTTGCTACATGTAGAGAATGTGAAAAGGCTCTATGGTTTCTGAATCTAATGTGCAGAAAGAACATCATTTATTTTGGAACAACTGTAATTGAATGCTGTTTTTATGGTTGAAGCAGCTTCTTCATGAGGAGACAGCAGCTTCAGAGGCAGAGTGGATAGATTAAATCAAAGCGTCTCCTCCCTCAAAGACATCATCAGTCCTACTGCTGAGACTCTCCTCACACAGCAGCTGGACAGACAGAGGGACAGGTGAGACCCACACACACTCACAAAACACACAGACAAATGACACACTTAGTCATGCGTTTACTTGCGCCATTGTATTACTTGCACCATTGTATTACTTGCACCATTGTATTACTTGCACTATTTACTACCTTATTTCTTTTAAGTCCTTAGTGTCCTCTGTTGGCGGGGCCTGGGACTTCAGATTTCCATGCAAACAATTACTCTGTAGATTTTGAGCATATGACAATAAAACCTTTGATATTTAAATTTTTTTTAATTACACAGTAACTCTCTTTATTAAATCCATCCTCCTCTTGTCCTCCAGTTGGACAGAATCGTCCAGAGCGTTGGACCAGCAGCTCCAGAGGGGTCAGGACGTCCTGCAGCTGTGGGAGGTGTACGCCCGGCCGGCTGCGTCTCTCTCCGCCCGGCTGCAGACGCTGCAGAGCGATGTCAGCTCAGCACTGAGCGGAGCGACTGGAGAACATGACACTGTAGAGCAGCTCACTGTCAGGGTTCACAACGCTCAGGTGAGGAAATAAATAACACAAACAAATATTTCAGAGCTTCATAGGAAGTAAAATAAGAATCAGAACACTTAATATAAAAATGTTTAGTATGATTTCTAAGTTTACTTGTGCCAAGTTAATATAAAACATTTCCCTGTTTTTGAAGGAATACCTAAATCTTACCTAAATCTGTTTTTGTTCTGCGCTCCAGAGTCTCCTGGAGAGGACAGACTCTCTGCAGTCCGACCTGGAGGGGGTGCTGAAGGTCTCCAAGGACCTCACTGGTCACCTGGACCCTTTAGCTGCCAGTCTGGTCCAATCAGAGAGCCGCTTGTTGGCACGTGGAGTTCAGCAGCTCAGCCAGATGGTGACGAGGAAGCTGGGTCAGCTGCAGGTACAACTCGCTGATTCACTGAGTGTGTTTATGGGATTGGACCTAGTTATTTTGGATTTGTTGTGTCCTAGGTTACTCAGACAACTGTACACAGTGATACTGAAGCAAAGAAACATTTTACCTGAGGACAATTATTGATATGAGCTGTCAGATTAAAAAAGGCTCAGGTAATTAACATTTGTATGTAAACAAACCCAAATATAAGCCTTTTACTGTTGAATGCTGCTGATTTGTGTGGCTTTTTAATAATGTACAATGCATAACTGATACGTTTTTGCTCATCCAAACTTATTTAATTCAAAATATTGTTTTATTGTTTAGAAAAAGTTAAAACACATTTCTTATGCTCTAGTACAGTGGTTCCCAACCTTTTTTCCCAAGAGCCCCCCCAAATGACTCCTGTTGGAAGTTGCGCCCAACAGCGGTAATTAAAGTTTAAAAGTCTCAAAAATGCTACAACTGGATGAAGGATGAAAGCGTAATTAAGGAGCACTATTGGTTATTGATGGTTATTGATGGTTATTGGACTCAGGATAATTTATTTGGATTCCCGCTGTATGAAGAAATTAAAGGACGGCGCAAGTGGAAACAATTCACAAAGGGATTAAACTGTTTAAAACACATGCTCAAAGTAAGCCGGATTTTGCCGATGTGTTTATGTGGATTCAAAAGTCGTAAATATCTACAAAATGGAGGAGACAGATCTGATCGGAGCAACTGTGACAAATAATCCAACTGAAACCGGCGTGGACAATGACTATGTTTTAAAAATGCGCTTATCCAGACAAGCCCGGTTTGGACACTTAACGCGCAGAAGAAACATTTCTATTAAAGAAAGAATGATACATTTCTGTCTTTTTATGCCTTTAATAGCTACTAACTTGAATTGTTATTCAAATTAATTAATCAATTATTTTTTTAAGGCTTTTAGTGATGTATTGTATTGCCTTACAATTATATGTAAAAAAAAATATTTGGCCTCAAATTATCTGAGGCCAAATACCCAGGTTGGGAACCACTGCTCTAGTAGATACTTTTGGATATGCTCTATGATGCAGGCGCTGTTCCAGAGTACTGCATAACTTGTGTGTTGTGTAACCTGCCACCTGTTTGCACTAAGTATCAGAGTGACCTATAAATTAAGACCCAGTAGGCTGTGAGTCATGTGTCATGTTTGCGTGCAGGAGGAGCTTCAGCGGCTGCAAGAGTTTGAAAGCGTCCTGAAGTCTCTGGAGGGAAACCTGCAGCTCTGGCAGGAGCGACTGCAGGATGTGAGTCCCACCGCAGACCAGGTGAGAGAAAATGTACTGAGTTTAGGATGATTGTAGGACTGCTTCTTCCTCTCTGTTTTAATCCTACAAAGATGTCTTGAATTGTTATTGTGGTAAACATACTTTTTGGACTAGTTTCCAAAGGTCTGGACCTTTAAGGACACTTAAAGCTATAAATAATAGGTTTATCTACACCTGAGAAATTTCCAAACCACGAGTCAAAAACTAAATATATTAGAAGATTAGATGTGGACAGAAGATCACAGAACAAGTTTAAAGCATAAAGTATTTCTCAGCTGTAATGTCACGCAGGCAGTAGTTCAGACTTTGTGATCTGAGCTGCCATGTGTTTCCAGTCTGGCCTCCTCGAGCTGAGCGGCCTGTCAGCTGATCTGGACGTACTGAATGAGCAGAGCTGCAGCCTGGCGGTCGGAGACGCTGCAGCGCGCCGCCTGCAACGCCTCAACAATCGCTGGACCGAAACCTCCGCCCGAGCTGAGGAGACCTGCAGGTAAGTTATAGTTTATGTCATGTACCAAAAGGTATGATTTTACTATGCCTTTGTAGTAAAAAATCTGGATATTTAATAGTGAGATTGATTTTATGATTACTTGCCCTGTTGCTAACACTAAAAACACACTCTGTGATCCTACACTTTGTACCAGAACTGTCATCAGACGCTCAGCATATACTCAAAATAACATAGATCTTTATACATACTTTGTTCAACACCTTATTGTCATGCTATAAGTGAAATCACAAAATCCTTTTACGGTTTGATTCAAAATGTGAGAGTAAAAGACGTACAAAATAAATACATTTAAGGACAGATCTTTACCCCATTAAACTCTAAATACATGAAAGAAATGTAGTGCAGCACTTAGCAGATTTGAGATGATTTGTTTTTCTCCAACAGTGTATTGTTTTCTGTGTGCAGTGAGCTTCAGACGGAGGCTCTGAGGCGGCAGAGCTTTGAGCAGAAGTGTGAGAGCTGGATGTCCTTCCTGCAGAGGATGGAGGACAGCCTGGCTGTGGACGTGGCCGGCTCCTACACCGGCCTCAGACAGCAGCTCTGCACACACAAGGTATCTGAATCACACACTCAATCACAAAAGATCTAAAAACCCTTCAACACACAGAGATGGAATCCTGATCTCTTATGGCGTTTCAGCGTTTTCAGACAGAGCTGTTTTCTGGACACCAGATCCTGCATTCCGTCATCACTGAAGCTCTTCATCTGCTGCAGAGAGGAGAGGTGGAGGACAGGTAAGACGATCAAAGTGTATTATCATTGTAGTATTAAAAGTGTAAGGGAAAGTTTACCATCATTTCTGAACTGTGTTATCCAGGAGTGACTTCATCCTGAAGCTCACCCACCTCCGGGAGCACTGGCAGGGGCGGTGCAGCGGGCGGACCAGCGGCGCTGCCTGGTGGAGGGGCTGCTGAGGAACTGGCACCTGTACAGCCGCAGCCTGAAGAAGCTGCAGAGGTTCCTGACGGAGACGCAGACCCTCCTCCCCCCCGCCGGCCCGGCACACTGCAGCCTGCAGCAGCTGAGACGCTCCCTCCAGGGCCTGCAGGTGAGGGAATTCATTATTCCACACAAGGCAAGGCAAGTTTATTTATAGAGCACCTTTCAACACAAGGCAATTCAAGGTGCTTTACAAAAATGAAAGACATTCAGACAAAGGAATTTAAAAACAGTCATTAAAAAGAAAAGATAATAAAAGAAACATTAAAAGAAAAAATACATGAATAAAAAGTACATGAATAAAAATGACATGAATACAAAGTTACAGTGCAGTTTAAGATATGAATAGTTCACACAGAAGTTCCACTTTACTGATGAACACAACGGCTCAGTTTCAATTAAAAGCAGCGACAAAAAGAAAAGCCTTCAGCCTGGATTTAAAAGTAGTAAGAGTTGCAGCGGACCTGCAGGTTTCTGGGGGAAATATCTGTTGTGATTGGTCAACCGCTTAGAGCTGTCCCTCCCCTTAGCCTCCCCTTCCCCTTATCACGTACAATGTGTTGGAGCGCTAGCCAATAGGAGCGCAAGTGTTACATAGAGATGTCACTATGTTACGGAAGTAAACAAAAGAGTCCAGTGGAGGCGTTTCAGGCCCGGGGGAGTTTGTGGAAGAGAAACTCACCCCTGGAGGGAACACAGAGATTTTAGCCTTTGCAGACCATTTACATGCACAAAAACCTGGACAACCCCAAAAAGGATAATATGGCCTCTTTAAACATCGAGGACAGAATATTCTAATGTAAAAAAGCAAAGATTTGCAGCAGTAAATGACAGCATCAGATCTAAGATGGTATGGCCTGAGTGGATGATGTTATTTACATCTTCTTTAATACAATCCTTGTCCCTGTCCTGAATCTGACTGTTCCTACAATCTACTTTTTCACTTTCACACCCTCCAGAAACAACTTGGCTGTTTTTATGAATGAGTTTAAAACAATGTTAGTTGAGATAAAGATCAGTCGTTACCACAAACAGGAAATAAACCTCCGCCTGAGGCCTGGTTTGAGACTTAGGAAAAGGAAACAAGTGCTCATGATTACATTTACATTAAAAGCGAAACAAAAGAGATAAGGAAGAGTGATTCCTTTCTAAGTCTTGTGAGCGCTTGATTAAGATGAACGGGAGCAGATAGCTGCTTCTCAATAAAAGGGAACCCTTCACTGCAGAAATCACAGAGCAGCTCAATGCTAAGCTTTCTCTCCTGGTCTCTTTCTGTCTTCCTTTCTTTTTCTCCTGTCCTTTTTTAAAGTCATCTTTTATATAATCTGTCCTCAGCACACGGAGCTGTTGTTCCAGAGGTATCAGTGCAGCTTCATCCACACTCTGGAAGTGGGCCGGCAGCTCTTCTCCATGGGGGACGAGGAGACCCAGACTCAGCTGCAGACGGACCTGGGAAACCTGCAGGAGGATTGGGAGAAGCTCCACAGCCTGCTGGGCCGGAGGATGGACCTCACCGACGCTATCGTGCAGGCAAGGAAGTTCTCTTAACTCACTGTGGTTTAGCAGCAGATGAAGTGATGCCTTCAGGTATTTTACAGCACCTTTTAGATCTTAGTCTGCTGTTTTTTGGAAAAGTGTTTTGTACCTACATGACTTGGTCCTGGTCTCCGTGTCCATGTTGGACTTAACTACCTTTTTTTTTTTTTTTTTTTTAAATATGCTACTTCGGGTGTTTGCTTGTAATGGGGTTAGACTTGGTTTTAATTGGTCTTACTGGGATTGGGTCTGGACTGGGACCCCATGGTCCTGGTCATGGATTGGGCCCAACATTTGTTTTAATGGTCTGTGGTCAAGGCAGGAAGAAACGTATCTACTGCTGCAAGAACAATGCCAAACCTTCTCGTTTTTTTATTTACTAATGTCAGTTTGTTTAATTGTTTCTTTCTGCTTCATATCCTTCTCAATTGAATATTCTGATGTTTTGTTGGACAAGGCAAGTAATGTTGTAAAGACATCCAATTGGCCTCTTGTCTGTGTCCGGACATTTTAAAGACAAACTATTAATAGTTTAGAAAATATTTAATAATTGTTATTTATAGCCCTAATTTCATTTTTGCAATTTCAACCCACTGTTACTGATGTTTGGTCTGGAGAGTTTCTATATCATTGATTGAGTCTATTTTTTTAAATATTAATTCATTTTATAAAATGTTAGCAATTTCCTGACACAAGCAAAGATTTACAAAATGTGTCTTTAAAAACCTTAAAGCAGTTATTGTTGATGTTTTTTGTCACCACCTAATCTCTGACTGGTACACCTGAATCCTCCTTCTGTCCTCGGCCTCTGACAGATTCTGTTTGCATCGCGAGCGGCCAAGTTAATGTAATCTGCTCTAATTAATGACTGTGGATAGGTTTAGGAAGCCAAAGACAAAGAAGTCGTTCTCAAAGCCTTATTAGCAGGTTCAGATCCCACAGCATCGATCAGTGTGATTAAAGAGTTTCTAAGCAGTTTTTGACTGTGTGACAGAACTGGGAGCGCTGCGAGGCCGGACTGGGAGACAGCACGCTGCAGTTGAAGGACTTGAAGACCAGGCTTAACGAGTCGATGCCAGATTTTGCAGAGGAGCTGCAGAGTGCCGAGAAATACATCAAGGTACATCTGCACACAGCTGGTCTCACAAACACAAAACAAAAACACACACTGTTCTGTCCACTGACACCCTGTGCAGAGAAGGAGACACTGTGCAGTAATTATGGTGGAGTTAGACCTCACTGGTTGGAGCCAAAGGATGATTATTGTTGCTAAGTAACTTGGGACCAAAAGGCTGCTTTCACACCAAATCAGGCATTCATTTGAGTTACCCTTCTTTGATTGACCCATTTATATGAAATTGCCCATTATACATGGTTATGCGATTGGCTACTGCAATGTGACTTCTCCAAAACTGAATCTGTTTCATCTTCTAAAAGGCAAAAAAAAACGTATCCCTTTGGGCTCTCATCACAGGAGCCGAACTCACCAACACTATTACACCAAAATGCAGGATTTGGTGTGAATGCAGCCTTAGGCATTAATAATCACATGTTCTTTTATATTTTGACTGGGACTCCCTCTGTCCCATGAGTTAACGGTTGGTTTTGTGGCTTTGCTCATTCAGAAGACACAGCCTGTCAAATTATGTCTGTCTCATAAGTGACTCTTTTTTTTCTTGGGTTATATTGAATCAAAAACACGGTATTTTGTAATGTGGCAATCATGAGAAATTTCCATCATGATGCATATCCACAAAATGAAGCCATATAAAAACATGGTTTCAAAATGACTTAAGTTTTCTAACCCTCCTGGTATATTCGTTTTTTGTAACAGCAATAATATTCGTGGGTCAATTTCACCCAGTGCATGTTTAATTATCCAAAAATGGTCAGAAGCCCCAAAATCCAGATTTTTTTTGTACATAGTTTGTACCTTTTATTACTATCAATGAAATCAATATTTAGTGCAATTGTGTTATTCACCTCTCATAGATCATGGTTTCATTAGAATAAGTCACTCGTTTTTCACAAAATATATACATTCAAACACATTTTCTATTTTCTTTTTTACATTGGAAAAAACCTTGATATAAAATACATTAGTTTTGCATAACATAACGTTTTTTAAATTACTTTAAAAATGTTCCAACTTTTTTTCCAATTGGTTGATGTTGATAAATAGAGACGTGTGTGTGGTGTGTGTGTGTATGTGGTGTGTGTGTGTGTGTGTGGTGTGTGTGTGTGTGTGTGTGGTGTGTGTGTGTGTGGGTGTGTGGTGTGTGTGTGTGTGTGTGTGTGTGTGTGTGTGTGTGTGTGTGTGTGTGTGTGTGTGTGTGTGGTGTGTGTGTGTGTGTGTGTGTGTGTGTGTGTGTGTGTGTGTGTGTGTGTGTGTGTGTGTGTGTGTGTGTGTGTGTGTACCATTTCTTTTAAGGTAAGTAGAAGAAGTTTCATACAAAAGAAAAAGTATTTTTCGTAGATTTTCAAACTTTCAAACGGGTCAATTTGACCCTGAATGTAACAGGAGGGTTTTCAATGTATCATGTATTTTTTTTTGAAAGAACGGAATAATTGGAACCAATTTAATCCCCTGAATGAACTTTGTCCCAAAATGTTCTACTACTCCCTATACATTTGGGCTTTTTATTCTGCTGTGAGTTGTACTGCATTACACGATAGCGCAAAGCACCATCTTTTTGAAAATGAATAAGAAGATTCTAATCCATTGATACAGATGTAAAGTTTAGATTCACATAACTTTTCATAGTGACAATAGCAATAAAAGCCCCTTTTTAAAATATCTAAACCAGACTAAACAGTTTGTGAAGAAGACATATTGTAAGGACATCAGGAAGCAGTCCACTTCACACAGACTTGGAGCCTTCGGTGAAAACGATCACTAGAGGTCAGAGAATGCAAAGCCAAGTTTGAAACAGGTTTGTCTCAACACATCCTCTCTGACCCATCACTGCCTTTATCCCCCACCCCTCCCTCAATCCCCTCCCCCCTCCAATGCACCCCTCCCCCGGCCGGCCTGCAGCCGGTGGCCCTCATTAATCCTCTCTGGGCCAGTAGAAAGAGAGAGAGGAGAGAGAAAGGGGCCGGGCAGACAGAGACATCAGGGAGTATCTGTAGAGTGAGCTGTGGGAGAGGAGGTCTGACAGTTTGTTGTGGCGCTCGCTGTGTTATGGTATGCAGGAGAACGAGGACTGCCTGGAGGACTGGGCTGAGAGCCTGACAGAGCTGAGCACCATGAAGACGGATCTGTCCCAGTACATCATCGCCGACGACGTCCTGCTGCTGCAGGAGCAGGTGGAGCACCTGCACTGTCAGTGGGAGGAACTCTGCCTCAAGGTAAGTCTGATAAACTCCTGAGGACGATGACACATGATGGGACTCATCTTCTGATAAAGTGTCTCAGGTTATCCTCCAATCACAACCTGTAAATGAGATTGTCTCCACTGTTAGTCTGCTTTTATTTATTTATTTATTTTGAACACTTACATGTGATCTTGATTGTGATCTTGCTGGGAGTGACATCAGCCTGATGTTTAAATGGGTACTACTTTCCTTTGGAGTAAGTACTTTATAGTTTGTTTTTTGTGGCTCATGTTGTCAATATGGCAAAAAACATGTTGTTCAAAGGGTAACCCCGTTATTCAACTTTTTACCTCTTTGGGAACTACTTTAAAATAATTTTCCCATTTTCTTTTGGATTCACCATTGATTCATTTGAAAATTAAAGTTTAGGACTACTGGTTGTGCAAGGTTAATCATTTTAAAGCTAACTTGTGCAAGCAGCTCAACCAAAACATTCACTCACCTTGTGTTTAGTGTGTGCTTGTTAGTCTAAGTGTGTGTGAGAGTTTAGAGACAGCAGCCAGTCAGGTGAGATCATTTAGCTTCCCAAACTGCTTCAAAACTAGGAGACAACGTGAGTCAAAGTAAGTGCAGCTCAATGTAGACACTTAATTGTCTTTTATTAAATCAAAGTTGGTCATCTGACTTGTTCGAGACAGTCCTCACTCCTGCAGACGTTATAAAGCATGCTGCATTTGAACCAGAATTCACTCTTTCTTTGTCTGTTTCCAGGTCATTAGTGTTAGGAGCCAGAGCCTTTAATGAGGAGTTAAGTTAGTAAATCTTGTGTAGGACTGAAGTGACCAACAGGTCTGTGGTGGGGGGTGGTGAAGGGGGAACAGAGGGTGACAGGAGAGAAATGTTGTAATGGGCTTTTGTATGGAAATGAGTCTGGGGGGAGGGGGAGTGATAATACTCACTTTCACTTTTAAACTCTGTGTGTTTGACTGAGTGTTTTTTGTTTATTTTAACTTATAGACCTGTAAACCAACATGCCCCTCTAACAAAAGTGGATGTGTGCTGTTCAAGATAGGAAATGGGAGGTTAAACAAGATAAAGTGAAGCTAAAGTTTTCAGTTTAGTCCTCATCTAAGAAGCCTTTTATTTTGCGCACCATCATATCGTTGTGGACAATGGGCCTCCGACTCCTACCTAAAATGGTTTGAGAATTATCTCCATATTTAAAAGACGATCACATCTCGCCTCTCTATGATGGCAGGCTTTCGCAGTCACCTTAACCTTTGACCATTTGGAACAGTAAAACATTTTCTAACATGCATCCAACTTCGTCACCCCTCCCAACTCTGCTCACGAGACAAATCAAGTTGAAATTATTGGACCACATGCCTCTGGCTTATTAGCAGTAAGGATGTAAAAGATCCATCTACAGTGCAACTAGCATCTTATTCATTTTCTTTGTCAACATCCTTTTTGTGTCAGGTTTCAATGCGTAAACAGGAGATCGAAGACCGCCTGAATGCTTGGATCATCTTCAAAGAGAAGAACAAGGAGCTGTGTGAGTGGCTGGCGCAGATGGAGAACAAGGTGGCGCACAACTCCGACCTCAACATCGAGGAGATGGTGGAGAAACTCAAGAAGGTAGGAAGCTGAAGCGTAGACACAATCCCATTCAACAGTGTTTATGTGATACAACAGATAACCACTAGTTACAGTGGACTGAAGACAGTGGTGAACCGTGGCTATCACAACTGGACCTTCTGTAGACACACCCACCCGCCGCCGCCGCCCCCCCCTCCCTCTCCCCCCGCTGCATTATAATGTCCGTCTTTTCACTGAATTGTCGTCTTGAAAAGGGTACTCACAACAATTCCGCAACAACTTCAACTTCACCTGTTGCATATTTCAACGTTAAAAACAATAAAACGGCATGAATTGCTTCGTCGCATTCATCTAGATCCTCTGTCTCGAGCCAGTTAACTAGCGGGCCTTCTAGAATACCCTGGAACCGAGGGGAACTCTGAAAGAATACGCCCATTGGCTACAAATCAATATATGATTGGTTGATCAAACTGTCAGTCCAAACGCTCTCATTCAGTGCAACGGCCAGGGCATTCGATCAAGGATGTAGAATACCTTGGTTGAAGGATATTCTACCCAGAGACCCAGAACAAGATCTGATTGGTTGCTTTCTTTTCTAACACAAAACCACTGAAATGCGTAGAGCATGGTCCGAGAAGGACAAACAAATCAACGTAACACTGTAATATTACAGATCAACAACACAGATACGATTCTCATTTATTCATTTTATATACATTTTATTTATATAATTAAATCGATTTTTTGTTTGTTTTATCTGAGTGTTCCAGGGTATTCTCTGAATACCTTGAAGGCCCTGACGGTTCGCCACTGACTGAAGATGGGATTACTGTCACATGTTTTGATGGCTGTAAATTCATCATCCATGAAAGCTGATGATTCAAGTTTATTGTGTGAATGGATTGGTCCAAACAAGAAAGAGACGTACCTTCAATCTGACTTTGAGTGAATATTTAAGAAAATAACTTTTGGGTCCAATATATCTGTGGTTTTTGTCATTACGATGACTTTAAAACCTGTCCAATCCAGATTTATAGTTTGTATATCCGTGCAAAATTTGACCTTATTTATTACGTATAAGTAATACTTTCTGTCAAGTTCTCAACAAATGTTAACCATTTTGTGGGTGATGAGAGCGTCATATCGCTCTTTAATTGTAAAAAGTTGTCGGCAAAACACCTTTTTGGAGAAACAAGATACATTTGCAGTGGAGCAGTTTGGTTTTGTTTTATTTCGCTGTGTCACGCCTGCTCACTGGGCGGAGCAGGGTCTGGGCTTTTCCAAAAGCTGTGTATTCCCTCCTGATTGTTAAAGAGACGACAGCTGTTTGAGCCCCAGCAGGGCCACGCGGGTGTGTTTTGTGTCCAGTTCACGGCCCCTTTCATTTGTCACGGTGTGGGGAGGTGACGAGGGGGGGGTGTGGAGGGTAGTTGAGGCAACTGCTGTTATAGAAACCCAAACTTATTGCCCTGCCAGGGGGTTCAAACCTTTTCAGGACAGGTACTTTACATTTAGTGTCTTATCCACGCACACAGAGTCCCAGCGGGAGTTGTTACTTCCTGGCACACTTCCAAAAATTCGTTTTTTCTAGCGACGAGTAAATCAAGTTCAATTCAAGTTTAAGGTCTCTTTCAGGAGTATAGAGCTTACCCACTTTCTAGGCTTTCAGGAATGTTAATGCACTATATTTCTGGTTGAAAATATAGTAAGTTGACTCAAAATTATTAATGAAAAGTGGGTTTTCTAAGTAAACAAATTTTTCAAAGAACATGAACCTTTTTCTTTTTTAATGATTTCTTTGAAATCTTCTTTGTATCCTTACCTTAGCCAGTATGAAGTTCTAACGCTGTCCTTAAAGTCAGACTTCTAGCAATTAGAATAAATCAATTCCTTAAATCATGCAGACAAGTTATTAAATGTGTAGTACTCGTAATTACTGTGGTTTGAATTGTAGATCTATAAGTACTTATTTCGTTTTTTTTCTCTTGTGTTTCTCCATTAGGACTGCATGGAAGAGATCAACCTGTTCAGTGACAATAAGACTCATTTGAAGCAGCTCGGAGAACAACTCATTACAGCCAGCAACAAGACGAAAGAGACAGAAGTCAACGACAAGCTGAAGGACATCAACGACCGCTGGCAGCATCTGTTCGACCACATAGAGGCCAGGTAGGAACAGCTTTCCATGTCTAGTCTCGTGTTTATGTTATTGGTTTCTCCTCTGAGAACAGGAGCAGAGCACAGCTGTTTATTCACTGAGGCTGCAGATTTAAACAGAAAAGCTGCGAGCCGACAGAGGATAGAGTGATATTATTAATCCATAAATCTCATTCCGCTACAGAGCGCAGTGTTGTGGCTGAAATGTACAGCTTAGTGTCTCCTTACTGACTGGTAGAAGTACAATGTGAACACAAGCAGTTTGAGTGAGAGGAACACATTGGCTGATCTACTGTGGTGGGGTCAGTTAGTTGATTGATGGTGGTCAAATCCTGCTTCTGGCTGCATATCACATGACAGTTAGTATGTTACTACACACATAGGAAATACACACATGAACACAACCAGGACCTATACACCATCATTAGCGGAGAGGTGTCAGTGTGAAGTGGCTGCCAGTTTGGGGTTTGGTGCCTTGTTATTGGGAACTGCCACGGAGGTAAACTAGCACCTCTTAAGTCTGTATTTGGTCCAATCAGGTCTTTAACCAGCGAGCCAAGGTTCCCAAGCCAAGTCCCTACACACTACTTTCTGTTCTTCAAGAATCTGGCCATTCATTGCGTAAAACAGGTGTGATTTTGTATTGATGGGTTTGAAAAGTTATCAATATTGCCGTTTGGATCATGGCTGTATTTTACCAGTGACAGATGGCAGGAAACAAGCTTGGTCCATCAATAGTAATGCTCCACATTTGGACTTTTAATACTTGGCTTCCACTTTTAACTGATGCTATATTAGGAATGTTTTTTAGTTTAAAGTGCACTCTATATTATATCTGTATAATAAGGTGTTCTCACTGCTTGGCTGGTAGTTGATGAAAGAGATTTGTTTTAAATATCACACATTAGCTGCTGGGTTTTCTGGACCTTTCCCGTCCTTTTTAAGTAACTTAGCTTCCTCCTCATCAAACAGTACAGATATTATTATTGCTGTGTCCTCGCTGTGCAGCAGAATGGACGCAGAGTGTTAGAGTGCACCACAATTATCCCCACATCTCTGGCAAAAACAGGACAGACAGGGAGTTTAATCAGAATTCTCTCCAGATAATTGCCTGTAATGGGACTATAAAATGATAGATGGAAAGTTTATAAACTCCACATTAAATCAGAGAAAATTGAACTTAATAGAGCTGAGCAACAGTGAAGCCAGATGGGTTAAACCAGCCAGGGTGTGTGGGGGGTGGAGCTGACTGATCCTCCATGGGAATGAGTGACTTAGATCTGCCATATGGTGGCTGATTAGTGACCAGTTAGTGTCTCTCTTCAGGCTCTTCTTTAACCCACATTTAGCATTTAAAGTTCCCCCAAATAAATGTTTTCAGACTTTGAATCTCTCATTGGTTTCAATGATAAGTTAAAGGTGGGGTTGGTAAGAATGGAGAAACCAGCTCGAGTGCGCTAGAATTAAAAAGTTCGCAGCTGAAAAAAATCTGTCCCTTCCTTCAGACTTCCTTACAGAGCCCCTCCTCCAACACACACGAACGCGCACATGACCAATGAGGGCACGAGATAAGTTTGTGCACAGATGGAAGGCTGACAGGCAGGTAGGCCATCCAGTTACTTTAGCTGGGCCGGCTAAAATAACTGGTCGTGCTTTTTACAGTACTACGGCTTCCACAGATGAATTTTTTTAATGTATTTATTGTCAAAGCATTTAATGTATTCATTGCTATCGGGAGGTTAAGAGCATTCCATGGAATATAACAAAAAGTGTTTCTGAAGTGAATTGTTTGTTTGTTTGTAGCCTTTATTTAACCAGGTGAAAGCCCCTTGAGATCAAAAGATCTCTTTTTCAAGGGTGACCTGCAGATTGCAGACTGCAATTACCTACCCTACCTTTAACCCAGATATTTTACATTTAACACTTACACATATATAGAGACAGGCTCCTACGAGCTTAAAACATATGGGCATGTCTGTGTTGAGAGTTTAAGAATATTACTATTGGAGAGTTATTTCCCACTGTATAGAAGTGCATGATGAAGCAGATAAAGCCCCAGTTTCTTAGCCAAACAAAAATAGAGATTTCCTGATTCTCTTTTTTTACTATCATACATATGTGAATATCTTTGTATTTTGGACTGAAAAAAGTACGACACCACTTTGGGCTTTGAGAAACTGATTTGGACATTTTCAATATTGTTTATAAAATATTAATGTGGTTGGAAACATTAAAACTGAGAGCTAAATATAACTTCAAAATATCCACTTACTTTAGATATGCCTACGACTAGTCACCAGGATCTCTAGTCAAAAATGAAAATGGACCAAGTGAGTTTTTATCATGATCATCAGGTTATTAGCACAGAGAAGTGCCCTCCATCTGAAACAATAGATGGGGGACCTGGAGCCCCCCCCCCCCCCCCCCCCCCAATCATCATCATAACGGGGCTAAGCCTGTTAATGAGCTGCTGCTGAGGCACGAGCCTTGTGTCTGTGATGGAATGTGCAGCAGTCACCCTGTGATTCAGATTTGATTATACCCACAGTCACGCTAAATACCAGCTTCTGTCAGTGCTCAGTTCATCACAAAGGTCAGGGCTCTGCACACTGTTTGTGAAAAACATTTCTTTATGGAGCATGCTTTGTGCTTGGGCCATTGTCATGTTGAATCAGGAGAGGACATTACCCAAAATGTTGACACAGTTGCAGGAACACTGGAATAAAATATCATCTGCATGCTCTTACAGAGGTCCAAACCAGGAAACAGCTTGCATATCACACATTGAATAGCGCTTTACTGAGTTTATTTGGCATTAATCATAATATAGCTAGAGAGCCAAAACTAATAGTGGGATTTGAGGCTCAGGATCTGCAGTACACTGGAGGGGGTGAAGAGCCTTTAAGCTGATAAACGTGGGGAGTCTTTACAAGCGGCTTAACAGAACTGGGGAAACATTTATCTTTTGTATGTTGTTCCCTCAAAACCATTGGAGCAATATGGGGGGGGATGACATTTGTGTTTAGTGTTTTCCCCAAGCCCAGCTATTGATTAATGATGAGCAACTAAAGACAGGACTAAAAGTAACTTTGTAGCTCAGTGGGCTCCAGCCCCCATTAAACCACAGTATTTTAATCCACCCGTACCCTGCATGCTCAAAGAGGACACCCCCAGACTCTCTGAGTTAAAATAATATATATGCTGCAAGAAGCTGGTTAGAATAAATGTGTGGCACTTTGATTTTCGTGGTCTGATTCATAGTTAGTATTAAAGGGGCCCTATTATGCTTTTTTGGGTTCTCCCTTTCCTTTAGTGTGTACTACTTCGGCAACATCATTACATCATTATGTAACACTCACGCTCCTATTAGCTTACGCTCCAACACACTGTATGTGTTAAGGGGTGGGACATCTCCAATCAGAGCAGACTGGGCTCTGGTTTCGGACAGAGGGTGAAAAGAGGTGCTGCAGCACAGGCAGTATGAGAAAAATAAAGAGCTTTTTGAACATTAAAGCATGGAGACACACAATACAAATATGGACCTGAAAATATTCATAATATATCCTCTTTAATCCCTACTCCATTTCACTATTTTCTTTCCATTATCATCTTCTTCTACATTACATGAAGAGTTTACTTCAAAGCCATGAAGTGTTTTCATTGGTCGGTCCATTGCCAGAGTCCTGAGTCACGCGTTTCGATAAGCCCTGGTGGAGTAGAAGAGCTGTTTCAGAGCGGGTGACGAGCGTCCCTCAGCCTTTTGTCTGCGCCTCGCCTCAACAAGTAACGGCAGAAGCCTGCTGAGGTTTGACTTGCACAGGGATTAGATGCGTTGACACTGGCCCAATGCTCGCTTTTGTCCCCCAAAACAAACCGGGTGCTCCGTCACCCGCACCAGCAGCTGCCGTCTGCTGACACGAGCCTTTGTGATGACGGGCCCTCAGCCTCGGGGGCCACCATCCTCTCTCCTCATTGTCTGAATAAGACGCTTGCGAGGCAGATGTTTGTTTTTAAAAGTCTGTCTCCCTACCTCCTCCTCCATTTCTGTCTCCATCTCCCTCACAGCTGGTACAGCAAATCCACTTCTTTCAGTGTACCACAGCCTGTTTTTGTTTCTAAATTGCAGATTTTGAGTCGTAAATTGCAAGTGGCGCTTTTACCGATTATTTAGTGTCATGTTGTTTGGCAGTTTAATGCTGACATTGTTCACACACTGCTCTTTTTCAACTATGCTCTCTCTTTTTTGAAGTGGTTGTAGATCTGGTTGTCATGGTAAAAAGAGCGCACTCCTCTTGTTGTTGACTTGGCTCGATTCACACAGTGATTTGTTAAGCTTGAACAAGGGATTGTGGGTAAGGATGTAGTTGCCTATGAATTAATGTTTTCTGTGTGTTTAGCAAAGAAGGTAAAGTATAGGTGTGGGGGGGTTTGTTAAAGAAGAGGAAATAGAGATATAAGAAATTAGATGACATGACTGACCGACACTGGCTATGAGGACAACATTACATTTACACATTACATTACATGTCATTTGTTAGACGCTTTTATCCAAAGCGACTTACACACATTCAGTACTGTGGACAATCCCCACAGGAGCAATTTGGGGTGAAGTGTCTTGCGCAGGGACACAACGACATGCTGACTGCAGTGGGACTTGCTACCCCCTGATTCGAAGTCCAGCACACTATCCACTGAGCCACAGCTGCCTCGAATATGAATATGAATTGAACACTGGCAAAGTAATATTAATAGGTTGAATTCACAAAGAGGTTCTCCTTAAACTGGTTTTCGATCAAAGAGAACACATTCAATTCAACCAATGAAGAAACACTTTGACTGGATTGTGCTTCAAATATTACATCCAGACTAGCAGCAGTTAAATGAATAAACGAATAGACTGCAGAACTTTGTACACTAAGCTCGTGGGAAGTTAAGCAATAAATCAGACTGTACAATATATGATTGTGTTGACATTATGAAATATGCATCTCCATTAAATATATTAGGTTATTCACTGAGGTGCGTTGGCGAGTGTCCGTTGGGCTCACATTGGTCATTTATCAGGGATTCAATATGAGAGAAAACACTTCTTGATATGATTACTTTTCAACTCGTTGCTGTTTTGTTAGGCGTGCGAATCTCCGTCTGTCGCACCAGGTGCAGAATTACATTACAATCATTGTAGCTCCTGTCTTAAAACAGCCATTACAGTGACAGATAGATGAAGACTAGAATGTAATACATTTCAAGTGAGAAAAGAACTTTAGATGAATGTGTTTTTGTTTGTTTTATGTGTGTGTTCTTCCTTACTTTCTCCACCTGTTGTGACCTTAACCATTCTGTCCTGTAATATAAATCTTGCTTTGCATAATCGCTCTTAATAACACTGGACCGCAGGCTGGTTGATTGAAAATGGCAGGAGGCAGATGGAGGTTTTTCTCTCTGAGGTTTCCCGCTGAGTCAACAGATTCTGCCCTGTTAGCTGTATCCACTAACAGTAACAGCGATGGACAGCTGCACCTGTCATCTGCTCAGGACCTGCAGACTGACTTGAATGTGCTTCTGCTTCTGGTGCAGCACTGTTTAATGGGATATTATAGCCATACAGATGGTTTGTTTCCAGCGTAAATATGTACGTTTCTACTCCAAGGTGCCACGGTGACAGTCTTTGGTCCTGCTATGTTGTCCAAACACAAAGAGACACTTCTCCTATCTCTCAAACATCAGATTGTTGCATTAACAAGTGTTGGAGTGCATTTTGTAGCACCTTTATTACATTGTAAATACTGATAGAGGATATACTGTACAGAGATCTGACTGTAGTTAAACCGGTTATATAGATCAAATAAAACACCCTAAAGCAGTGTTAGTGAAATCACCCCTCAATAGATACTTTTTATATACATGACATTTATCATGCATCACGCATTTAAAGACTCAGATTACATGACTGGAGAAACAAAAGATAAATATGTATAGGCTTTTAAAAGACAGAGGGGGGGAAAGAGTGAGAATGATGAAGCTGAACAGAAAAGTAATTTTCGTATTACCTTATTTATTTATTTTCTATCAAAAGGCTTAAGTTTGTGTGCAGCTTTTGAAATATGAGGATTTCTCTGTATTATTTAATACAATTCCCAGATTTTAGAATGTTGTTCAGCCTTTTTTGAAAACATGTTCTGAGGTATTAAATAATACAATCATCATAAAATGAGTCAACACATGAATTGATAGCGAAAACTGTCGTTGTAGTCAGTTAGATATTTTCCAAAGGATATCCTGATGCTGTGTATCCTTGGATGAACCTGCATCCAGATGTGTGGAGAGAGGAGGAGGAGACAAGCAGACTGCAGAGGAGGGAGGGATGGAGGAGGGTAGTGTTTGCTAGCGGATGAGCCACCGCCATGGAGTAGCCTCCTTACCAGCTCGTAAGTACCTTTCTTCCTCATCACCGACGCAAATGAGGCTGAGGCCGGTGAAAGAGAGCACATCGGGTTTTTTGTTAGGAGGAGGAGGAGGAGGAGGAGGAGGAGGAGGAGGAGGAGGAGGAGGAGGAGGAGGAGGACATGGAGAGTAGGAGGGAGGGAGGGGGGATGGGCTGGGCGTTGTGGGTGCAGGCATGTCGACCGGCAGGCGCATGCAGAGTCATTCAGAGGAAATGTTATTGAGGTAGCCGGCTCCATGTGTGTGTGTGTGTGTGTGGTGTGTGTGTGTGTGTGTGTGTGTGTGTGTGTGTGTGTGTGTGGTGTGTGTGTGTGTGTGTGTGTGTGTGTGTGTGTGTGTGAGGTGTGTGTGTGTGTGTGTGTGTGTGTGTGTGTGTGTGTGTGTGTGTGTGTGTGTGTGTGTGTGTGTGTGTGTGTGTGTGTGTGTGTGTGTGTGTGTGTGTGTGTGTGGTGTGTGTGTGTGTGTGTGTGTGTGTGTGTGTGTGTGTGTGTGTGTGTGTGTGTGTGTGTGTGTGTGTGTGTGTGTGTGTGTGTGTGTGTGTGCGGTGTGTGTGTGTGTCCGTACCTCCATTCACTGCCACGTCGTCATACCCTGTAGAGACATGCAACCCTGAGCATGCACACCAACACGTCATGCAGAAGCTGCAGCATCCAGAAATAGAGCAGGAACATCCTCCATACAGTGTCTGTCATTGCAGCGTCAGCATCTTTCATTGTGCGTCTCATCATGGGAATCACAAACCGTTTTCACAGTTTGGCTTCAGTGACGGTTGGCTGCATGTTGCTGGTTGATTACATCATAGGCTGTGCTTCTTTGAATGAACACTAGACATGATATATGAAAAATGCACAAACCGATATGAACTTATTCATTGTACTGTAATGTCAAGAAAACATAAGCATTCGGCCGTGAAAATATTGCGATGTGTTTGTTCAAGGCATGTTCTTTTGCAAAACCTGCTTCCCCATGTAATGAGATATACGTTAGAGTCTCGTTTTTTTGTTCACGTTTTTTCTGAATATCTGATAAACTATAGAGGGACATGCATAAAAGTCTCACAAAATATCCTTGAAAACGAATCTATAATATGAAAGAAATTGAACAAGATTATAAAAGAGTTGGTTTGTAGAAAGTCAAAACAATGAACTTAAACGTATTGAAAACCTATTGACTTGCGTGATTCTTGTTTTTGAGTTTGTATTTTCACGTTTTATTGCACTTTCTTCACATAGAAGCATTGGCTAAATGAAATGTAATGGATTGTAATTGAAGGTTGAATTTAGGGGTATTAAGGTGTACCGCAGCCAGTGAATGTCATTCCTCTGCATTGTGTTAGTTGGTGTTCTGATGTGGGTCACTGACGTGGAGCTGAGCTGGAATGTGCCGCTCAGTCAGATGTAGGTCAGTGTGCAACTCTGCTATCATGGCTCCTGTTGTGTCATACGTGAGACACACTCAGCTGCCTCAGTGTAGAGCCGAGCGCAGTGCCAACAATACCCAGGGTGACGGCCGTGAATCCCACTGTGGACCAACGCTCAAGGTCTCTGCTCTGTGAAGTAAGGTTGTCTTCACGCTGCATCTCAAAGTGTCGCAACTCTGATTCTCCTCCTCATATGAGACATGCAGCACCTCTGATGTGTTTTTAAAAGTCGTTGTGCAACAGTGGAGATAGCTCAGAGGAATAAGATATATTTTCATCCCTTAGTGGTTTTATGGAAATTGTAAACAATATAAAAAAGTAGAATCATCCCTATTGAGTCAAGGGGCCATTTCATTGGTTAATCGCAGGTACGTTAAAGAAAATATGCAAACACTTGTGAAATTAGAGATAAAGAAATGTTAATATAATAACAATAATAATAATTTAGTGCGAGTAATAACACCTCAGGAGGATGTTTGTGTGATTTACTTTAGTGACTCTTTGATAGAAACACAAATATTGAGATTAGAGTTTTCATAATAATTCTTGACATTAAGAAGAATGTAGAATAACCTCTGTCAATGTAGAGACTGTGCAGTCAATCTGAGAAGAAGTGCACACTTTGCTGAAAAGTGGGGGGATTAATCCATGGAAACATTTAAAAAATATTTGGTGCTAGAGAACTCAAGAAAATGTTTGCACAATATTGGGATCACGTGTACCATGTTTGTGTTGTACGGTACTTCTTAAATTAGGTTTGTACAAAAGTAGAACAGGTTTCTTGATCTCTGACCAGCAAATCTCCAGTGACACCTTCTTAAACATGATACTTTTCTCTCTGCAGAGTGGGAAAGCTGAAGGAGACGCTGGTGACGGTGCAGCAGCTGGATAAGAACATGAGCAATCTGCGGACATGGCTGTCTCGCATGGAGGCGGAGCTCGCCAAACCCGTGGTGTACGACGTGTGCCACAGCGAAGAGATCCAGAGGAAACTGGCTGAGCAGCAGGTGGGAGCAATGATCCTTGTTTAAATAAGCAGCATAACTCCATCCTGGAAGTCGAACTTAAAGGTCTCCTATCATGCAAAATGCACTTTTCGATGTCTTTTATACATAAATATGTGTCCCTGGTGTGTCAGGGAACTCACAAAGTGTCAGAAATAAAACCCTCTCTCTTTTCCTCCGTACCCAAATCTCTAAAAACGGGGCTACAACGGAGCTGATCCAGATTTGCGTCCCAATTGACGTAATATCGGCAATGCAGACCCACAGCACTATCAGAAACAATGCCTGACGTGTTTTGGACGTAATATGGTCGGTGTTTACATTAGCAAGCATCGCTAACACTCAGAGCTAACCTGTGTTTGGAAAGAGTGTAAAAAAGCAGGAAAAAAGGAACTCACTTTGTGGTAAACCCGCAAGAGAAAAAGCATTTGAGCTCCATACTGTTTCAGAAATAATCCTTAATGTGGTTTTGAACATGATATGGCGTTTAATCACGGCAGCATTGAGCTGTATCTGGGTAGAGTTCTCCTGATCAGATACTCAGCATATGCTTTTTTTTTCAAGCTAAGGACCTGCAGTTCTCTAACAGGGCTGAAATAGAGAGATATGAGGGATTTCTGAAATGCATGATCTGTTTGGTATTTTGAGCAAAGGCAAGGCAAGTTATTTATATAGCACTTATCTGTACGCGACAATTCAAAAAACAAATTAAAATACTTTTTAGGAATAAATACAGTAAAAACACATTATATAATGCCATTTTACAACAGGCATTACAAAGCGAAGATAATAAAATAATAAAACTAAATACCACAGGTATACAATACATGTTTAAAAGGCATACTGTAGTTTGAATATGAGCAGCTCAATTAAAAGCAGCGGCAAAGAGATATGTTTTTAGTCTCGATTTAAAAATAGTAAGCGTTTCTGCGGACGTGCATGATTTGGGCAGTTTGTTCCAGAGTGTCGGCATAACAGCTAAATGCTGCCTCTCCATGTTTTGTTGTTACTCTCGGAACCGATAGCAGACCCGTCCCAGAAGACCTGAGGCACCTTGATGGCTCGTAATTATGCAGGAGTTCAACAATATACTTTGGTCCTAAACCATGTAATGATTTAAAAACTAGCAATAGTACTTTAAAATCAATTATTTGGCCGACTGGAAGCCAATGTAGAGATTTCAGAACCGGACTGATGTGATCCACTCTTTTAATGTTAGTGAGGACACGTGCAGCAGCGTTCTGAATCAGCTGCAGTTTTCTGATGCATTTTTTTGTCAGCCCTGTGAAGACACTATTGCAGTAGTCGAGTCTACTAAAGATAAAAGCATGGACAAGCTTTTCTAAGTCCTGTTGTGACATTAGTTTTTTAATCCTCGATATGTTCTTCAGGTGATAGTATGCAGACCTAATGACCATTGTAATGTGGCTGTTGAAATTCAGGTCTGAGTCCATCACTACACCTAGATGTCTAGCTAGCAAAACACATCATAGACATGTTTTTATATTTTTTATATATATCTGAGACCCATAATATATATGCCTAAAAATAGCATGATAGTAGATCTTTAAGTTTGAATCATCTTTGGTCAATGAAAAAGTGAGGCTTTCTTCAGTTTAGCATCTAAATCATGAAGGCCAAAGCTGGAGCTGTGTTCCTGCTTCTAGAGCCGCTCACCAAACCACACACGCCAAAAGCGGAAAGCTCAAGGAATCAAGGTCAAATAATGTAATCATGGTTCTACGTGGAAGAACAACTAACATTTTCACCAAAAGAAGCTTCCAAATTGTTATCCGGAGCGGGGAAAAATGTGGACTTTGCACCTCTAAAGAGTTTGGACATCTTTCAGGTAAAAATGAAAAAAGCTTTCTAATGGCTCCACTTTGAAGGAAGACACAGTGGGGCACTTTGAGGGGATTTAAAGACAGGAAGTACTTTACTCACTCTACTGATGCACGCATGCTTCTAAACCCTTTGTGTTATGGCCATCCTGTAGTGGTTTACAGCGTAATCACAGAAAAGTAGCAAAGGTGTGCTTCAAAGTAACATCTCAGCGAGCTGCAGGGTGACGGATATTTGTCAAGAGAAGCTGACACACTGAGACGGTAAATGCTCTGAGAGCCCGACCTCAGCCAGCGGCCTGCAGATACGACATATAATTGAGTGTGTCACTCCTGTTGCAGCCTGCTGTACTCCTGCTTTACTGAAAGGAGAATTATTAATGGTTGGAGAGGCAAAAGGAAGGATGAGATCCACAGAGATAGATCCATACAGGAAGAGAGAGTAGGCGTTCTACTTCACTGCCTTCACTTGGCACCTGAAAGTGTGTGTTTGGTGGACAACAAAAAAAAGAAGTTTAGCAATCTGATGTGTTTTAATAAACTCCTGTTAATTAAACGGCATTAACATCGGGTTCTACACACAAAAAGCTCATTTTCCTCACAAAAACTCATCTTGTCTCCCCTGTAGCTTCTCTCATACCTCACTGCACCCCTTACTGTGATCCAGACACTGGTTTATTTAACTCTCAAACCCCACAGACACTCAAAATGTTCTAAACTTTTAAACTGCTCAGCTCTGTCGAAAACATGTCAGGCAGGGTCTTTAAAGCCATTTTCCGGTTTGTAAAAAGCTACTGACGTTTATAAAATGGCCAATTCTGCCAAGATCCTGCTGGTACTGCCAAAACCTTCAGGTTGGATTAGTTTTCTTTTTTCTTTTAGTTTTATGATGGAGTTTGTGGTTAAAGCGCAGATATTTGCAAGGAGGTGAGTGACAGAAGAATATTTAAGTCTTTAATTTGGACAGGGCTATATCTGAGGAAAGAGTAGCTGTCTGCAGAAAGAAAGAGAGGTAAAGCATAAGACATAAGAAAACACAAGTGGAATTGGTAGAGTGAAGAAGAACTACAGTTCGGGCCGGCATTAGTGGAAGAAGGCCAGCTGAAATAACGCCCTTGTGGACGGGCTCTTCAAGCTTTCATGTGTCACCATGGAAACCCAGAGAGCGGTCATTTTGTACAAACAAGAGCTGACAAAAGTGCTGTCAAGCTTCTGAGCGAGATACACGTAAAAAAAAAATCACAATCTGTTGTCGAAGAACTTAATAATAATTGATCTGGATTACTCTGTGGCTGACAGAAAACCATCAATACAATACGGGTTATTGTTCATCCATAAGAAAAAGCTTTTAACATATCTAACTATTAAATAGTTTAGTTTAGTTTTCAGGCCAGTTGAGGCAAATGAGTGATTTGTGATATTGCGATGTAAAAATAGAATGTTAATGTCGTAAGGCAAAGTAGCATCTCAACCATAAAGTAACAAGTCTTTCCAGTGATCACTCAGCAACTGTTTGTCTATTCTCTAGTTTCCTATTTAAATAAATCCAACAGATTACATTTCAAATCTTCACACAGTAGTTTTTGGACTCATGTGTTGCCTTTATGTGCTGGTGGAAGTATCCAACATCTGGGACCAGGTTGTTTTTGTTTATTTTGACAGAGAAGCATCAATAAAAAATAGGTTAATGATTATTAAGTCTAGTTTTCTCCTGTTCTGACTGCTGCTTATGGGAATGCTTTGAAGAATATCCACTTTTCAAAAGTGTTTACTTCTGTTGCATTCAGGAACAAAAGCTTGTCTAAACTATTTGTGGTTTATTTGGACAGCTGGAATATTTGTTTTAGCTCAAACTCATTAGGAACATAACATGTTAAAATGTAAGTGTATGTACATTTCTTGATGGTTTACACACGGTGCTGTTTGCCTGCAGGAGCTGCAGTGGGACATCGAGCAGCACACAGAGAGCGTGGCGTCGGTGCTGACGCTCTGTGACGTCCTGCTGCACGACGCCGACGCCTGCGGCAGCGACGCGGAGAACGACTCCATCCAGCAGACCACGCGCAGCCTGGACCGGCGCTGGAGGAACATCTGCGCCACGTCCATGGAGAGGAGGATGAGGTGAGCGGGCCGACAACTGAGCCACAAAATGATCAGAAATCTCCCCCGTGAAGTCTTTATTATGTCAGGGTGGGTCATTACACCTGAGGGCAGGGTTAACTCAATTCCATCACCCTCTAACAAAAAGTCAAGTTTTTTTGAAAATATTTTTTTAATTCTTTTTTACATTTTTTTCTTAAATATATGAATTTGTTTTAGGTATGGACAATATAAGTCAATCAATAAAAAGGAAAAAATAAAATAAGTTATCAGTCAGTTTTCATACAGTATGCATGTTTATAAAAAAGAACAGAGATTTATTTATTTGATTACCTGTCTCAGTTGCTCGGGTTTTATCAGTTGACCTTCCACATACACAACGCACATTGAAATGATCCATCTGTTGTCTCCAGAATCGAGGAGACCTGGCGTCTCTGGTGTAAGTTCCTGGACGACTTCTGTCGCTTTGAGGACTGGCTGAAGAGCGCTGAGATCACTGCGGCCAGCCCGGACTCTGCCAACGTGCTCTACACCAGCGCCAAGGAGGAGCTCAAGAAGTTTGAGGTGAGAGGAAACATCTCTTTTTAGTTGTTTTGATTTCTGTAAGCAGTCTTTCACTTTGGCAGAATAGTGGAAAGTGTGGGGTAAAAAGAAAGTCTGAGAAGAGGTCTTAAACCCCACAAGACTTAAAAGAAGGAGGTGTCTTTGTTCCCATTGGGTAGATTTCTAACACTCTTATGTTATGAACTACATCCCGCTTTGCAGTGTGAGTGAAGTTTCAGCTTCAGGTGTCTTGTTGCTATAAAACAGAAATAACTTCTGATTTGCCGGTATGGATTATAAACACAGGTGTTGATATTGTTGTTAACTAAACACATTTCATCCTGTGGACGACCAGTGACCTATTGACTGACCACCCGAGACATGTGATGGGAGCTATGGGAGAGTAAGGGTCAGAATCAGCAGTGGGATGTAGATTCAATTCCATGAAGTGACACGAAAAGGTTATCAATCCTCCTGAGCAGCTGGAAGTGGAGGCAGTTTCAGGGTTATAAACTTTAATCTAATATATGAAAGAAAAAAAATGATGTGTGTTTGGTTTTTGAGGTATCTTTGTAAATCCAACCGTTAATAATTCAAGTTCCAATTAAACCATTCTTTTATATGGTATTACAGTTAAAGTGTTTTGGAAGTAAGTGCCTTTTTAATAAAGAAATCTGGCATAAAACAAGAAAAGGGAATTTAAGTGGAATTTGGTGAAAAAAAGGGGAACACCTTAAATTTAAAATTCCTAGGAAATGTTGATCTTTGGTAACACATCAAACTTAAAGTAATCCTGTCTTCTAAAAAAACATTAGCAGGTCCTTTATATTGACTCGTAAGTTGTTTCTGTTGTCCTGTCAGGCGTTCCAGCGGCAGGTCCACGAGCGTCTAACTCAGCTGGAGCTGGTCAACAAACAGTACCGCCGTCTGGCCCGGGAGAACCGCACCGACGCCGCCAGCAAACTCAAGCTCCTCGTCCAGGAGGGGAACCAGAGGTGGGACAGCCTGCAGAAGAGGGTGGTTTCCGTTCTCCGCAGACTCAAGGTGAGACGGGGGGGGTTCAGGAGAGGATCTTTTCTTTACAATAAAGACCTCAGATCTCATTTACGCAGACAATTTAAAGCTTCCTTAAACAGCAGCAAGAGGTCGATGATTTTGAACTCAAAGTAACTGCATGCGTGAAAATAAAACGAAATGAGCTGTGTAGGAAATACTGCTTTTCTTAAGTAGTAGTAGTAATACCAAAGTATAGAATTACTGTTACAAGTAAACCTCTTGAATTGTACTAAAGTATAAGCATCAAAATATACTAAAATGACCAAAACTAATACTTTAAAACACTTGAAACTTTTCAAGACTTTTTTTATACTGCCAGCTATCTTAATCAATAACAGTGCGTCATAAATTATTTGTAAATGTATGTGTCGTATTAATAAAAGGAACCTGCAAAGTAACTTAAGTTGACAAATACATGTAGTGTAGTGGAGTAAAAATAAAAATATGTAGTACCAGTATAAAGTAGCATATAAAAGAAAAAATTGAAGTACCTCATAATGTACTTAGCAGTACCTCATAATGTACTTAAGGGCAGTACTTGAGTAAATGTACGAGTCAGATAACGGTCAGAAAGCAGAGTGTATGGAGATGCAGCGGATCTGAGGGATAGCCCTGCTCTCCGCTCTAAGCCGGCAGGATTTAGGTCAGCTCTCCAACGGTGACGAGGCACCAGCGTCACGTTGCCAGGGAGACGTTTGCCTCACGACATGTGGAGCTGAGCAGATCAATATATTTATGTTGCTTTGAGTTAGGATGTTGTCAAAGAACTCAGCTGGTGTAGAAATCCACATCCTGGGAATTTGCAGCAGAGAGTCACCAGTGGTTTATATATTCCTATTGTTGTTGTTATTTGTATTTATACTGTAACTTAAATGTTTTCTTATTATCTTTGTGTGATCGGTCTTATCCCGGTATTCATTCTTATTGCTGTTGCTCCTCGGACACCTGCATTTCCCTACAGGGATTAATAAAAGGTTAATGTATCCTATGTTATATAGTCACAGTGGTTTATTCCCAGAATAGAGATGAATGAGAGAAGGCTGCTAAGATACCACCGCATTTAATTCAGACAAGAATGTTGCACAATATTATTATGTATCTTTTCAGGGATGTGTACATGAAAAACATGCAGTTCTAATGACATTTGAGCTCTGTTGGAGAGAATGAATGTTGTTTTATTAGACATCAGTGCTTGTAAGAGAATCATGGTTTCTTAACTCAAACTAATGTTGTTAACATGATATGCTCTGAACTAGTTCGAACCATCTTCTGCTCTGTGCTCCTGCAGCACTTCACCTCTCAGAGAGAGGACTTTGAGGGGACTCGGGAGGGGATCCTGGTCTGGCTCACAGAGATGGACCTGCAGCTCACCAACGTGGAACATTTCTCCGAGAGCGACGTCGAGGACAAGATGAGGCAACTCAACGTAAGTCTGCTCCTGCTGGCAGCTACACAAAGCACAGCGCCATCTTTTCTTTAACCCTGGCTTCCTTAATGACCAAATTGTCTTCTTCTCCCCTTTAATGTTCAGGGCTTCCAGCAGGAAATCACTCTGAACACCAACAAGATCGACGCTCTGATTGTGTTCGGGGAGAACCTGATCCAGAAGAGCGCCCCTCTGGACGCCGTGCTGATGGAGGACGAGCTGGAGGAGCTGCACTCGTACTGCCAGGAGGTGTTCGGCAGGGTGTCCCGCTTCCACCACCGCCTGGTGCACCGCCGCCCGGTCAGTGAGCACAGTCACAGTAGACTTTGATGCTCTTATTATTACAAATGATTACGTTTCAGGCTTTTCTTTATAGTAATTATAAGATGTTGTAAAGCAAAAGGAACGAATGATCCACAGAAAACAAATCAAAGAACATACTTATCAAATGTAAAACATATTCCTTATTATAAGGAAATGTTTTTTGTTTAATTGTGTTCTTACTGAGTAAGTGAGGGTTTCAATACTCTATTTTTCCAAAAAAAGTGCATAAAAAAAGAATATATATAAACAAATTATTGCATAAAAATATAAATAATAATAAAGAAATGAAAAAAGAAACACAGAAAATATATAAATTATAAAAACAAAATCATCATAGAGTATGAACTAAACTATGTAAGGCTAAAAATGTTTTATTTGTCAGTTTCACACATGGCTTGTCCAGAAGAGAGACTAAATATGTGTTACAGTGGTACATTTCACTTTTATTATTTTAAGTAAATGTCTATGGCTTTACCAATTAAACCTTTTATTTTGGAGTACTGCTCTTTTTGTTATTCATCCTACTTGAAATCATTCAATTGTCTGTCTAATCAAACATGGAGGACAATATGTATGTGTCTCTCATCAGGGATACGTCTAACCAGACTAAATCAGTTTTTGTTACTTACTTTTCCCTTCTTTAATATTTGGAAGTTCCTGGAGGAGGAGAGGGATCTATCAGACCTGGACGACTCCCCCGATCTGACCGGTGGGACGTCCTGGGAGGAGTCGAGGAAGAAGGAGGAGGAGGAGGATGTTCCAGCAGGAGGGGCAGCGGGACGGCAGGTCATGTGTCAGCTCCTCGCCCCCCCCCTGGAGCGGTCGGGCAGAGAGACGCCCGTCAGCGTGGACTCCATCCCGCTGGAGTGGGACCACACTGTGGACGTGGGAGGGTCTTCATCACATGAGGATGATGAGGAGGACACCACATACTTCAGCACCCTGTCAGGTAATAACTGCTGCTTATAGGCTAAACTTGTTTGTGTTGTGGTGTCATATGTGTATACTTTATTTTAATAATCTTTCACATTTTCCAATAGCTTGAAGAAATAATAAAACGTTATAAATAAATGTATAATATGAATAAAATCTGAAGAATAATTTCAGTTTCCCAAAATAAATAAATAAGGTAACAGCCTTGGATTAAATACGGTTAAACATTCAAACATTTCAAAGAACTGAGAGATTACTAGGAACAGTTTTTCTGAGAAAACCAAGTCCAAGATATATAGCGCTGTGAAGAAACCCTCAGTGCATTCTTGAGCACAGCAGAGCTCAAAACAGTCGCGGTGCCCAGAAACAGCTAAATGAACGGTTTCCTGTGATTGACGTTTCCAAGTTCCACTTATTTGCAAGATGGTTTCCAGACTGTAATGGAATTAAAGGAGACCAAAGAAAGTTAGAGAGTTTGAAGAATAACCAACACTTAAGCCGCAGGTCTTTTCTCCCGTTTCTCTCCCACACACTCCCCCCCCCCCTCTCCCCCCCCCTGCCCGAAACACCTCCATACTACTTCTGGCATCACTATGTCACACACGCTTCTATTGAGTAGTGCTCCAACACGTTGTACATGATAGGCTAAGGGGCGGGACATCTCTAAGTGGTTAGACAGAGGGTGAAAAGAGGTTCTGCAGCACAGGCAGTATGAGAAAAATAAAGAGCTTTTTGAACATGAAAGCATGGAGACATGTTCCAGTAGAGGCACTTAATACTAATATGAACCTGAAAATGATCAGAATGTCTTCAACCACACAGATGTTCTCTTCTCAACGTCTCAGCTGCTCTTATATATTTAGCCCCTTTCGCTCTCTGTTACAGATGTGCAGGTCACAAAGAGCTCAGAGTCTTTGGTTAAAGCGACTGTCAGAGCAGTGAACGCTGCCTCGGGTAGGCTCCGCCTCCTGCATGCCCCTGCTCTCTGTCTGCTTATGGACCCACATCAAGTTGCCCCCCCACATCCCCATTATTACACGTTGTTGCTGTGCAGAGCTACAGCTTCTCATAAATAGTTTCTCTTACCAAGATCAAATCTTGGTAAGAGAAAAAAGGAAACTTGATGTATTTTACTCTTCATTCCATTTGTTTTCCCATTTTATAATGCTGTGTATGCATGTATACCTGAGTCTTATGCATGTATTAGAAGACTGTGTGATGAATCCTTGTTACTCTGTTTTCTCTCTCTTTGGTTTTGCCCCTCCATACATTCCGTCATTAGTTTTCACTCTTCATTTACTGTCTTCTCCTCTTTCTCCGTAGGGAAGTCAGTGAGCGACCCCCCCAGCTGGCACCAGCCCGTCTCACCTGAAAGGAAACGAGTTCCCAGAGAAATGATCCGAGGCCTGAGCGCGTCTCCTTCACACACCTCCAGCACTCCCTTCCACCAGCAGGGCTACGTAAGGACACACACATTAAGATCCAAGCGCCATCATCTCAGGAACCTAGGTTTCATTTGTTTTGATCAGTGTTTTAAGTTGAAGTGTTTTGTGTGTGTGTGTGTGTGTGTGTGTGTGTGTGTGTGTGTGTGTGTGTGTGTGTGTGTGTGTGTGTGTGTGTGTGTGTGTGTGTGTGTGTGTGTGTGTGTGTGTGTGTGTGTGTGTGATGTGTGTGTGTGTGTGTGTGTGTGTGTGTGTGTGTGTGTGTGTGTGTGTGTGTGTGTGTGTGTGTGTGTGTGTGTGTGTGTGTGTGTGTGTGTGTGTGTGTGTGTGTGTGTGTGTGTGTGTGTGTGTGTGTGTGTGTGTGTGTGTGTGTGTGTGTGTGTGTGTGTGTGTGTGTGTGTGTGTTCAGGCTAAGCTGATGTCGGAGTGCAGCGGCAGCATCAACACGGTGAAGAGAGTGAAGCTGATCCTGAACGATGAAGAGGAGCCGGTGGATCAGGGTCTGACCGTCAGCACGGCCGACAAGCAGACCAGCACAGGTACAGAGATACACAACAGGGAGGGAGGTGTCACTCTGCTGGATTTCTTTCAGGGAAATGTCATTTTTTTGTGACTTGTGTTTTTTACCCCACTGGCACAAAATGTAAGAAAGTCCTGCAATTTAAACTTTCTACTTATTTTTCGACTTACCTTTTTGATTAAGCGATTATTATCCTAGACGTTTACAGGGTACTTGCTTATTCAACGAAGAGTCCGAAACTCAAAGATATGAATTGAAATGATATAAAATGAAGAAATTCAGCAAATCAGCACTTTTGGGAATAACAAATGAAAATGTTGTGTAGAGGCTGATTCTTTGTAATTGTCTAGTTTGTTTTGGTTTTTAAACAAATGCTTTATAAATGGTAATGATTGTGTTTGTTCATTTAGCTCGCAATAACAAACAGTTACATTATAAATTGTAGGAAAAACTCAAATGCTGATTCAGTAACACTAAATCTAGGGTGAAATTAATTCATATACAAAGTCATCCTGCTAATGCTTTAGGACCGCACTACAGTGAATAATAAGGCAGTGTTTTTACAGCAGTGTTAAGAGCGTGTCTCTCGTGTCTCTGCAGGTGTGATCGAGCGCTGGGAGCTGCTTCAGGTACAGAAGCTCAACAACGAGACGGACATCAAGCAGGACCTGGAGCAGTGGCAGAAGCTGAACTCTGACCTCTGTGATGTCACTTCCTGGTTGGGCCGGGTGCTGCCAGAGCTAGAGAGGCTGCAGAGGATCGCACCGGCCACCAGCATCCGAGACATTGAAGTGAACATCCGGAAACTAAAGGTAAAACACAGACAACACCGTATAATCGCATAAACCTTCTAAATGATGGAGGGTAAACACGTAATCATCTGTTCTGTCTTGTAGGAGATGCAGAAGTCCTTCAACAGCTGCAAGTGTCTGATGATCTCCACCAACCTGAGCAGCCGTCACTTCCTGTGTGGCGATAGCGCCGAGCTGCAGGAGCTGCAGGAAACCCTGAGCTCTGCCAACAGCAGCTGGCCTCAAGCCTGCAGCGGGCTGGAGAGCTGGGAGAGGAGGCTGCACGCTGCTCTCATGCAGTGTCAGGTCAGACATGGAGACACTCTTACATCAGAGAATACAGAATGTAAAGTAGTGTGGTTCAGGAAATGCTCCAATGAATGCACAGAAGGCAAGCACCTCCACCCCTCTGACTCCGCTCTTCTCCTGCAGGAGTTCCATGAGACGCTGCACTCCCTGCTGCTGTGGCTCGCTCAGGCGGAGAACACACTGAACGCTGTGAATGTCAGCGACACCTCGGCGCCACGCTCCGTCCTGCTGGAGCACCAGGACACCCTGACGGTGAGCAGAGAACCATCCTTTCATCAGCCCTGCCATGACATTTCTGCTTTACCTTGTTTAGCCCAAAATAACATTTCTAAACTGATTCCAAGATATTTGGATTTCAGTGAGTTGAGGGGACATTTGGAGTTCATGAGGATTTTTTTGCCACAGTTTTGTCTTTATTTTGGTAATATATAAGTTGGACTTGTTGCCTTGGTTATGTTGGAACTTACATTTTTAGATTTTCACCTGGAGTGTCACAAAGAAATCCTTTACTTGAAATACCGTTGCGCTACTAGATAATGAGACAAGAGAACATTACATTTACTTCTAATGAAAGGGTTTGTATTGGAAAATATAACCAATATTTCAACCTAACTTTAATCTGCTCGATACATTTGTTACAGTTCCCTCACTAGCTGATACACTCAATTAAAACAAGAAACACATGTGCACATGTACACTTTGTCATGATCTCACTATCCGATCCCCCCAGGCTCTGCAGGAGGAGCTGTGCGGCCGCCAGCGGCAGGTCTCCTCCCTGCAGGAGATCTCCTCTCAGCTGCTGCTGGAGGACAGCAGAGAGGACAGCGTGGAGGCCAAGGAGAAGGTCCACGTCATCGGGAACAAGCTGCAGCTGCTGCTCCGACAGGTGGCCGCTCACCTAAGCACGCTGCAGGGCACACTGGTGAGGCCTGCTGTTCATCTCACTCTGGTCTGACTGTGGGGGGGCTGTGATAGTGTCTTTTAAACCACGAGCTGCCAATTTTCTATTCAAATGTGCAAGTGGTATAATATTGTAAAAACAGGACCATAGAGAGTGCCATTTTTTGACAAATGACAGTTTATGTAGCCAACTATTCCTAATTTATTTATTTTTTGTTGCACAAAGACGTTACCCGATTGGTAGTCACATGTATTGACTACATGTAGTAGTTCGAGCGTTAGAACTATTAACGAAGCACTTTTATACTAATAAAGGACTGGCTTACCTAAAGCCAGTTGAGTAGCACTTGAAATGTTTGGCTCTATGAAACCTGATGTACTTATATGATTCTGTTTTCTTCAAGGTTGTGTCTTCCTGGTCGAATGTACTTATTGTAAGTCGCTTTGGATAAAAGCGTCAGCTAAATGTAATGTAATGTAATGTATAAACAATAATGTTATCACTGCACCAAGTCTATTTTAAATATCTGCACACTTACACTAAATGTACGTCACTAGTGTTCATGTTGGACATTCCTCGGCGATGCTATCAGAGGTAAAGTAAGGTAACTCTCCTCTGATGAAAGTCCTCGTATCTGATGGTGTGTTCACTGTCTGTCTCCCAGGAAACCTGCTCCTCCGGCACAGGGATGGACAGCATTGGTCTGGGAGCGCTGCAGAAGGTATGATCCTTTTATCTTTACTTACAATCTCCACAATCTCTGACTGAGAGCAGTGATGTCCTCCATCCCAGGCTAACACTAACATTAGGTCATCCGTTTTCAAATATGAATGTAAAATAAAAACAAGAATTGAGGCATAATACTACATTTTTGAAATATTCAATTAGAAGAGAAAAACAAGGAAGTTACATTATAGTAAGTTGTGAAACTGTTACTCTGTTACTTCTTCCACCACTTTAGAGTTTTATATTGAAAACCTAGATTTAACTTCTTCATGAAAGGTTAGGGTTAGTTAGTTGTTTTAAGTGATGAATGCTTTGTCTCCTGCTTCAGGAGGAGGCTGCAGGTCTACATGCAGCTATCGGACCCCCAGCAACTAAAAGGTAACTTTGACAAACTGTACTTTCTGAAGTACGTAATTCTAAGGGTTTAACTAACCCCCCCAACAAACTATGCAGATATGTGGGCCTTCAAAACAGTTTGATGTTAATGTAGATTTGTTTCATAATGTTGAATATCCTAATTAATGGGGTAACTTTTTGTGGCAATACACATTGCAGTAAAATGTATAAGTGTATGAAAATGATTTTTGAATGTTGGGCACACTGTTGTGTATAAAAACACTAACATTTACATATGACTTTCATTTTAGAAGAAGCTTGTACCTGGGCTTAGAGGCTGGAAGATTTAAGTAGTTTTAAACTCTCATCGTAGTACCTAAAATAGTTAGATCTTGAGAAGTAGTTTTAAGTTCCAAAAATCCTTAAAGGTAAACTTTTATGCAAAATCCACTTTTTCATGTATTTTCTACATCAACGCGTGTCCCCTCTGCGTAAAGAGATTCTGAAAGTTTCAGGAAAAAAGATTATCACCTGAATCTCCTCCTAGAGCACCATTGAGTTCTTTGTAACCAAATATCTCTCAGAGGGGCGTGGGGAGGGGCTCCTTGCTGCAATGATCGGTTTGGTATTTGGAGCCAAACACTTCAGAGACATGTTTTGTATATATCTGAGACCTATGATATATTGATGAAAAACAGTATAATAGGGGACCTTTAAAGTAAACGTTATGACGCTGATGTCATACATCTATTTCCCCCTCAATAATCTCTAACGTCTGTGCAGCTCCAGGGAGCGGCGGGACTCCCCCCCCCAGCGGCCCTTCCTCCACCGGGTCCTGCGCGCGGCCTTCCCGCTCCACCTGCTCCTCCTGCTGCTGCTGGTCCTGGCCTGCCTGGTGCCCGTCTCCGAGGACAACTACAGCTGCACGCTGTCCAACAACTTCGCCCGCTCCTTCTACCCCATGCTGCGCTACACCAACGGCCCCCCGCCCACATGAGCACTGCCACCACGCCAAAACCTCCCCTAAGAAGACTGAAGGACTCAATATGTGCCGTGGAAACAGAACATTGAGCCGTTCATAGTGTGAAGGTGCAATTTAAAGACATTCTACCTGTCACACAAAAAAAAGCACCGCCCTTTTTAAAATCTAAATCTGATTGGTGTATTTAAATATATATTTATTGTTCGTGGTGTTCCACATTTATAAAAAAAGAAGCCATATACTGGTTCGTTTTTAACGTTCTGCCATTTTTATATGTAGATTTAACGTCCCCACTTACTATATTCAACACACGAAGATAAGTAAGGTCTCTAGATTTATTTTAATATCTACGCTATATTTTCTGATTTTGTACTTGCATTGTAAGCCATGGGATCTATATTGAGGAGTAAAGGTCAGTGATTACCACAGCGTACAGAAAGCGAGAATTACACTAGGCATTTTCTACCACTGCAGCTATTTTTACAGTTTTTCATAGAAGAAGGCAGGCTGCTGTTGACGGCACATTTTGTATAGAAGAGAAGAAGATTGATTAAGAGATATTTAAAAAGATCTGTAAGATATTTTTTCTAAATAATGCTGGCAGTGACTCCTGCAGACATGCCTTTCTGTAGCCAACAGAGCCCCACAGCTGGAAGATATTGTACTTTTAATGGTGTTTGAGGACTACTGTGTATAAGGGCAAACTACTGAGAAAGAAAACGTAAAATTATTGTTTCTGCATATTTGAGTTTGAGTGTCTTCCTGTATTCTATTTCAATAATGTAGCATGGGACTGTAGTCTAAGCGCTGGTGTAATAAAATGACAGATATGTTCTTATGTTAACAACTTCATGGCCAGTGTTCGGGGGGTCATTTCTGTATATTTCAGCATATATACAAAAAGTCGTCAAATGAAAGCTGCATTAGGTGATTTGGTACCTCTAGGGGGCAGAAAGAGCCCAAATCACCGCTCATATAATAACGGAAAATAAGGGGCTTTTAACAAATATAGTAGCATTTTTTATTATTTTTTTAAACGGTTCAAATTCCAGCAGATTTAGTCATTGGGTCCATGTGCAGCATTACAACCTGACCTGCTAGCTAACAGATGCTAATTTGTACGATCCTTTCCACATTAAATTGCAGTAATTGCATTCAATGAAATATTGCTTGAAGTTTCAAAGGGTGTTTTTTATATTTAGTTAATATTGATGCAACAATATTAGCTCCAGCTGGTGGACCTGTCACATCACTGCCATTTAGCTGAAGATCAAAGAACACAAAGCCCCGCATGTTATGTTCAAATACCTAAATTACTTTATTCTTAAATGATTTGATGTTGTTCAAAACGTACCTAACGCTGTCCGAGTTGGACCCGTGGAGTAAAGTCCTGCAGGTGTCAAAAATCCAACAGGTTGAAACAAAGATTGTTTAAAAATATATATAATTTGTGGTTAATATTGCGAAGCTTTACACCACTCTTCATCATGAAGTTAGAGGACTGGTTTCAAATCTATTGACCCAGACTGAGTCGAACATGAATGCAAGTGATGCTTTGAGCATTGCATGTAACTGTGTACCTCACAATCAAAGACCATTACATGTACAATGTTCATATTATTGATCCTAAATGTTTGAAACTCAAGTGTTTGGTCCTTATTTGTATATAATGTCACACTCAGCAGAACAGAAACAAACAACAAAACGTGTGTAAAGTTTGATTTATTTTGTGAACTCTTATTTATGGGATGTATAGACTGTCAGTTTTGATTGACAATAAACTGTGTTTGCCATGATTCGCGGCTGCTTGTTTATTGTAGGTTAGCTACAGGCAGGAAACTAGATCTCAGATTTGCATATGTGTGTGTTGTGAACAAGTGGAAATAGTTTCAGCATCAGAGATGGATGAGTGTGTGTTGTGTGCATGCATGTACGGGTTACAGACATCGGGAACAAACAGATATTGAACATGTTTCTGTATACTGTAATAGCAGTGGTAGGAACATTTGGCACGAAGGCTTCGTTTACATTGGCAGTAAAATGGCACTGTTCATGACATGTCCAAATGATGTTGGGTCATTTTGGGTTCCTTCACTTTGTCTGGCCAGATTGAAACAAATCTAGTTTGAAGACTTAAAGCCAACCGTTCCTTGTTTCTGGTAAAGCCAAACACAATTAAACTAACCAGTCCTGGACCGATGCTCCTAAGACTTTTCATCATGTGGTATCCTGTCTAAATTACAGCAATGAACGCTGATTATGCCATCCTGTCCGGCTACTTGGTTAAATAAGACCACCAAGGCACATTCCCTTTGTCTAGGCAGAAGTTCTTTATCACAGTTGTAGCTGCAGCAGAATTGACTGGACTCTAATTGCTTTAAATTGAATATATCTGTAAAAGTTTGCACTTAGCACCGCTTGCTATAAATAGCATCCGTTTCTTTCCTGTTTAACTTATCATTGAGTAAACTGACCGGTGGTTACGTGACATATTGTAGGAATATTTCATATTATTTTCAAAGCATAACAATACAGAACATTTTATACACTACACTTAAAATGTACACAAAAACAATGCATCAGAGATCAGTTTAACAATGATGCATACTTAATAAGCTTTTTATCAGAACAATTCCATGTTTTCTGCACCTAGGCTGTTAAATGATCGCTTTGGTTTGTGTTTTGAAGATGGCTCTGAATATAGCAGCTTATGTTCAAGAGTAATCCAAACTTTAAAATCTGACAGGTAAAGGCGTCATGGACTTTAGGGCTAAACATAATGGGTTAATACATTTTAGTTTTGTGTAACTGCATCACTCTTCATAGTTGAATGCACTTATTGTGAGTCGCTTTGGATAAAAGCGTCAACTCTTTATGTGTTAACTACGAACAGTGCCACACATTGTATTGTAAATCCAGCCTTTGAAGAAGAAAGGTTTTTGTTAACAGTCGTTTTGTTAAAAGGCCACAAACTGCTGAATCTTTACTCATCTAAAACGTGTAGTGTGTACAAAGAGAGTAGAAAACAGGCACCGATTAAAACACCAAAGAACAGTAGTAGTAGTGAAAGAGAAAAACACCACAGTGTGATAGAACACACAGCCATTATTTTTTTTACACATGCATTCTCTGTAAGTCACTGCAGATTGTGGATGGCTTGTTCTGGATGATACACCAAGGTGACAAAAGAGATACAAATACTGCATATCAAAAAAGAGCTCAAACTGACTGGCAGAGGTCCAGCGATGTTCTCATGAACATCTACTGTAGTGCACATTCACAAGAAATATTTACGCACACAAAATATACATTCGATCGAAAGCTTCTCTTTTTCCAAAGACTAATAACATCTCAAAAAAACGTTACCTCACAACAGCACTTTGTTTGTTGTTAATCCTTTTTTTGTTTTCCCTTTTCTCAATCTTTGGGAGATGAAAGCCATTAAAGGTTTGGTCTCAGTTAGTGTCTTTCCGTCCCGTTACCCCTGTAAGGCAGTTTCCATGACAACTCGATCAGGGATGATGTAATCTGTTGGTTCGATTGACGGACCGCCGTCTCCTTCATCCAGCGACCACAGCTGCGGATGGATGTAGCTGTGAAGAACGGGTTTAAAGTTATTTACCACAAGTCAAAAAAAAGGTGCACTTAATGAAGAAAAAGCACATTACAGTGTGTTGAAAAATATGAAAAAAGTTATTATAACATGTCGTAAAAAGTCATATTATAGTATGTTGAGAAATGTTATAAAGTCATAATTTAGTATGTTGAGAAATGTGGAAAAAAAGAGTCATATTATAGTATGTTAAGAAATGTTATAAAGTTATAATTTAGTATGTTGAGAAATGTGAAAAATAGTTGTTGAAAATAATTCAAAATTCATACATTTTGAAAAAAAAAGTATTTCAAAATGATCATGAAAAAAGGCATGAAATAGTACGCATAAAAAGTCATGGAATACAATGAAAATATCACGAAACATGTCATATCTGAAGTGAGAAGATCTTGCAATTATTTCAGGAAAAATGACTTTAAAGATGAATTATTTATCAAAAAGAATTGCTGTTTATTTTCCTGCTGATACTAATTAGTCAAATCATTGCAGGTCCATAGTTGTCACCACTGTAACTCACTCGTTGCTGTCCATACGAGCCAGACTCTGAAAAGACGGAGAGAGCTGCAGACCCTCAGGGCTTCTGTCCGGGACCGGAACCTCTGAGCCCGGCAGGTGGGGCGGGGGAGCCGCGTACTGCTGCTGCTCGGAGGAGGTGTCGGAGCTGGGCGAGGACGATGATTGGCTGCTGCCGCTGGACATGTTGGCGTCCAACATCTCCAGCAGGAGGTCGTACACCAGCACCACGTTCTTCCTCTTCATGCTGGAGAGGTGGTCCATGCCTTTGTTACTGCAGAGGAAGAGGAGGGAAGCACACGTCACACATTGACATAAGAAATAGTACCTGGGAATGTTACAGTCATAGACATTGCTGCTTCTCTGTTGGAAGCTCTTTCCACAGCGTTAAATATAAATGACTTCCTTAAAAAGTCCAAATATATGCATCAATATCAGTCAGTATTGTTGAATATTGTCTTCAGTTATCCTCTATTTTATGAGTGTTCTCCTACATGTTACTGGCAACCCTACATTTGGCAGGCAAACTAACATTTTATAAACATATTTATACGAACTTACCTCAACTTTAAAAATCCCACAAAATGTGATGTATAGTTAAGAGGATTGTATGTCTCCGAAATGTAAGCTTCTGAACACATAATCATTTCAAAAAATGCTTTATTTTAGACAAATATTAGTTATGTTTTTCATTATTGTTTAAAAGTCAGCTTCTTCAAAGTAAAGCACTTTGACTTTCTTGTGTAAAAAGTGCTGCATGAATAAAAAATGTATTTATGATAACATCAAAAAAGTATGTTTTTTCTTGAAATGTCTTTCGAACATCACAAGTCAAGTATTCTCTCCAAGTGTCTGAAAGAGTAATGTGCGTGAGTGCGTGTTCATGCCTGCTGAGAATTAATGTAGGAATACATTTGAGAGAGTGTAGGAATAAAGACCGATGATGCCAGACAGCTAGAGTATAATCGTCTCTGAGAATGTGTGCTTTTTCGATTCTCTCCTCTGCGGTTTTGCCGCCACGTACCTGACGTGGCGGATGTGGGAGAGCAGCATGGTGAGGTGTCCCAGACGCAGAGTCTGCTGCTGGGTGGACAGGCCCAGCTTGGAGATGGCCCAGACTAGAGCATCGATCACAGAGTCGAGCAGACGCAGCATCTTGTTCCTGCTCTCCAGCTCCTCGGCCGTCTGAGGGGAGCTGGAGCACAGATCTGCAACACACACACACACACACACACATCTCAGGAGGGAGACACACACATCATCTCCCTTCAGACAGAGCTTGTGGTCTACCGAGGCTGCTGTGGATGCTCTTTTAGAACAAAATAACACTATACTGAATCTATTTCTCAAGACTTAAAGGTCCCCTATTACACTGTTATACATCAATATATTATAGGTCTCAGATATATACAAAACATGCCTCGGAAGTGTTTGGCTCAAAATGAAATGTATCTATTCTTATTGACAGGGCAATGTGTTCACAGGGTGTTCAACTGATAGCAACCTTTGTTGATTAAACAAGAGGTTAACTATCCATTATTTTAAATACACAGGGTCACGGTTCTTTTTGTATTTACTTGCACTATTGTTTATCTTTTTCTGTTTTATTGTGTTGCCCTGTTGGAGGAGCCTGTGACCTAAGATTTTCATCGTCATAACTACACTAGCTACGTTCGTATGACTAATAAAAGCCTTGACCTTGAACTTGATGTATATTCCAGATGAAAAGCGCCGCAGAGAGAGAAGAAGCTGTAGATCATCCTGTTGTTACAGTTCAGCCACAGCCCTCCATCTGTCTAAATACATAAATCTTAAAATTCCTCCCTGTCCTCTCTGACTTTTCAAACTCGATTTCACTTCTTTCACAATTTGTTCCCTTTTTCCGCACGCCAGCTGCAGTGGAGCAGAGTCAACAGAGAGCTGGCGAAGGAGCCTGTGTGCGTCTGTTAGGGAGGAACTGTGTTCAACTCTGAGGTCATGCGGAGAGGACAGTCACCTCCATGAAACCTGTACAGTGGCTGCTGCTGGGGCTGGGAGAGGGGTTGGGGGGGTCAGGACAGTACACTGTGACCGCTGGGAACATATCACAGGTTAAAAGACACAAGCCGCTGTGCAATAAAGTACATCTTCACAGGTCATTTCATCCTACATTCAAACAAGTGGAAGCTTCGGCCAATCTCACTTCACCTGCACAATGAAACTACATCCAATCCTGGAGCAACACACACCGTTTTATTGTGAGGTGTCAAATGCGTCACATAAACTAAACCTCAAGCCAATGAAAAACTAGAAAAGTGCCCAGATTGTTATATAACATATTTGATGATTTAGGATCACATTTGTATGGAAACAAACACGGTAATAGGCATTCCTAGCAATCCATATGTTTGTACATATTTTGTTCTTATTTCTGGGTATATAAAAGCTTTGTCGCGATATGTAGAATTTCCACACGCTAGTTTTACCTTTAAGAGGACATTTTCAGGTTAGAAGAAGAAGAAGAAGAAGAAGAAGAAGAAGAAGAAGAAGAAGAAGAAGAATACAGAAGCAGTACGACATCAGACGACCCAAGCACGAATACTCCGCATCCGACTCCTCACTCATCCTCATCAATCCGTCCTCCCTCTCCTCACTCTCCTCCCTCCTCCTCCTCCTCCTCCTCCTCCTCCCCTCCCTCCCCTCCTCCTCCTCCTCCTCCTCCCTCCTCCTCTCCGCCTCTCCTCCTCCTCCTCCTCCTCCTCCTGCCTTTCCTCCCTCTCCCCTCCTTCCCTCCTCTCCTCCTCCTCCTCCTCCTCCTCCTCTCCTCCTCTTCCTCCTCCCCTCCTCCTCATCCTCCTCTCAGCAGCCGAAGAATAAGAAGAATCCCACACTCCACCGCCTTTCCTTTTTTCCATCAGTCCAATGAGCTAGTCTGCAGCTATTGTACAGCGCCCCGGGGAGCAAGTCCGGTGCCTTGCTCAAGGGCACCACGGCAGGGCAGGATGTGAACTGGGACCTCTCCAAGTAGCAGTCCACACTCCATATTTAGGTCTGGTCGGGGACTTGAACCGGCGACCCTACGGCTCACAGTCCAAGCCCCGACTGACTGAGCCACTGCCGGACCAACATGCTTTATTGTTCAAAATGCTTCATTGTTCTTCAATTTAATGAAGTTGTTATCCCTTTTTCGTATCTGCAAAAAGCAAGGCATTCAGCAGTCTTTACTATTGAAATAACTGCTGTAAGATGACACTTGTGGCGGTTGTCTGCTCCTCTGAAGTGCTTTCTGCAGCAGGTGTGTGTTACGACTAATTCATAAGAACAAGAGCACGGAGGTTGATCACATCTAACGTAGAGACTGAGGGAGGTGATGCAACCTCTCAGACTTGATACATTGAGATGCTGGCTCCTCTGAGAGCTTTGAGAGAATTTGGAAACCTTTATTTGGATTACACTAGTGCAAAGCTTTAACCCCACATCGACTTTAATGCAACTCCAAATAGATAATGAACATTCATTTAGCCCAGCTAATAAATGACAGTAAGGCCAAAAGAATATATAAATATATTCATTTTTCAGCCTTTTTTTTGCTCTGGTCAGTTTGTTTTAATGTGTGATGCGTGACGGGTGTCAATGAACCACTAAGTTCCAGATTAAAGTGTCATTAACCAAAACCAAGCAGAGGGAAAAGAAGAAGAAGCAAAAAACCACTGATGTACCAACTGGACAGGATCAGGCAGGATTTGTTGCTCGTTGCAAACTAACTCATCCGTCTCAGAAAACATTAAATGAAGACTGCGGTTTGTCCGCGTCAGCAGAACTCACTGGAGTTGAGGAGGATCATGGCCTTCAGACAGACGTACTCCTCTCTCTGAAGCTTCAGCTCACGAAAGCGAGAGGTGGCTGCCAGCAGCATGTCGAAGATCTCCATGATGCCCTCCACGCACTGGCCCTCCTCCCTGCAGACACACAGACACAAGGGAACTTTTATATTTCTCCACAGCCAGGTGCCGATAACATTTTACTGTCAGGTGTTAATAGGCTCAGAATGTGACAATAGGACATTGTTGACAATATCTGGGGGGGGGGTTGTGTTTTTTTAACCCTGTTTTTTTGTTATTATAGTGTTCTTAAAATATAGTTCGCTATCTGCGTTTTTTTTTTTTTAACAGACACTGTTAGAGAGAAAATTGGAAAACCACTCTGTTTCTGTCTCTGTTCAAGCGTCTCGTTGAGTGAGTGGATGGATTAGTATCCAGGATGTTTTCTGAGCCGTCCAAGGAGAAAGGGGTACCACTCAACAGAGAAAAATAAGGCTGTGTTGTGAGAACATGTCGAGGTTAACCTAAGTCTATAGTGATAGTTTCCCTGGCAGTCGATGAACAAACACTTCCTATTGTCCTCATTAAATGTACCACTTGTCCAACTATGCCTTTTTGAAGATTTGGTTAAATCGTCTTTTTTCTCAACAACTACTATAAAAACACCACAATATACAACTGACATTAACACACACTGTTTATTTATGACTAAATCCTCACTCACTAGAGTACCAAATGTGTATTAATCCACCACTGACAAATAGTCCCTAACAAAAGCACTTTTTCCTTCTGTTTCAGTAACTTTTGAATAAAAAACTACAGAGACCAGCTGAAAGTTATTGACCATTTAAGACAAAAAAAAGGTTACATTTATGCTGCGTATTTAAAGATATATGTCTCCCATTGAAGTCAGAAACTATCAAGAGAAGAACTAACACATTGTTTATTTTGGTCTTTTTCTTGGATTTGTTGACAGTGAGAATAAATACAATTTAACTGCAAACCTGGAAAATCTACTTTATAATAATATATATAATAATTTATGCAAGCCCGGGCTTCCGTCTTCAATCTACTGCACTTTGAACACCAGGAGGAACAAATTGCTTTAATGTTTCATTAGCTGCTGCTACTGCTGACAAAACGTTCAGTTTTAAGTATCCTATGATTCATTAGGAAGTCCACAGTGCTGGTATAGTGCCAGCCTAATTACAGCGTGTTTACCGTGAATACAAAGGTTGAACTGAAGTGCCAGAAACAGCCAACTGTTGTCTGGCCGAAGTTGAAGGTCAGTGTAGAAGAAAACAGTAAGTGATAAAAGAAAATGTTGGCAAGAAAGTGAGGTGGCAGTCTACAAGAATCAGAGATGTATCTGCAGCGAGGGTTGCTGATATCTTTTACCGTTTCAAGGTCTGAGTGAACTCCCTGATTATTGTGGGATATCAAATAATGAGAGTGCACCAATGTGGGAAGATTAAACCAAAACCGCCAACACTGTTATGGTAAACTGGAGGCTGCACACAATAATCATTCAGTAAAAGCCTTCCGAGGGTTAGGGTGCAGTTTGTAATATATCTCAAGTTAAGGAAAACAATACTATTAGTCTGAGTCTGGAGAGAAGAATGACTGTAATGTATTGTTTTGGGGAAAAAGAAAACAAGTACTTGATAAGACTTGGACTTGGTGAACCAACACATCCTCACTCACAGGTCGGCCTATGTTGACGTTATGTCAAGTCCCCTGTGTTGGCTTTTTCCAACGCAAGAGGGGGGCGGCCGTGTCGGCTTTTTCCAACGCAAGGGGGGGGGGGGCCCTTAGCGTACATTTTCAACTTTCCGGGATGTCCATAGGCTTCTATATAGCTCCCTAAACGTATGTTGTAGACGACTTGCGATCACGAGCGAATGCTACCCGCAGATCCATTCTCACAGCGTTTATCAACCTTTTTCTTACTCAATATCAAGACACACTTATTGTTTGTACTTCTTTATTTTAATTGAATAATGTAGGACTTTTGTTGCCGTCAGTTATGGGGAGAGTAGGGGCTCAGAATACTGAAATCTGTATCGTTTCACCGTTTTTTCCTTCTAATTTTGTATTATTTTCTAAACCACACACTGTTATTTACTCACCAATAACACATAATTATCCTTGTGTTTATTTATTTGTTTGATTAATAAACACAAGTTGGAGTCCGCCAGGACCGAGGGTCGGAGCAGCTCATAGTAGCCTAGTTGCTTTAAAGAATTTTACACCCGGAAGTAAGTATTCTCTCCGCTTCGCTTGACAAACCCTGTGATAGTCCTCAAGCTCTGTGAATGGATGTTTGAGTGTGCTCCGAGGGTTACGCCGAGCGTCGAACAGCACTTTGAAATGGGATGGAACCACGGCAGACTGTCCAAAACTGGATTTGAACGGGTCCACCGCGTCCCCCCCTCCCCCACCCCGTCCCCAGAACTACACATGCTGGCTATTGTGTGTTTCGCAACATGTTTAACTTCTATGGCATGTCTCTGGGAATTGTAGTTTTAAAAGACGTTTTCGTATTTCCCATTATAAGAAGTTGCCAGTATTAAACTGTGTACATCCCTGGAGGTTTAGGGGATAGGAAACACTCAAATTTAAAACATATAATTAATAAATGGGTGAAAATTGATTATGCCCATAATGGGCAGCATTAATATATACCCACATGACAGCTAAGGTCAGAAGAGCTTTATTTAACAGCTGGTCTTATGTCTGTGACCCCTCCTGTTGTTCATTGATAAGCCTGAAACATGCACTTGTCAAGGTTCAGAGGCACATTTAGCAAATATGGCAGTAGCCATCGATCATCTTAAGATAAGATATACTTTATTGATTCCAAGTTAGAAACATTTGCGTTACTTCAGCATGTGTAACAGTTGTAAATATGCAGTGGTGTTTATTTGTAAATCATTTAGTATAATCACACAAATTCTGTGTTTTACTTAATAATTCTGTGTTCTTCATTTATTGAATGTACAATACCTGACAAGGTCGGAGATGAAAAACGTGGGTCTCAGGTTCCTCAATAGTGCATTACAAGACATCTATCAATATGTGTGTATACCTCCACCATTAAACTGTCGTATTCTGCACATTTCTTATACTATCTACATACATCTTATAAGAGTATAATACATATGTATAATATCAGTTAAAATAAGTGCTTAAACATACAGTAGTTAACATTGCAGGAAAGCAATATATTAGTACTTTGTCAGGCTTAATATTTATACCCCCAAAGCTTTTTTCTTATTCAAAATAAGACCGTAACCTAAAGTATTCTTTAATGTTTAAATAAAGCCTTATTAGTTTCTCTGTCTGTGTCTCCTATTAATATCTAATAATAAAAATAATACATTTCAATAACGTGCTTTAACCACCAGGTGTCCCTTTCTATCAGCTGTGCACCGTTATGGTGTAAATATACTTATATACTGATTGGATCAAATATAAAAGTCAGCCGAATTAGTATTGATACGGCAAGGAGACTTATATTGTGAAGACAAATTGAAGATTTTTTTTAATTGCAGATATATTTATAATCCACGTCACATATTCAGTTTCGGCGGCAGTTCTTCCTGTTTGTCGAGAAGTCTTCTCATCAGGGCTCTATAAATAGCGAACTACGGCAGATATGTAATATTTAATGCAGCCGAACCGTGTATTACAATGCCGTTATGTGATGACCTCCTAAAAGAAAAGCAAGCAAACTCGGAATAAAGTATTATTTAAAAAAAAAAAAATCGTATTTCACATCAACAGGAAGTCCGGTTAACTAAAATGTCCGTGAGGAACAATACCCCAACCCATAAATCCGTGGGTGAATAATGTCAATCACCACATTACACACATCCCTTCACATTTAAATTTAAATTTACATTAAAGTATTTCGTGAGGCCTTCTAAAATGTTTTTAAATATAATTAGGGTTGTAGTTGAAGAGTTTGTAAATTATTGCGTTGCCTGGCAACACACTCAAACATCCATTCACAGAGCTTGAGGACTATTACGGGGTTTGTCGAGTGAAGCGGAGAGAATACTTACATCCGGGTGTAAAATTCTCTAAAGCAACTAGGCTACTATGAGCTGCTCCGACCCTCGGTCCTGACGGACTCCAACTTGTGTTTATTAATCAAACAAATAAATAAACACAAGGATAATTATGTGTTATTGTTGAGTAAATAACAGTGTGTGGTTAAGAAAATAATACAAAATTAGAAGGAAAAAACGATGAAACAATACAGATTTCAGTATTCTGAGCCCCTACTCTCCCCATAACTGACGGCAACAAAAGTCCTATATTATTCAATTAAAATAAAGAAGTAAAAACAATAAGTGTGGCTTGATATTGTGTAAGAAAATGAATGGATCTGCGGGTAGCATTCGCTCACGATCTCAAGTCGTCTACAACATAGGAGGGAGCTATATAGAAGCCTATGGACATCCCGGAAAGTTGAAAATGTACGCTAAGGCCCCCCCCCCCCCCCCTTGCGTTGGAAAAAGCCGACACGGCCGCCCCCCTCTTGCGTTGGAAAAAGCCGACACAGGGGACTTGACATAACGTCAACATAGGCCGACCTGGGAATGAGGATGGGTTAGGTGAACACACACAAATCATGCATATGAGGAACAATCTCTGCTAACAAAAGCCTTAGCATGTTGGAGTAGAAGAGAAAAGAGGTTGTCACAAAGGCATCAGCTGATCGGCACATAGGCCCAAAAATACCTCATAAAAACTCTGAGAGCTGTTAAACAAATCAGCTATTTGTTTGTTCGACTGCTAATGTGTGAATTATGAAAGTTGGACTTCAAACCTACCTGTTGAGTTTGAAGTCTGGAGAGAAGATGAGTTTTCCAGGATGATCCACAGACCTCCACATCAGGCCCAACATCAGGATCTCCAGCCAGCAGCACTTCAGCAGGTGGATCTGGTCCGCTAGACTCAGCTCCATAAAGCCTGAGGAAACGGAATAAAGAGAAACACAGAATTACCACACACCTCAAATGAATATCCTACCTGGATTCAGAATATAAGGGGACAAAAAATGACTCATGGATCACATGAGAAAACTTACAATCAGCGAGGAGTTTCCAATGTCGTAAAAAACACTTTCAGATTTAGAGACGTGAAAAAGTTCTGTAGCTCATACAGTATGTCATGATAGAGAAGGGACAAATTGAGAATTATAAAAACAAAAAAGATAATAAATAATGTAAGAAAGAACAGATCCACACAATATGGCTATTGTTTTATTTGATTTCTATGATATGTATACAGAGGGGACCTATTATGATCTTATTTAGGATTGTTTCTCAAATATTTTGGCCAGGACTATCAGGATACACGCAATTACTCTTTAATATATTGTCGGCAAGCTAAAAAGCTACAACATGTAAATATAAAACAATATTGGGAGTTAACCAAAGGTACTTTTGCCTTCTTTTTTTTTATGAAACTACATCAACTACACTGAACAAAAATATAAACGCAACACTTTTGTTTTTGCTCCCATTTTTCATGAGATGAACTCAAAGATCTAAAACATTTTCTATATACACAAAATAACCATTTCTCAAATATTGTTCACAAATCTGAAAAAATCTGTGATAGTGAGCACTTCTCCTTTGCCGAGATAATCCATCCCACCTCACAGGTGTGGCATATCAAGATGCTGATTAGACAGCATGATTATTGCACAGGTGTGCCTTAGGCTGGCCACAATAAAAGGCCACTCTAAAATGTTCAGTTTTATCACACAGCACAATGCCACAGATGTCGCAAGTTTTGAGGGAGCGTGCAATTGGCAGGCTGACAGCAGGAATGTCCACCAGAGCTGTTGCCCGTGAATTGAATGTTCATTTCTCTACCATAAGCCGTCTCCAAAGGCGTTTCAGAGAATTTGGCATTACATCCAACCGGCCTCACAACCGCAGAACACGTGTAACCACACCAGCCCAGGACCTCCACATCCAGCATGTTCACCTCCAAGAACGTCTGAGACCAGCCACTCGGACAGCTGCTGCAACAATCGGTTTGCATAACCAAAGAATTTCTGCACAAACTGTCAGAAACCGTCTCAGGGAAGCTCATCTGCATGCTCGTCGTCCTCATCGGGGTCTCGACCTGACTCCGGTTCGTCGTCGTAACCGACTTGAGTGGGTAAATGCTCACATTCGATGGCGTCTGGCACGTTGGAGAGGTGTTCTCTTCACGGATGAATCCCGGTTTTCACTGTTCAGGGCAGATGGCAGACAGCGTGTGTGGCGTCGTGTGTGAGCGGTTTTCTGATGTCAATGTTGTGAATCGAGTGGCCCATGGTGGTGGTGGGGTTATGGTATGGGCAGGCGTATGTTATGGACGACGAACACAGGTGCATTTTATTGATGGCATTGTGAATGCACAGAGATACCGTGACGAGATCCTGAGGCCCATTGTTGTGCCATTCATCCACGACCATCACCTCATGTTGCAGCATGATAATGCACGGCCCCATGTTGCAAGGATCTGTACACAATTCCTGGAGGCTGAAAACATCCCAGTTCTTGCATGGCCAGTATACTCACCGGACATGTCACCCATGAGCATGTTTGGGATGCTCTGGATCGGCGTATATGACAGCGTGTTCCAGCTCCTGCCAATATCCAGCAACTTGGCACAGCCATTGAAGAGGAGTGGACCAACATTCCACAGGCCACAATCAACAACCTGATCAACTCTATGCGAAGGAGATGTGTTGCACTGCGTGAGGCAAATGGTGGTCACACCAGATACTGACTGGTTTTCGGACCCCCCCAGACCCCCCCAATAAAGCAAAACTGCACGTTTCAGAGTGGCCTTTTATTGTGGCCAGCCTAAGGCACACCTGTGCAATAATCATGCTGTCTAATCAGCATCTTGATATGCCACACCTGTGAGGTGGGATGGATTATCTCGGCAAAGGAGAAGTGCTCACTATCACAGATTTTTTCAGATTTGTGAACAATATTTGAGAGAAATGGTTATTTTGTGTATATAGAAAATGTTTTAGATCTTTGAGTTCATCTCATGAAAAATGGGAGCAAAAACAAAAGTGTTGCATTTATATTTTTGTTCAGTGTAAATGAGGTTTTCAAAGGAGCCTATCAACCAACCTTCTAAGAGTTATATAAATACAGAGAAACGCCCTTGTGCCATAGACTACAGGATCTAACAATGACCTCACTGAGCAGCAGCTATCTTCACTGCGCCTCGCTCACCTGTCTGTACTTTCTTAGATCTTTCATAAAGCATACAATGCACACTCATTTCCACCTCCGCTGGAAAATAAATGGTGGAATATGGTCGTTATTCAAAAAACGGGGAGTCTTTGTGAACCCCTCACATTAACACCTCTGCTGGGGAGTTACCTGCTGGGCTGAACACTGGCTTAGAGAGGAACGGCGAGGAGAGGGAAACATAAAAAGGGACAGGAAAGTGGAAAAAGAGAATCAGGACCATGTGAGAAAGAAAGAAATTCATAGAAGACAGAAAATTATACAAAGAGGTCGTTGATAATGATTTCCTACCGTTGGTCTCTGTTTATCCATGCAACAATTCTGTCACTTGTTTGTTTATTCAACCTTCCCACGCAGCATCTGACACACCAACATGAATGATGAGTGGAAGATGTGTTTACTGTAGCCGCAGCTTTGTTTTTACCTTTATAACCCTCAGTCTGGTTTGCTGGTTTTCACCTGACTTCCACACGTTGTTAATCAGAGCCAAACTGCTTCCACTGATCCTAGAGTTTACCCTGACCCTAACCCAACATGGCTCTTTCACTCAGAAAGGCCACACCGAATGCCTCCAGTCTTATTTGATGACATGTAAACTGGTCCGTGATTAAGTGGATGTTCCTCAAGTATAAAAATAGACTGAATTAAGATCATGACAAAGATAATATATGCACAATGCAAGGAAAACATTTACATCCAAAAGAAACAACAAAGAGCAGGAAATATGGAGTTTTCAAAAGAATGAAGTAGATTTTCCATGTTTTCATTATGGATACAAATAAGGGCAAAGGTCAAATAGAAACTATATAATTATCAACAGCTAAAAAATTCAAACTGAATTAATGTCATGGGGTAGATTTTATAAAACACGTAAGATGTGATTTTAGCATTGTTTCAAGTTTTTAGCTTGTTTTATAACGTATCAAAAATATAAATGGTTTGTTTATTTAAATAGCTTTATTGTTGCTCCTATTTTACATAGCCCAATTCCTCTTACTGTATTTATGTATGAACCATTATACAACAAAGCAAATTCCTAATAAATAAATAATAAACCACAATCTACATCTAATTATTATATGTTTCATGTATTTAGTACATTTAATCTTAACAAATAGGTACAATTATATTGAACAAACAATGTTCGTAGTTTTTAAGAAAAAAATATATTTTTAAATTAAATAGGATTTCAATTGTGAACATTTTTAATTTTAAAATGATTTGCGCTAATGTTTGTATCTTACCAGGGATCTTTTTGGCCCAGCAGATCATGAGGACCAGTTCCTTGTCTGCCAGGTTGGTGAGGGACATCATCATGCTGGCCTCGGTGAAGGGCTTCTTCATGTCCTCCATGAGGTAGATCTCCGGCGGCTCCGCCTCCATGATGCGGGAGATGAACTCCTCTGGGCCCATGGCTGAGTGGTGAGCATGGCACATCTGAGGGAGGGGGTCCACAGGGACAATAGGAACCTCCAGGTGGAGATGCCTTTGGGCACGGGAAGCCAGCCCCACCCTGACCAAACCCCTACCCGCGGGGACCCGAGGTTGGAGCCCCCCACGGCGGAGCCGGGCTCCTCTGTAGCTGCAGCGCTCACGCCTTACACCTGGAGCAAGAGACAGAGAGAGTCACATGACCATACTTTGTACCCTTTGTACTTTATGTACATCGTTCTTGTTTACTGTAAAATAACCCATAAAACCACAATAGGGCAAAAATATTGGCTACTTGCCTAAAGGGCAATTATGCTGATTTTCAGGTTCATATTTATATTGTACATCACAATGTACAACAATATCTGTTTTTCTTTTTTTATTACTGCCGATTTTTATTCCATATTTTATTCCTTCTTATTCCATTTCATTGCAATCTAAATACTGTTATATTTTACTATGTTTTTTATTATTTTTAATATGTTTCTAGTTCTCTACCTGTGTTTTTAATTCTTGTTTTACTTTTATGTATGCGCCACGACACCAAGTCAAATTCCTCGTACGTGTAAACCTACCTGGTAATAAACCTGTTTCTGATTCTGATCGATATTGTGTGCCTCTATGTGACATGTTTCCATACTGCAATGTTCAAATAGGTCAACATGCACACTGTCTTAGTCACTGTTGATGAAATATAGCATGTCTGAAAAATACATCTCTGATATAACATTGAACAACATGATTGCCAGTGGCCTACTGAGAATTTGGCTCTAAATTATCAACATATTTCTGAAAAACTCTTCCACTGCACTATTAGCTCCAAGGCCCTCTGAGCTCAGAATCTGAGCTCATATTGCTGGTGGAGGATTGTAGTTGAAGTGCCCTATAAACACATAGTTACTCATCTGTGTTGACCCTCCTCTTATGTGCAGGGGTGAGGGTACAGGGCAAGAAACATGAGAAATGGTTAGAATGAGGAATAATACTGTGAAGGTTCCCACACTACAGAGGGTAAAGAGGCCGATTCTTAGTGCTTAGATTGTAACAATGTAGCAGATGCATGTGTGAGAAGGACTAGCTAAGACTAAGAGTGTTTCTGTGTGTCTCAGTATGCGGGGCAAACACTGGATGAAGGCCACAAATGGGCCCCATACATGATCATTACCCAAAATAAGCAAAGGCTAAGGTTGAAAAAATATTCTTGTATCATTTTATTTTAGTAAAAATGTAACAGTGGGCAATTTGACCCAAACCCCACACAAGGGATAAGTTGTTCCACTTTATTTTGCTATATCAAGGACCCCGGTAAAAGAGGTGAGAACCTACCGCACTTCATCATGCCCACTTCGTAGCATTTCCGTAGGCGGCAGGCCTGGCAGCTTTTACGTCTGTTCTTGTCGATAGTGCATTGATTTGTGGCGGGGCAGATGTAGTCATTGTGTCCTAAGGATTCAAGGAAAGAAGACACTTCAATGGATGAGGAACATGAAGAGATGGTGACTTGTTATTGACTGAAAGACAGAGTTTATACCTTGGATACTCCTCTTAAAAAAGGCCTTGCAGCCCTCGCAGGACCACACTCCATAGTGGTACCCGGAGGCGTAGTCGTGGCACACGGCGCAGAAGTGCATGTCCGCCTTCCCGACCGCAGAGGGACACAAAGAGGAGTCCATGCCTTCCACTCCCTTCCCCAGCGGCTTGTTACAGCTGATGATAGAGCTGCAGGAAGAAACAGAGACATTGTAAAAAGGGACAACTTGACATCTGGAAGCTTGCCTGTCATTTACCTGTCATTAGTCATCTAACAGGTACTCTTTTGCTAAAACATTCTCCACAACCACATTTCAGCCAACTGGAAAATTGCATGAAGAAACTAGAGTGTTCATCATTGAAACATAATGGGTATATAAGTCTCAAGCATCCAAGGCCAGTTTCACTATGACTGTCAACTGGTAGTATAGAGAATGACCCCGAATATGAAGTAGAGGCAGGGATGTAAATCAAAGTTGTGGTGAGAGTAAATCCATCCAATAAAATCAGTGTTTCAATGTCAGTCTATTGGTTATTATAATATGTTGCAACTCCATCTCAACACTAATGATTTTACTGGATTCTTTGCACAGGCTCTGCTATTATCCAACGATCATCTTAGCTGAAGAATACTAAAACCACCGTAACTATTTTTTGTCTATTTATGTTGTCAAGCTGCTTCGCCCATTCATCACTCCAACACCAAACCATCACCAATGTCAAGGGCTTATCTACAGTAGCCTTGGGGAAACGTTAGATGGCTGCTGTTAAAAGGGCTCTACACATGTATCTAACTGATAGGGTAACAAATACAATCTTTATGTTAAAAAACCTACATTAAACCTTTCTTGTCCCTCCTAAATTAAATGCAATCTAGCACATTTTTCCCCTAAACTTTTTATATAATAGCACAGAACTGTACGTGCTTGAGTTGTTTTCATCAAATTCGGGGTATAGAAGAAAGGCATTATCACTGAATTCCTAATGAGCCAACAGGCATTTGTAAAAATCATGGAAACACTACGAACGATTTCAATTCCGTTTTTTTAAAAAGGACTGAAAAGGACGCATTTCTCTTATTTATTTGTTTTTATTAATTTACACAAAAACACATGACAGGTTATCAACATGAGTTAATAGTCATCATTATCTTTTTATTATTGGCTTTGGTTGCATCATCTGGTGACCTTGCTTTCTATTGAGCTTAGGTATTTTTGAACAATCCGGTAGCAGACCATGTCTATTGACTGAAGTTGCTAATTGGGCTGTAATTGTCCGGAACATGGAAAGGGAAGTCTTGGACAAAATACTGTCGAAACAAAGAACCCAGAAAATACAGAATCCATTCATCTTTGACCACTTTTCCCTTAAAACTCTATCATCAATCGCGATAAAAGCCTCCTATCGTTTTCATACAGCTTAATTGGCACTCACCAAACAGCCTTTTGTCCTAAGTATTATCACTATACACGTCTATCAATCAATCAATGTCCATAAACATACCTGCTAGCGTTGATGCTGTGGGTTTTGTGCTCCAGCCAGGGAGCATGTGGGCTGTGATCATTGTAGACGAGAGGCTGAGGGCAGCGCAGAGTCATTGAGGGCATGTTGGGGTGGTTGTTGGAGGGCCAGAAGGCTGATGGGCTAAGCGCGGGGCACAGAGGGGACGGACTGTCAGTGATGGGCGGCCTGGCATAGCCGAGTACAGACGGGCTGTAGAAGGTTAAAGGTCCATTGCCGTACTCGTGGCTGCTATCCGTGTAGGGAGACTGGATGCAGACGGTGTGGCTGTCCATGCCCAGAGGAGGGCTGTACAAGGCGGATATGATTCCCGGGGAGCTTGGCCTCTCTGAGGATTTGCTAGAGTCCACCTCCTGTAGCTGAAGCAGTGTTAACGGGTCAGCATCCAGCCTGGGGGAGGACTCCATGTCAGGGTGAATTTTAGTAGTTTCACAGTGTTTATGAATAAGATAATATAGCTGGTTCCTCTACTGCATGTTCCAGTAAAGACAAGTCCTGGGACAAAGGGGGAGAAAAACTGTGTTATGGTTAACAAATGTATGTCAGTCTGAGCTGCACTTTTAGTTAGTGCTTATGAGGAAATGCTAACACACTAAGCTAAGGCAGTGGACATAACATGTCAGGTAACATCAGAATGTTATCGTTGTCAATATCATCATGTTAGCATGCTTACACCAAGCTACTGTATGGTGGTGAACGTAGTAAACATACCATGACAGGTAACATCAGAATGTTACTATTGTCATCATGTTAGCGCTCAAACACACTAAGCTAAGATGGTAAACATTAAATACCTGGTAAACATTCAAATGTTAGCATTGTTATTGTGAGCATGTTAGCATGATGACGTTAGCATATGTTCTAAGCCTGGCTATAGATTGCTTTGTTGGTTTCTTCTCTGGGACAATGAGTTAGTAAAAAAAACAAGTAACATAACATGTAGTAACAATGTTATTGCTTTCTGTCAAAAAGCACCTTTAAGGCTAGGAATATAAGGAAGGGGACTGGTAGCACAATTAAGCAATAATAAGAAGAAAATAGTTGTAAACATTGTGGATAAACCTTCTGCTCAGCTTGAAAAGCGTCATACCTTACAGACACAATAAAAGTAGCACCTTTGCCATCTCAAAATAAAAATTGAGGGAGAACAGTACACACTTATTAAAGGTGGAGGCAGACACTGTTAACAAAACACTTACTGAGACTTTTAATGATTCGATTTTGTCGAAATAAATGCAACCTTTCTTGAAAATGGAAAGAAAAACAGACACGGACAGGTTTTCTATGGTTATTTTGTCTGCGGTTATTTTGTCTGCTTGATGTTCTCTACCATTATTGAGCTGTTGTGACTCAGTTCAGGACAGTCATGGGGAGTTTACAGGGGTTGCTTTCATTTGAGGAAAAGTAGTGATGTTATTAGGTCTTCATTGTAGTGAGCATCTGTGACCCACAGGTGGTCATTTGAATGTATCCAATGTATATTGACGGGTTTTCCTAAAAGCATTGGACTAATTGTGTTTAACTCTTGTTCTTGATGCTACGGTTATGGTTGTATTCATGAATTTTGAATTAATAACTGTGAGACAGCTTAATTAAAATTACAATTTTAACACAACTATTACATTTGAACAAGATAGTATTAAGCTGTGTTCGGAAAGATGATACAAATTAAATTACAGAAATACTGTACGTTTCATATGACTCAGTGGCTCTGGATGGCTCTGTATGGATATATTATGTCATTGCAATAAGAATGGTTTAACACACACAGGCATACACACACCCACAACCAATTGTACTTTTGAAACATTGCAGCGATGTCAAGTTCATTGCGTATCTTTAAGGTTTTATTGCGTCAGAGACACAGGACATCAATATTGTTACTCAAGAAAGCACACAACACAAGATAATGGTATGTTGTCTTTACGGAGTGCATCACAACCAGAGGTTTAATGAGATCCTGCTAGCGCATGGGGACAAGGCATTAAAACACACATTGTTATCCCATTTCAATTGGGGGGACTACTCTAAAACTCTTTCTATGAACCTAAACACATAAAAACCAAAGTAACTGGGGACTGAATTTGATTACTGGTTTTTAGCTCCTGTTAAAAGCACTGCACGTTGAGACTGTATGCATACCCAAAACTACAGCCCTAAGGTGCTTTGCAGTACTAGGTCATATAAAAGATCATATAGACAAGTGTAGTCCAAGAAGTCTGAAATGTTCTCACAGAAGTTGATAAACAGGTATTTTATTGATGCACTTAAAAAGGTAAAATTAAGCAACAGCTTCCTTACTGTGTCAACGGTGAAAGGAAAAGCTCTATGTATTAACAGTGTATTTAAACTATGAACTAGTTCTGAGGATATAAAAGCACGGCATTATCTGTGTATGTGATATCACACAGTAACCAAACTGTGCCAGAGAAGCCATCAGCTGGTTAATCAATGTGGAAATCAACAGTACAGCAAACACTAGCTGCACAATGCAGACTGCAGCAATCACAAGTCCAAACACACAGCTGCAATTCCTGCAAGGCTTGGGGCTAAATGGTTTTTGGGGGATTTTCTGCCTCTTCTTTGGAGTTAGCAGTCGGTATTATAAAAAGATTAAAAGAAACAAACTGTTAAAACGTCCTCCCTTCCTGAAGTCCAAGTTGCCAATAACACCTGGCAGAGAATTGGGCGATCATGAGGGCATTGTCAAGCAGGAAATGGACTTGCAAAATCCATCATTAATAGCGCAGATTTGATGATAGGTTAGAGTTTATTATCATGTATTGATTGCTAATTGTGATGATGATTTTTAAAGACTGGATTTAGAAGTCAAACTCAAATTGTGTTATTCTAAATCTTCCAAAAACTGCAGAGTGGACAGGACAGGACACACCATGCCAAATAGTCGCAAGGTCAATCGCAGCAACCAGGTCAGGTCGAAGTGGCCTTTAGCAAAACAATGCACTTTTACCTGTTTGTGGTACAAGCACTTTGACAGTATGCCCTGAATTAGACCGAAAAAGGTGTCTCATAATAAAATGCTACTCCAAATCTCTCCGAAAATACCAAACAGCTTCCTTTTTCCTCAATTTGGAGGACACTAGCTTCTTTAAATGTGTCCCACAAGTGATTTTTTGTCAGTCACATGGCCACATTTTGCACATAATCAGTCCAAACATGATTTTAATACAGATACATTTATATAGATACTATAACTATGTTTAACTATTAACTATGTTAACTATGATTAACTATGTTGTGTCAGTTGTCCATCATGTGTTGATGTTAAACATGACAGCTGGTACTGTAAACTCAGGTTTAATGGAACTCGTCCAAGTTTCTATTTTTAGGGGGAACTTCCTAGTGACTTGGAAACGTGGACACTTTCAAGCAATTAAATGCACCATTAGTTTTGTTCTCTTTGAGGCTGGTGTGGCTCAAGTTAAAGGTTCTAGTTCATCCCCTGAATGTAGATACAGAAAGGGGTTTAACACTTCTGCAAATCTAGGGACATGCACTGAGAATTGAATAACACGAACCACCTACAGTCCAAATTAGCACAAGCAAGTATGTAGACAGTGTGACTGAATGATAAGCACAAAAATCAAGAACTATTAAACCAGAAATACTAATATGTTGTCAACATTTGGTCCATCTAGGAGTAATAAACTTTGGGTCAACATTTTAAACCTTGAATGAGGAACCGACATAAAATAATCTCTGGATACGGGTTTAAAAATCAATAAATATTTGTTTTAACGATTTTTTCAGGCAACCAGTGCCAGGGGAAAGGGGAAGATATAGCCGGGGATCAAGATACAACTATTTTTTTATAATTTTACAGTTTGGATTTGCTGCTTTAAAATTATTTGATATGTAGGGCCACTTACTGGCAGAGATGATTGTCAAGTTAGCCTCAATCATACTTCTTGCATTCATTATTCTGACGTACCATTGGTTGTGAGTGACCGTGAATAATACTGTCAGTATAATCGACTGATACCCTAAAATAAAATGTTATTGCGGCCATGAAAATTGAATTTCAAGAGCTAAACCAACATATGTAGATAAAGATTTATAAAACAAACAACTGCGCAGACAGAGGGTTGGATTCTGTATCTCATGAAGTTCTACTATTGAGTATAACCATGGAATGCACAATAAATACATATAATTAAAGTAAAACTAATTGCCCACATTCTGGTTGACATTGAAAAAGTTATTATCTTCTCAGACTTGCCAGAATTAAACTCTCTGAGCGTAGATTTACCAAAAATGAATCCACAGTCTGACAGTAATACAACGATTTGAGAGTGTGAGATTAAAGTTCACTAATCCATAGGCTAAAACACTGAATAAGAAGACATCAAAAAAGTTTGAAGACTCACTTTTTTCCTGCAATATTCGTGGCTCAACAGTTCGACTTTTACCCATCGACTATGTGAAAATGTGTTTTGTAAGAGGTTTGAGCTTTGGACACACTGGTGTTCATGGCAGCTTTCCATGGCAAAGCAGCAGGCAAGCAAAGGTCAAAAGGCACTGTCTCAATGCAACTCTGTCTTTTATTTCACTGATTCATTCGTGTATAGCTACTGATCTGGTTTTAAACAAACAGGCCATCAAGGCTGCCCTTTCCTCCGTTCATTTGTACTGACTCACACTCAGTCAGTTTGGCACAGAAATACAACATGTAAATGTAGGTAAAAACATGGAGACATTCCTCCAGGTGAAAATGGTAGATGGCAATTAAGAAAAAAATCAGATTAACAACATGTGTCTTGAATATATGCAAACGCATTGAAGGAAATCTAACCCAATGGTTGGATAATCACAGATGTCTGTCAATAAACAATCAAACTATTAAAACAACAATTTCCTCTGTAGTTGATTTAACTTTTACCCAAAATTGTGTTGCATAACAAGCAACCTCACTGACCTGATTTTAAATAAATCTATTTTTGTATTCTGTTTTTGTAGTAAATTAATGTTTAAACTTAGTAACAGCTTATGTCTTCTTTTAAAGTTTCAACCCCACTTTGAACAGTGCTTTCTTTTACTAAAGATGCATGAAAACGCCACAATCTGTCTCTTTCATAGGACAAGTTGTGCTGATGTGATACCTACTTGAACCAATGACACAATTAAGAGTCTTACACTTCAGCAGCAGCAGACTGCATGACAGCTCTCTGTGCAATTTGTAACCATCATTTTCTCACCACAAGAATACACTTAAAAGTCACATGAACTAATAGTAACTCTTAACATTGAATTTCCAGTGAAAACAGAACATTTTAAAAATGATTACATGGATCTAAACACATGGGTATCTAAAAAGAACCTAGGAAATGTAGTTAGGGCAATGATAGATGATAGTGACAAACATTGAGGAGAGGAAATGATTTCAAGGTTTCACATTACATTTCACAGTGAAGCAGCATGTATGGAAGAACATACCAACATGTTTTACATTGGAGCTGTTTTTGTCAGCAAAAAGTAAAACAAATATTAAAAATACACAATAAAAGCTTTTTTTTCAGAAAAGATTGCCGTCTTCACCTATAACCTATATGGCTATGTACGTTTCTCATTGAGTTTAATTAACCAATAAGCGTCTCTTTGTATAAATCACTAAGCATGTATCTATCTTTTTACAAATGTTATCTAATTAAAAGTTACAAGTATATTTTTCTCTGATTATCTGACATTTTATAGAATAAAAAAAGAATCACATGATCAATAGATAAATCAAGAATGGAGGTAGTTGTTGCCAAACATTGCACATCATCCTAATCAATACTTTGTTTATGATGTGTTATCAATATGTTCCTAAATGTTATGATTTGTTTATTATTTATTATTTCATGAACATCTTCAACCTCTGACTTGATGCTTGTAAACTTAGTAATAAATACATTTAAAGCTTTCTACTGGTATGTTTAAATTATTCGGATCAAGAGCATACCAATACTGTAAGTCTGAGCAATAAATATAAAAGCTGGACGGATGCTTTTATTCAGTCATTTACACTTTGAGCTACATTATTTTAGGACATGAGTTTCCACATCTAGTCCAAACATGTTGTAATAAACTGGCGCTCCCTGGAAGAACCTGGAACACCCTGCAGACTTCAGAGTGCATCCAAAGCTCTGTTTGCACTGCAGAAATACGTTTTTCATTTAGTAATAATGGGCAGAAAGAATCTGGTGATACCGTCTCTGACCATAGAGGGTAGGCCCACCTTTACAAGAAAGAAGATTAGGTCAAAATGTGTCCGTCTTTCACGAACACAAATCTCTTGGTTGGAGCTGCTCTTTAAAAATTCTGCCTCAACACATCCACATGAAAAGGTCTAGAGGTCCCACATTGCTGTTATAGGCTTTAACAAAGCATGATTCAGCAACACAAAATATCATGAGTCCAGACATGACTGAAAAGACAATACGTCTCCCTGGAGAGCATGTTTTGCAGGCCACTACATAAAAAACCCGGTTATTTCTTGTGAATAAAAAGAGGCATGGAGCCCTCCTCTCCTCAGAACAAGGCTCCCAGCCAGCAGCACATACCGAAACACAAAGACCCCCGTTAGCCGGCCCATTCTCACAAAGCCAACAAGGAGCTGCTGGAGGAGAAGGGTGGTGTTGAATTGAAGAGCTGGACGGATTACATGGGATCTGGACGGAGCTATTTCCGTCTCACAGTGGAGCTTGACAGCGAGAGGCTTCAGAGGGACGGACAGGTTGATTATAGCGTCCCCCAATTGGAGTAATTGTAGCCGAAATCCCTGTCTGGCGGCTCGGGCCCATCTACTGTACTCAGTAACTACACCAAATTCCCAGGAAATCATCTTCTTTTGAGCCTTAAGTGTCTCTCCTTTCTCGAAAAATAAAAGACATTACATGATCATATTAACACGCTTTGGGAAAAACGTATTACTGTACATGTAAGGGGATGCATCAGGATACAACAACTGTATTCCCTTTCAGTTACATAAAACATTTGTAATCGATTACTTGAATAATCTTGAATTCGAAAAGATTGGGATTACAATGTTACTGAAAAAAACAAAATGAAAGAGTATATTGTATTTCTTATTTTTTTCGAATACTTTGAATCTACAATATATACCTGCCTGAATTTGCTATATGGTGTTCAGTTTCTTTGGTTCTTGTTTTTTATTCAGTAGGTTAATCTATTTGTTATTAAAATATTGTGCATGAGTATGTGCATTTTCTGTTCGCTCAGATTTCATGTCTGCTTTTTTAAACTGTAGTATATATACACAAAGCACCAATTCCAGTAAACTTTTTGGCGAGAATAACAGTCAGTTTATGAGCACTAAACGACATCAACGACGAGAAAGTCCCTATTTGTCATCCTAAAGTCACATGACAGAAAGATGAGGGTATCTCGAGGGGGCTCAATTTATCCATTCAATTTGGTTACAGCAGAAAGCCACACAATGAAAAGGATTTTTCTTAAAAACAAAAATGTGAACTTGTGACCCGTTAGAAGTGACAAGATGGTCAGACAAGACCCTCCCTTCTGCCCAGATGTTGTTGTGTTTCAGTGTTTCTGGGCATCAGATAGATGTAAGCACGGATCCAATAATTAGCTACCAAATGGGCAATACTGCACAGAAAACTGCAAACTCAGAAAAGGAGAAAGACCAAACAAGAAAGCCGTTTTAAAACGAGGGCGGAGGGTACTACTTTTAATGTTGTGTTAACAAACTGCAACCAACTAATCCTACTGGTTTTGCCTTTTATATCTCCATGCGCAGCTAGATGTTATAGATCTTTAAATAATACAGAAATAGCACCCAAAACACATCTACCTAAACGTTAAATAAACCTCAAAGTGTGACCTCCATCCTTCATGACGCTGGCCCTAAAATTAAAATAAAGCGCACCCCTTTATACCAGTCAAAGATTTCCTTTAATGACCAAAAAACCACATACTTGAAACATGTTATTTTCTATCCAACAGTAGCAGGGCAGCTGACTATCACCCCATCAGTTGAACAGCAGCCAACAACAACTGAACTGTGGTTTTATGTAGAGTTCTATTCAATATAAAACGCTGGGTCCGATTATAGACACAACCTGGTTAGCAACGCTTCTATTAAGATACTACAGTAGGTTTTTAGATGGTATGTTATAGAAAAATGTGGTTTTCTTTCTTAATGAAAGACATTTGCATCCTTTAGAGATAAATGTATTTCAAAAAAGGTTCACATCAACTTTCAGTGTACTTCTTTAAATGTTTTAACCACTGCCACAACATAACCTGAATAGCACAGACGAGTAGCATATCATGTCACACTGCATTCATTCATGGTAGGCCTTTTGTTTGTGAACCAAACCCTAAACCAGTAATGTTCCAGGTTAAGCTCTATTATTTTTTTATGTGGGCTCGACTACATTTTTAGACTTGCAGTCACTGTTTTGTTGTGTGTGTTTTCCCAACTTGAAATACAAACAAGTTCACTTAAATACGAACAAAATGATTGGAATTACTTTTGTTTTTGCCAGATTTGAAAAGCGAATATAAGAAGCAGGAATTGTTGAATGTCTGCTATTACTTAAGAAAATTCTGGAATTATTAACTTACTATCAAAGTATATGCCTGTTAGTATTATGGCATCATTTTAGCTCTATATTGGAGTGGGTTAAACATCCAGAAGTCAAGGTTCCACATGCAAAACTACTGACGTAGTATTTTAAGAGCACAGCAGGAAGCAGCTGTATGCATCAGTTCATCCCACGGTTTTCACCAAGTTCATGTTGACCAACACAGCTTCTTGTGAAACTCCTCAGACATCTACCTAAAATGGATACAATTACACCAGTTTTCTTCTCAAAGGTCTGCAACCAATTCAGGATCGTCAGGTCTGCAGGAAACCGCGTCTACAGAGTGAATGCATACCGGCCATGCTCACTTTCACCCTGTTTACTGTGACACTACAAACAGTGACTGCACTATCGCTGAGGAACGACACCCTCCTCTCACCGCCATCTGGAAACACCCAATGAGGGCGAGGAAAAAACATGCCGCGCCATGTTTTAGTTACACTGTGTACTCGGGTATCTTGGGCGATGGACGAGCAGTGGATGGAGTGGGGGAGGTATGGACAATTGTTGAACAGTGTGACCTTGGAGAGTTTTTGGCGCCGGCCGTTGGAATGCTAGCCGACGTGGGTGAAACCCGGAGAGCGGAAGGGGATGTGCTTTAAATCCGATTTCTTATTTCTGGTAACGGCAGGACTTCCCTCCATCCTCCCTACCACACGCAAACACTTTCGACTCCCCCAGAACTCAGTTATTTGCAAGTAGAAAAGGGAATCTGGCCTTATTAAATCATGATAACAAGACTCAAGGCTTGAGAGGTCCTGGTTTCCAGAGTCCTTTATAAAAGACTACAGTAATGTAATAAGTTGTAACGATGTGAGTAAGCCTGAGCAGACAGATCTGTTTGAAATACAGCTTGTGTTTTGCAAACTCTTTCAGATCTAAGATACGCATCAGCAAAAGGGAGACTATTTACTGCAAACACTGTCTGCAGTGTATCTGTGCAGAGGCAGTGAAATCTTATGATATTTTACTGGGATATTACAAATGACGCATATTGGCATTAATTTATTTCAGGAAGTACCTCATTTTTTCCCATGTTGTCTAAATGTTTCCAGTAGATGCTGTCACTATAGACTATATTTTCTATTATGCTGCTGAACAACTGTAGGCATCTGCACTTTAAGGCAGAGAGTTCTCGACTAAAATTACTAAATATGCAGTTTGAAGGCAACATGAAAGAAAAGTGTTATATGAAAACTAATTATATTTGTAATACCATGACTTCTTCTGCTGCTAAGGATGATTGTGTGGTATGAGTGAAGGCTCCACAAATGCGCTTTGTGGTGAAATGTTCTGTCATCTACAGACTAACTGATTTTTTTGTTTATCATCTGTCGACTTTCATGGTGTGTTTTCAATCAATATAGAAAACATCAACATTACCATCAATTAATAAGTTTCCCCATTATATCTGTAATAAATGCCTTTAAAATACAATACGTTTTATAGTTTTGAATTTCTATTTATTTTATTTGTAGCTATATCTTGATCGTCATATTTCTAAGGGTGGGTTATTTCTAAGAGTTGGTCCAATGAATGGAGTGTTCAAAGTAATTTAACAAGAGAGAGCTGGCCAAATAATGGCAAATTATTGTATGAATGTCCCCGTTTAGCGTTTGTGTACAAAATCACGAAGCACCAGCTGATTCTAATCAGGCAAATAAAACCAAGTTTACTTTCAGGGGCAGAGCTGCACCTGTCAAACTCTTTCTGTTTCTCTTTCCAAAGTTGGTCATACAAACATAGTCTTAGTCACAAACCTGTCACTCGGTCCAGGTGACGATCAGAGGAGAAGATATGCAGCAGGTTTTGGACTTGTATCGGTTTTCAGCACCTCCTTTGCCACCGCGCTGCTGCTGCTGCTGCTGCTGCAAACAGTCAATACAGGCAGAAAAACAGGAACCATGACGCGTAAAAGTGAACCTATAAACGGACGTCACATGCACCCGGCGCTTATTCCTCCGCAATATTCCTCCAAAGACTTCTCCGATCCCGTGCTTGTCGTTAATATGTCCCTACATCCCCTCTCCAGTGCACCAAGTGCCAGGTTTAAGGTTTGGCCGATTTGGAGACGTCACTGGCGCCGCCTTTTTGGAGAGCTGCCCATCAGCGCAGCGCATGGGAGGGGGTCACAAACTTTACTGAAATACAGTATGTTAGTAAAACCACGAGAAAAGGATGGTATGATCTTTCTCTCAGAGGTGAAAAGTGACTTAGTACATTTACCTAGTATACAAAGTCATTCAAACTAGCTGCATCTTTACCAACTTAAACACATTAATTGTTGAATTATGAATTGTAATATATGAATTTGTTTATTTAATACTCTTATACTAATCACTTCCTGTATTCCCGTAATAAAAGGGACATGCGCAATAAAACGTGTCACTTCCGGTTGAAGCAAAGCCGACGGTGTATGTGTGTATTTATTCACGTTAAACTATGTTCACGGTATTCCTGCCCTAAGATCATGGCATCGTTAACAGGTTATGGGCCCAGGAGGGACCATGGAAGCCGGTGGAACCGTTTGATGAGAATAACTACGAGTTATGGGAGACAACGTTTGTGGGTCACCTGCGACTGCTAGGATTGAAGGCTGTCATCCTAGAGGAGCCAAGTGAAGATGATGAGGCTGATGATCAGAAAAACGAAGAAGCCTATGCGGAATTGATCCAGGTACTGGACGATAAAAGCATTTCACTGATCATGAGAGAAGCAGCGGACAACGGAAGAAAAGCGTTACAAATATTGAGGGACCACTACGTTGGGAAAGGGAAACCACGGGTGATCAGCCACCACACTGAACTAACGTTGCTGCAGAAAGCCGCTAATGAGAGCGTCACTGACTATATTATTATTCGTGCCGAAACGGCAGTTACAGCACTGAGAAATGCTGAAGAGACTCTGCGACGGGCTGCTGATAGCCATGATTTTAAAGGGACAGCCAATTTATTTGTAGGCCGTTTGCCATCCACATTACACAAGGGGATGAGAAGCTAACTTTTGGTGAGTTCAAAACAAAGTTGAGGAGCTATGAAAGCACAGAAAAATACAATGCCAACTTGAGTGAGCAATCTGATAATATTATGAAAGCCAGTGGCTGGGTGAAGTGGAGAGATGGCCCCGATATCACCTGCTACAACTGCGGTCAGAAAGGGCACCGGGCTCGTGAGTGTCGAAGTGCGAGTAGCAGCTAGGGTTGCCAACTTCCAGAAATTGAGAAACGGGGACACATGCATGTGTCCCCCGCGCGCGCGCGAAGATTTTCGGGTTTCTGGCGGATTTAGTTTTTTTGTTACTTTATTTCGGTTTTAGGGTTATGTTATTTAATTCTTTTGGGGGAGCCAGCCCCCCAGGGTTCGAGGGGTCAAACCCCCCAAAACCCTCAACATGCATAGAAAACTAGGCATACCTATAACACAATACAAACACAATGATATTACACCTGCATTAGGCTACTACATCACATTGTACATCAGCATGTTCAAATCGGGGGCACTAGGGACATCTGGGCACCTCGATGTACAATTGGCTATTTTGTCCAAAATGTTAAAAAATATATTTGAAAAATGGTATTAAGTAATGCAAAGTATACATGATGTGAACATGCACGGTACATCATTATTAGACTTAATGTTATCCTTCAACCAACCATTTCCCCAGCATTTCCCCATCAATCAGCTGACTGACTCTCTCACTCTCTCTCACACACACACACACACACACACACACACACACACACACACACACACACACACACACACACACACACACACACAAGACCCGAGACAGATCTCCACTCAGGCTTTACCCAACTGTGTTTTTCTTCCACTGTTTGTTGTAAGACACAAGTCTTTTATTTTTAGAAGGGCCAGGGCCCAGAACCACATCCTCTCTCTCTTCTCCTCTTTTATTATCACCTCCTCCACCGGCAGCGCTCATTTTCCCACACGACTGAACAGGCTGACATGCCACACAAACAATGATGCCGCGGCCCACCGGAGAAAATCTCACACACACACGTGCGAGCATTGTGCCTGCCCTGTCAACTGAGCGGTCCTAGTGCCCTTCGCATACAGCACACAAACACACAGGCACGCAGCCAGACACACTGCATTGCGCGCAAACAGAAAAATGTTTCCCTTTACACGGGAGTCCGGGACAAACAAAGTCCCGTACGGGACACGCCCCTTTTGGCTCAAATACGGGACGTCCCGGCTAATTCTTTCACACACAGTGACGTCACGAGCTACCCACAATGCAACACGCGCCATATATATATATAAATACGCCATTTTCATGGAGGTGCAACTATCCTGGAAGTGCAAATATAAACAGCTAGCTAACGTAGCCAGGCAGAGCGCACTAGGTTTTTTTTCTGAATTAACGACCGAAGAAATCGCTGCATGTCTTCGGATTACATCTCTGGATTTGAGGGGTGTGCTCTAGGTCGTTACCAGCGTAAACTAGAGCTGTGTGGGTTGTCGGATTGCCCTTACAGACTGTGTCGATTTTGGCTGCATCTACGTCTAATTTCTGGAAACACCAGTTGAATACCCCACTTGTCACAATAATATTATCATGCCAATGCATATATGTGGTATTTTAGAGTTGACTAGATATTGATTAAGGCAATAGACTATGATATTCAGTACAGGAAGCTTAGCAACACCTAGACGGTGTACGGCTAAACCCTTGGCCTGCTTGCACCTCGCGTAAAACGGCGGATACCGGAAGTACGGTGTCGCCCGCGGCCCAATACCCGTATGTGTGTGTGAAAGAATACGGGACGGTTGGCAACCCTAGTAGCAGCAACAGCAAAGACCAGAGACAGTGGTGCAGTTTTTGCAAAAATTCCACACATAGATGCAAACTGCAGACGCAAAAAAAGAGACAATGCTAAACAAGCAACTGACGTTGAGGACCACTCATTTGTTTTTAAAGTATGTGACAGTCCAGTAACCGGAGTTACACATAAAGGGCTGATGGTCGACACAATAATAACGAACATCGACAAGTTTAAAAGGTTCGATGAGACTTTTCAACCGAAAGACCACTTTGTTGAATTGGCTGACGGTACAAGAACAAGTGGTGTCGCTTTGAAGAAAGGAGAGGCGGAGGTCTGCCTGCAAGACACGGAGGGACGACGAGTGACAGCAATGCTGAAGGACGCGCTCTACATACCGTCCTATCCACAAGACATTTTCTCTGTTGAAGCAGCGACAGCCAACGGAGCATCAGTGAACTTTCGTCAGGGTTGTAAGTTTGTAACCAGCTGATTCACCAGAGAGGTAAAATATTTGACATCAAGGAATATGATAGACTTTATTTTTTAAACACTGGACTGTGAAGCTGAGGACGATGCATGTTTATGACATTCAAACATGGCACGAAATACTTGGTCACTGTAACTATGATGATGTGTCACAACTGTAAAAAGTCACTGAGGGGATGAAAATTAAGGGTGGGATTGATAAATCTAACCTTAACTGTGAAGTGTGTACTCGAGGTAAATTTGCTCAGAGTAGGAACAGACAACCAGATGCAAGAGCTAAAGCAGCGCTCAATCTTGTGCACAGTGATTTAGCAGGTCCCATTGAGCCAGAGGCTAAGGAGGGATTCAGATACACATTGGCTTTTACGGATGACTTTTCAGGGGCAGTATTTGTGTATTTCCTAAAAGCTAAAAGTGATACTTTCAAAGCCACAGAGAAATGCATTGCTGATGTCGCACCTCACCATCAAATGTATAAGGTGTGGTGACCACCTATTAATACACTGGGACATAATTCACACATGGAACTACAGTTGGGGCTATTGTTCCCACACGGACATGTTATGTGTTTACGGTGTTTGCCCTCCTGACTTCACTCTCTTCTTCCTGGACTGCAACCGGACAACATGACCTTAGCTGCTCTCAAATAAAGTTCCCTTTTGCACCTTCATTGCACCGCCTCTGACTCCCTATCTCTCGGCACTACAAAGGTCTGATAACGGTACAGAATTCACCGGGACAAACTTTCAATCGCTCCTTATACAACATGCAATACGACATGAAACTTCAGCACCTTACTCACCCCATCAAAATGGGACAGCTGAGAGAAACTGGAGAACACTTTTTGAAATGGCAAGATGCATGCTTCTTGAGAGCAATTTACACCAAAGAAGCTATGGACATGTGCCGTCATGACTGCAGCTGTAATACGTAACAGACGTGTAGGACAGACGCCTTATTATATGCTGACAGGACGTAAGCTTAACCTTTCGAAAATGAATGTATTTGGATCTGTATGCTATGCATACAAGCAGGAAAAGAAAAAGTTAGACTTGAGGTGTGAGAAGGGTATTTTTGTAGGGTATGATAAAAACAGCCCAGCATACCTAGTCTACAACCCAGACACAGGTAGTGTTCGAAAACACAGGCAAGTGAAGTTTGTCACAAAAAGTATAGTCGAGCGACATACACAGACTGATTTTGAGGCAAGTGATGACGATTTTTATGAGAAAAGGTTTGTATCCACCAAGCCAGAAACCCAGGGGACTGACTCGTGTCCAAAAGAGACACAGGAGGCTCGAACTGAGACAGATGACACAAACACCCAGACAGGAAAGGGAGCAGAAGGTCAAAATAGAAGCTATCCTCAAAGAGAAAGGAAGAGACCTCAGTATTTAGAGGACTACGAATGTAAAGTACAGTGTGACGACCAGAAGTATATAAATATTGACTACTGCTACAGAGTAATGTGTAATGTACCAAACGCCTTTTAAAGAGGCCATGAATTCAGCAGAGTCAAAACTCTGGACTGATGCTATGCAGGAGGAAATTAATTCTCTTAAGGAAAATGACACATTCACATTGACCACACTACCAGAGGGCAAAAATGCAGTGGGGGGTAGATGGGTCGATACAATCAAAGAAAACACAGAAAAGACTGAGATATATAAAGCCAGATATGTTGCAAAGGGATATAGTCAAGTGGCAGGAATAGACTATAAGGAGACATTTTCCCCGACTGTGAACATGACATCAGTA